ACCCCTGGTGAGATTCCGACATTTGTCCACCACTGAAGGTGAGGTGTCAACCACTTTCGGGGACTGTGAGACTGCGCTCCAGATCCTCCGTGTGAGTCCACAGCCGAGCCAAAGCTTGCTGTATGGGGCGCATCCTCAACAGCGCCCGCCACACTACAGAGATGCGTCGCCGCCATATGGCCCAGTAGAGGCGGAGCCAAGTCCGTGCTGGTGCCTGGGGCTGGGAGAGGAATGAAGAGACCATCTCGAACTCTGGTGACCCGGTCGGGCGACAAGGAAGCGAGATCCTTGTTCGTTTGGAATGGCGCTCCAAGAAAAACCAAGTCCTGGGTGGGTACCAGGTCGGATTTCTTGAGGTTGATGATCCACCCCAGTCGAGTTAGAATGTCTATCACTGTGTGAGTAGCATCTTGACTTCGCTGGCTGTGTTAGTGCTCCGAGCAACCAGTCGTCTAGGTAAAGGGTAACAGCGCCTTCCTTGCGGCGAGCTAGGGTAGCTGGGACTAACATGAGCTTGGTGAACACCCTTGGGGCAGTCGATATGCGAAGGGGAGCACCCTGAATTGGTAATACATCCCGTCGTGTAAGAGAACCGAAGGTACTGCTTGAGCGATGGATGTATGGGTACATGCGAATCGCATCCTTTAGGTCGATTGGCGTGAGCCAATCGCCGGGCTGAACAGATGAGATCACCGGCGCAGTGTCTCCATCTTGAAGGATGGTACTGAGCATCGCGATTCAACCCCTTGAGGTTGAGAATCGGGCCGGAACCGCCGTCTTTCTTGCCGGGCGAGGAAGTGCGTGGAATAAAATCCGCCTGTTCCTCTCCGGTGGAATGCGCTTCGATTGCGGACTTGTCCAGCAGAGCCTGAACCGTCGGCGCAATATGTCCGCCCTGGCTTGACATGGCGGCACCGAGTCGCGGCGTATGCGGTGAAGTCGGGCGGACCGCCAGCTTCCACAGTGGGAGATGGCCTATGCTGACCGTGGCCAGCACCCAAAGCGTTGTTGGTAGCCTTCTCCCATTCCGGCAGGAATAGAAGCTGACCTCCCACTGGGATATGGGGTAGGAGGCGTGTGTAGACCCGGTAGCGGAGCTGACTGGGCGTGACACCGCGGCTTGGCGGCAGCCTGATGGGTTAGCGGGAGGTCGGGGCAGACCTCCAGCGCCCAGCGAAAGGCTGGGAGCTAGTCGAGGACTGCTCCTTGCCCCTACCCTTGGCGGACCTGTTCCTCCGCCTACCCCTAGCGGCGAAGCCAGCCGGCGGACTTCGGGTGTAGGCTGCACCCGGCGGAGGAAGGAAGGTAGCGCGGGGGCTGAGGCGAGACACCAGCGGGTGCTCAACAAGGCCTTAGAGTCCTTGAAGGAGGTAGCTGCAGCGGCAGCCTCCCGTATGACCTGCTGGGCCCCTGGAAAGAGTGCGGCTCCCAGGCGGAAAGGGAGGGCCAGCAAGGTCTGCTGTGTTGCTGCCGAGTACCTAGGCGTCGACAGCCACAGCGGCGCATCCCCATGACTGCGCACATCACCGTCGGCGCAGCAGACCGCCAAAGAGTCAGCGCGGTGAGCCTGCACTTCCAGCTGGCGGAGCAGCCGCGACATGCGGCGACGCGTCGCCAGCATGCCCTCCGCCTCCAGGGCCGACCTCTGAACCGAGGAGAGGTAGGCCTCATGGACCACCACCGCACCTGCTGCGCCAGCGTTCGGTAGACCTCCCTCGTAGGTCGATGCAGCGTGCGCAGAGGCGCCAGCGAGGGCAAAAGGTGGAGTTAGAAGCCCTTGCCGAGCAGCGGGCTGCTCGGAGGAAGCCGAGCCTCCCCAGAGGCGGCGGAAGTGAAAACACATTCGTCAACAATGCGGTACAGCGAACAGGGAATCCTCCCCAAGCTGGTAGCGCCCGCCGCGAGTTCAGGTAAGTCAAACCTTACCGGGCACCAGACAAGAGGGATCGACCGCGTCCGAGACCAGCGATGGCAGAATCGCGGAGCTGCGTCTGTGAGGGTTGCCTAGGGGCAAGCGCCTCGCCAGGCAAGCGGAACTCAGTCGAGTCCACGCAACCAGCAGGCACCGCGGCCTGGGGTAGGCCCTCGGCAATTCTCTGCGGACCTCCCGCCAAGGCGAAGCAAAGCGGAAGCGCCGTCAGGCTCCTCGACCTCCCCAAGCTCCATTGCCTCGGCGTCCGAGCCGAGTCAGAGGCTGGGTCTCCTCCGTAAGAGGACCCTAACCCGACCCGGTGGACTGCCTAGCGCTAGGAACCACAGGAAGGGAAGAACAGACAGACTGCTCCCGTCAGCGCCAGCCCGGCGTGCGTGGACCCGGTCCCGAGGCGCTGGAGGCAGGCCAGGCAGAACTGGTGCCTCGGCTCTCATGGGGCGGGTGTGCGCAAGGACGGAATACCAGGAATACTCAGCGGCCCTCGCTTGCGAGCTCTCGAGGGACTGGGAGCACCTCCCTCTCCCGGAGCAGCGGCGTCGGATCGAAGCCAGAGGCAGCGGATCTACAGGCGCCTCAAGGCGAGGGATCGAGCGAGCCAGCGATCCCACCCGGACTCTCGCCCCCGTCCGGGTGGGTGAGAACTCCTGCGGAGACCTCCAACCGACTCACGAGCGAAGGACTTCATCGAGTCCATCTGCTGCTGAAACATAGACTCCATCAGTGACATGTCAAAACCACTTTCGAAGTGGCAGGAGAGGGGAAGGGCCCGCGGGATTTTTTCCCTTTTGACACTGCGTTTGGACTTAGGCGGGGAACCTGCGTCAGGTCCCCTCCGCCTCGCGCATTTGGCGATAGAACAAGGTGTCGGCAGCCCGCCTCTTCTGGGCCCGGGGAAAAGGCCAGACAAATAGGACAGGAGTCAGCCTCATGGCCTGTCTTCTCCAGACAGGCCCGCGCAACTGGTATGACTGTCGGCCCGGGGATACTCCCTCACAGACCGAACAGCATGAAAGGCCTGAAACAAACAAACGCATAAACATGTTAGTGAGCGGCGGCCAGCAGCATATAAACGCGTAGAAAACATTGAAAAACTTCGTGAAGGTTACCCACGGAAGTAATAGTTGGTTTTAATGCGCGCAATATTACGACCACATGGTACGCTAAACTTCCCGCCATGGCAGAGCAACACGTCGCGTAACCGCGGGGAAAGTTCGGCGTATTTAGTATTAATACAAAGTCACAATTATGAAACAACCAACTGTAAAGCTTTACTGTTCTTGTTTTAGACAAATAAAGACCATACATACAGGTGGTGTCTCAGACATAGTCTCTTTTAACAGCGCCGTCACGGCTCATGAATGGGTTATCAAAACCGTCTGTTCACGGCCGTGACAGCAGAAGGAATGATGATCACGGGTCTAGGAGCCTACCCAGTTGGTGCGCATGCGCTAAGGGAGGTAACTCCGTGAGGTAGGGTCCGTATAATAAATAAAAGAGTTTATTTATTGTACAATCTTTTTATTCAAAAAACATTGATACAACTGTCACAGGACATTTTCAGCCGGAAAATGCATAATATGTACCCCAAGGGCGATCTCTCTGAAAATGAGATCTTGATCTATCTCTCCTACTGCCTCTTTGTCGAGTAGGGTCTTGATAGCATCGTCCAGTTTCTCTTTCTGGTCGGCTGCATAGTTGAAGGCCATCGTGTTGCTTGTGAGCGGCGGAGAGGCTTCCAACTGTATCTTGTATCCTCTGCGCAGTATCTGGGATGCGTAGTCGTCCTGTAGTATTCCCCAATTCTCCCAGTACCGTTGAAGACGTCCACCCACTGTCGAAGGTCGTACAGGAACGGCTGGGGGTGGAAGACTACAGTCGTTCCGAACCCGGCCTTCAGCGCTTGATTCCTCTTGCAGCCCCTAGGTGCTCAGCCTCTTCCAGGGTTACCTCTAGCAGCTCTGGTTGGGCGACGAAAGGAGCCTCTTCCTCCTTTCATGATGGAATACTTCTTTTCTCTGGCTCTATGGACTCCTGCAAACTTAGATTTATTGGAGTAGCGTTGGGACGTCTGACGAATCACGTTAGCCAAGGTGTCATTGGATTTAATCATCATAACCTCCCTTGAGTCATGAGAGACTTCACTGGCGATTTCACTCCTCCGAAGATGTAAGATGCTGACCATGGGGCTCTGTATAAGGACTTGGTGAAGCGATCACTCCAAGTGCATGCTGACAATAACCCCTGTCTTCTCAGGAGAGTCAAGCCCACTGATGTGGATGCTAGGTGCTCCGACATAAACTGATGGTACACTCGGTACCTACAACGAATACAAGTTTTCATCAAATGTAAACAGGAAGAAAACACATGTCAAACAACGGAAAATTTAGATCAAATTTCTAACCGTAATGTAGAATATAATCCTAAAAACCGTATACAGCAATAATTTTGATGGAAGGTCAGAAAATATAAAAGGATATGTGCCATATAGGGACCCAGGTGCTATCACAACCGCCCTCAAGGGCGAAGAAGAAGAGAGTGACAAATATGGCCGATCATGTGACCATTTGGGCGCCAAAGGGAGGAAAGGGATGCTACTCCTGGGTGAGTGATTTTACGTCCGCTTTTTTAGATGGGAACTTCAAGGGATTTCAAGTGTTCCACTATCATTCGCAAGAGGAAGGAGACAAGCATAATTAGCATGAGTCAGGACAAGGAAAAATATGAAAAATAAACAACTATGTCACCTGCATGTACTCCATATCTGAAGTTCCACACACTATAAGAATGGCTGTATATTCATTTCTACACATTTAGGAATTATGCTACTATAGTGTGATGTGTTGATTCTGTTACATGCTGGACATAAATAACTGACTGACTGACTGACTGAGTTTTTATACGCCGCTTTTAGCAATATTCCAGCAACATCATGGCGGGGGACACCAGAAATGGGCTTCACACATTGTGCCCATGTTGGGATTCGAACCCGGGTCTTCGGCGTGACGAGCCAACGCTTTAACCATTAAGCTACCCCACCGCCCCTGGACAAAAATAACAAATGCATTACATGTTTCACTGTCAGACTGGGAAAGTATCCATTCACCACAACATGTGAGAAGTCCTGGAGATACTTCTGCCGGAATGTTTCCATCAGGCCCCGTTTGGACCCTAAACCATACAGCAAAATGTTGAAGTCATTACTGAAATAAAAACAATGACATAAGCATAACAGGAATAATCATGATCATCATGAGTGAGTGAGTTTATTTTTACGCCGCACTCAGCAATATTCCAGCTTTATTGCGGCAGTCTGTAAATATTCGAGTCTGGACCAGACAATCCAGTGATCAACAGCATGAGCATCGATCTGCGCAATTGAGATACGATGATACATGTGTCAACCAAGTCAGCGAGCCTGACTACCTGATCCCATAAGTTGCCTCTTACGACAAGCATGGGTTACTGAACACCAAATCTAACCGGATCTTCATGGATCGTGATCATCATGAAATTAGTAATATGGGGCTCCCTGGACCCTTTGCTTTCTAGGTCAAGGTCAAACCCTGCTCCAGACTAATTTTAGCCCTCATTATCATTAACTGTAAAATGATACACATCACAAAACATTTTAGGGAGGAGTGCATGGAAACGTCCTCACCACATCTGGAACATCCACTTGGAGAAGAGAGCCATGTGCTCCTGTAGTAGCCCAGCACACTCAGGAACATGGCTGCTACTGACAGACTCCAGCAGAGCACTGAGAGCCTGCTGGTCCAGACGCGGAGTTTCAAGCTTAGACAGTGTTCTGTCCGATGTGATCGCAGCACCAGAATGGATGTCAAAATAATCTTCAGCATTCGTAGTCTGCAAAATAAAAATTGAATACTGGGGTATATCCCAACTATATTTGTATCAATTACGTTTCTACTAACTTAACTGCTTCCATACAAGATAGCAGGGCTCGATTTAAGAGATGTTAACCTACTTGCACCAGGTGCATCCTAAGATAAAAACCTAGTTGCACCAGCCAGTTGCAATGTAGTGTGTTAAAATGTCAGAGGTTTCCGTGCACATAAGCCTATTTCTGTGATGTAGTACCCCTGAAACCATAGCAACACAGAGATGCAGCTGATCCCCATTTACAAGAACTGTCATAGCCGAAACGTGTCTATAAATAGCAATGTTTCGGTGTCACAGCTATTCAAAGTTTAGAAGAAAAATGAGCTGACATACTTATGCTTATAATGTTAGATTTATTGTTGATTTATTTCTCAAATATTGACTTGCACCTGCTGTAACTGTGGCTGATAACTAAGTTGCACTTTGTAATATTGGGTTGCACCAGTGCAAGTAAGAAAGCACGAAATCGAGCCATGGACAGCATGAAAAGATCTTTGAAAGGTATTTAGAAGTGATACACATAAGGAAGAGAGTTTTATGGATGTCATGATAGTTTTATGGATGTCCTCATAAATGAAATTTTTAGAGTAAAATTAATATTTTTATACTTATCCTGACTCATGCTTATTTGCTTGTCTTCTTCTTCTGGCGAACCTAGTGGAACACGTATATCTCCCAATTGAAGTTCCCTTCAATAATAAATCACTCATTAGTACTCACCACGAGTTACCTCCCTTTCCCCAAGCGCGGGAACGAGGGCGCCACCCAAGCCCATGTGCTCCACTCTCTCCTTTTTTGTTTTGAGCCCAACACTTTATTTTTCTCGAGAAATCCAAAGTGCTAAGTGGGGAGGACGGGAGGGCTTACCTCATGAGTCAGGATAAGTATAAAAATATTAATTTTACTCTAAAAATTTCATATTTTTTCTTATCCTGACTCATGCTTATTTGCTTGTAGAATCCTACGGATAGGAAATGGGATTATATATACTTTGGATTTTACTAATTAGTGATTTGAACTGAGATAATTGTAATAACCCTATGGGAACTTCATGAAGGCACTGAACTGAATTCCTGCTGTATATTAACAGCTGCCTCTTAAGAAGGTTATTACAATTTACTGAATATAATAAAAGTATATAGAACATTAATTTAAGCTAAAGCTATTAATGTGAAGTATAAACTGTAGATAGTTTATAAGTATACTTTTATAAGAACCAAAGTAATAAGCTTACAATATGTATATATATAAGCTATAACATAATTGTGCTTAAGGTATAAAGATAACTTAAGCTGTATAATAGTAACCAACTACTGAGAGTTTGTTAACTAATACATGTTATGAAATGAACATATGACTGAGCTTAAAGATAGAACTTAAGCTGAACATATATATAATAGTAGAACTCGTAAGAGTTGTAGGTATATGTATATTATGATATAAAATCATAGTACTGAGCTTAAGATAAAATTTTAACTTAAGCAAATATATATAGATAGCACGTAGCTATTAGTACTGTTATCAGATAAGTATAAAATCATCAAGATAGACTTATCTTCTCCGTGGAACTGTCAACTGTTGAGCCGAGGACCATGGGACCGAAAATGGTGGATACCTGAGACGCCCTTGGTGGTGATATCTCTCAGATAATGGTTGGCAAACACCATATCGGATCTCCAAAACATCCCTCCATAATGGTATTTAATGAACAATTTCCATGTAAAGCTAAAGTTGAAGCTAGTGCTCTAATTTTCGGTGAGGATTAGCAGCACTTGGAGGGTCCAGTCCAGCTGCCTTGTAGGCTCTTAGTATGACAGTTCGATCCAGATAGAAATAGTAGTGCATGACACTTCTGTCTGTGAAGCGGCAGATATAGGGATAAACAATCTTTGAATTTCCCTCTGCTTTGCTTGGATCTTTGGAGATATATTTTCAGTGCACACACTGGGCAAAGTGATAAGTCCATCGTATCATGTGGTCCAAGTATGGATGAGAGAGCTGGGACATGGAACAACCTGTCTGGTTGACCTGGTAGTTGATTTTTCGCTATAAAATCCCATCGAAGTCCCAGATGAGCGATGTTATGAATATCATCAAACCGTGTTCTCTCGTAATCCAAAGCGTGAATTTCAGACATCCTGGCTGCAGTGGCTAACACTAGCAGGAATAAGGTTTTGTGGGTCAATGATTCAAATGACGCAGATAACAATGGCTCGTAAGCCTCACTTGTGAGGTGTTGAAGTACAACATTCAGATCCCAGGCTGGCGCTTTGAAACTTCCGCTTCTGGTCTTCCAATCGAAAGGCACGTAATAAGGCTTTAGTAACTCTGGTGTTTTAGTCAACTTGACGCCCGGCCCTCATAGTAATGACTGAACTTATGGCTGCAAGATAAGTGGATAGTGTAGATCCTTTCAGATTCTTAGTTTGACGAGGAAACATAAGAATTCTGCCACTTGAGGATGTGTAGCAAATCTGGCTGAAAATCCTTTCTTAGCAGCATAATTGACAAAACGCGCCACTTGTCATCGCATTGCCACGAGTAGAGTTAACGTAGTGCAAGCGTGACCGCTTTCGCCGCCTGGTGGAATAACCTCTCTTATTCAAACATGCTTTGATACAGTCCACACGCGAAGTTGGTATGCTTCTGGTGTTTTGTGCACTTGTTTGGTGCGCGGATGTATCAGTAGATTGGAGCGCAGTGGGAGCTGAAGTAGTGGTTTTCCCGATTCCTAGTATGAGGTCTGGAAACCACGCTCGCTGGCCAGTAGGCATGGAGACCAAAATCAGATCGAGGCTCTTCGCTTGACTGATTTTTAGCAAGACTTGTGGGATTAACGAGGAGGCGGAAAGCGACGCGCTTAGTCCCTCCCACGATATGCTTAGTGCGCCCTGCCCAAGCCAGTGGATCTGGCACTGGCGATACGAAGGTTGTCAGTTGATTGTTGAATCGGGTGGCAAATAGGTCTATGACAGGAGATCCTATTTCCATGATTATCTGATTGAATATCTCTGTGTGGAGCATCCATTCTGTCGGCGACGGATGGTGCGGCCGAGAGAGAGCGTCTGCTAACACATTCTTTGCTCCTGGAATGTGGCAGGCTTTGATACGAATGTTTAGACTGTCGACTAAATCGAACAGTCTGAAACATCGGGTGAGTAGATTCAGTGATCTTGTTGACCCTTGTTTGTTCACATAAAACGCCACTGTTGAGTTGTCTGTGTGAATCATTAACTGGGCGTTCTGTAACAGGTTGCTCCAGTGACTTATGGCGTTTATGACTGCTTGCATCTCTAGCAGATTTATGTGACATAAGCTCTCTTGAATGCTCCATAGGCCTGACGCTGTCCTGCCGGTAAGGTGGGCTCCCCAACCTATTAGTGACGCGTCCACGTAGAGGTGTATATCCGATTCCGGCTCTACTAAGGAGACGCCTACGCAGACATTCAATCTCTTGGTCCACCAGAGTAGATGTGGTTTGACATAATCTGGTAGACTGAATGGTAGAGGGTCCTCGAGATGAGCAATGATGAGGACTTGTAATGGACGAATTGAAGCCTGCCTCTGAGTGTCAAGTCTTGAGCTGATGTGAGTAGTCCCAGTAGACTCTGCCACTGTCGTGAGTGGTAACGGAGAGAGTAGGGCTTGGGGAATCAGTTGTTGTATTTTGATCCATCTGTCCTCCGGGACTACCAAACCATTCTGGGCTGTAAGGAATCGTGATACCTAGAAACTGCAGATCTTCATGTGGGCTCTAGGTCCGACTTGAGTAGATTTACTAACCAGCCTAACTGTGTTAGTAGCTTGATTGTAAATTCCAGCTGTAGTCTGAGACGCTGTGGATCTGGATCCACCTGTATACCGCCGCTCAGGTAAAATGCACTCCGCAGGCCTTGACGATGTAGGTATGAGACAATAGGCTTGGTTACTTTGTGAATACCAAGGGGCAAGTGATTCTCGGGAAGTACTTTCCATTGGTAGTGTATGCCGCCTAGCATAAACCTCAGATATTTCCTTGACCTGGGATGAATCGGAATGTGTAGGTATGCATCCTGCAGATCTATACTTACCATGTAATCTAGTGGGACTAATTAGCTGACGGAGTTGAGGTAAATGTATCATCTTAAACGCTGGTGGTTTGCACAGAAAATCTCTGTTGAAAGTGCTCATGTTGTAAATGAGGCGATACTTCTCTTTGGAATTCTTTTTCGGCACTAGGAAAACTGGGGAGTAGAAGCCTGGTGTGATGTTTTGCTGCTCGAGAACTTCTAAGGCCTGTTTGTTTAGTAGAGACTGAACTGTTTCTCTTAACATCGGTAGTAGTGCCAGCTGAACGCTGAACCCTGGTGGGTCGACTGTTAACGGTGGCTTGGCCTTGAGTTGTAGACAATATCCGCATTGAAGGATGTTGGATACATATGGATCTTGAAGTATTCCCAGTTTTCCCAGTGTAGTTGCAGACGCCCACCCACTTGAGAAGGTTGTACTGGGACGACTGGGGTGGAAGACTCCAGTCGCTCCAACCTGACTTTCATCGCTTAAATCCATCGGCACCTCTGGATGATCTGCCTCTAGCTGATCCTCCTCTTAACTTGTTGTATGGGCTTATTTAAAAGAATTCTTGGGATTATTAACGTCGCTAATTTCTTATCCCGGCCCTCTGTAGCCCTGAAAACTTAGACTTACCCGAAAGTACCTCTGTGCTGATTGTTTAAAGGCGCTGGCTAACGATCCATAGATTTAATCATGAGAACTTCTCTAGAATCTTTAGATACTTCCTTGGAAACCTTGTTAATGTTGCCACCAAACAGTAACGGTGAAGACCATGGAGCTGTGTACAGAGGCTCTGTGAATTGTTTATTCCAAGAGCAGGAGGCTAGTAACCCTTGCCGACGTGACATGGTAGTGATTTCAGTAAGAGCTGAAAGATGGTCTGTAAGGAATTGTTGATCTTTTTTTTGCATAAGTAGTGCTGAGTAAATCATCCTACTCTCCTCATCCGTAGAGTTCTTGAACTTGGTGATGAGAGTTTCGTTAATAGTCCTAGACCTATTAAGTCCGAAAAACATCCTCCTGGAAATGGTATCTAACTGGGCCATCTTGCGATCATCAATCCTATAAGTTCTGGACTTGGAATCACTGATAAGTTGAAAGTTCTCATCAATCTCCTGAGTCTTGAAAAAGGGCTCCATATTATGTCCATAAAAATTCTTGGCATTGAAGAATGGTAAATGGGTAGGTTGGTTTTTAGTAGATTTGGCGTAAGTAGTATCCAGATTAGCAGGAACGGCTGCGATAGGATCCATAGGAGGCACGGTGATATGATCTACATCATCATCTTTCATGAGGTAAGTTTGGGCTGTATCCTCGCTCTTAGAGGGAGAGGCCAGTTGTAATTCGCTTACCATCCAATATCTTATCTCAGCTTCTGAGAAAACAATACCATCATCCTCCTCTGATGGATGGTTGTATGTCGGAGTCCTAGATCTGTAAGAAGATCTATGTGAGGACTGAGGAGAACGGACTGAAGAGTGGCTAGTGTATGTAGACCTTGAGAAGACATCCTTCTGGAGACTGTGATCTACGTTGAACGGTGATGGCTTCGCAGACGCTAGGACTTCTCGAACGCTGAGGGCTACTAACGCCTTCTAGGCGATGTAGAACCACTTTAGCCTCGCTGGCCCCACGCTAATGTATGGATTCAGTGTCCCGATCCGACATATGAGCGCTTGTTTCGCTGGACGCCTTCTTCGCATGACAAGGTGCGTGCTCGGGCGAAGCCCTTCTCCCTGAAGCCTCTTGCAAAAGGTGAGGCTCTAGCTCCTTCACGGAGGCGCCTGGGATACCTTATGCAAAGAGCTCACTCCGGCAGGGTTGCCCTTCGCTGAGGCGCTGCCTATGGGCTCAGAGGCCCCACCGAAGCCAAGGCGGCTCTGAGGCCCTGTATGACTTGATATGGGTGGGCTCTGAGGCCCGTGGCTCTGAGGCCTCTGTAAGTCGTGAGCGTCTTCCATCACCCTCATTATCTGGTTGATCAAGTCGCCTGAAGCGGTTCATGCTGAAGAGGGATGTCTCTGCAGAGGTGACGGACCCTCAGATAAAATTTCTGGTGATAGAGTTGGCATCTCCTGTTGTGTGTTCATCTGCGCTGAGGTGACAGTCGCAGAAACGGGCCGCTTTTGTGACGAACTTCTGAATGATAATAGGCATATCATCATCATATAATGCTAATTCTGTAACTGGTAAGATATCAGAGGCAAAATTATTAGATTTTGTTGACTTCCCTTTAGATGAAGGTGTAGATCTTGGTGTACGCAAAGTACGAGATGATATGGATGGTTTCCTCGACTTGGACTGAGAAGACGGCAGCTCTTGAGATGCAGGTCGCTTGACATAGCGGATGCGCCCCACGCTTATCCGCCGAGGGAAACTCAGGCATGCCACCAGCCGGTATGGTCCTCAGTCAACAGTTGACATGAAACATTAATTTGCGATCTATTAGCCATGTTTGAATTCTGTTTACGTGATTTATCTGCCTTCCGTCTGTAAACGGAACATAAATATTTGTCAAAGGCAGAGATAGGTAAATTGATACAAAATTTACAACGAGAATCAAAGGAACATGGAGTAATGCAACTAGGGCATTTTAAATGTGGATCGGTATCAGAATAACGAAGTTTACATTCTGTGCAAATTTTCATTAATGTAGCCTACTGAACAAACACTAATTTAATCGTGAATAAAACAGCAGAAACACAATTAATAATCAATGCAAATTGAATAATTATATTAGTACTACCTCTATACTAACGATAAGAGGAACTTAACTAAATATAATTAAGGATATAGTGTGTTGGGAGACACAGGTGCTCTCACGCCCAGCTCACTGGGCTTAAGAAGGAGAGAGTGAAGCACATGGGCTTGGGTGGCTCGCTCCTCGCCGCTTGGGGAAAGGGAGGTAACTCGTGGTGAGTACTAATGAGTGATTTTTATTGAAGGAACTTCAATTGGGAGATATAATAAGCATGAGTCGGTTCCACTAGGTTCGCCAGAAGAAGAAGACAAGCAAATATAAGCAGTGCCTCAGAGTCAGGATAAGACTGTTTTACTTTGAGTATTCACAAGTGTGGTAATAAATTGCCATTAGTATTAAATAAAACTATGGCTCTTCATATTAATGTGGATTGACATTCTGTCATCGGCATTCCTAATTATACGCAGATGGAATGCTCATGCTGTTGATCACTGGACTGTTTTCTGTCATCGGTCCAGATGCTGTTGATCATGATTTACGGACCGTCACCATATAGCTGGAATGTTGCTGAGTGAGGTGAAAAACTAAACTCACTCACTCACTCATTTTAAAGCAGACTTACAAATTCAACATCATCAGTTTTTCGTCGTCTGCTGCGGCCTGGTGTTGTAGCCTGAGATTCTTCTTCTGACCCCTCACTGTCGCTGGACGACTCGAAACTGTCTTCCTCAGAAGAATTACCTGTGGACAAGCTTCCAGTTAGTGAGTGAGTTTGGTTTTATGCTGCTTTCAGCAATATTTCAACAATATCAAGACAGGGGACACCAGCCATGGGCTCCCCACATTGTATCCATGTGCGGAATCAAACCCAGGTGATGAGCAAGTGCTTTAACCACTAAGCTACCACATTGCTGGATAAGCTTACAAGTGAATGGTGACTGATTATGACATTGCATGTAACATACTCCTCTCTAGAGATGACTGCACAGAAATATACAAGAGGAGTGAGTGAGCGAGTTTAGTTTTATGCTGCTTTTAGCAATATTCCAGCAATATCATGGCGGGGTACACCTGAAATGGGCTGCACATATTGTACCCATGTGGGGAATCAAACCCGGGTCTTCGCCGTGACGAGCGAACGTTTTAACCACTAGGCTACCCCCACCGCCCCTTATATACAAGAGGAAGCCACAGGGCAGAGTGGCAGGTATCACAAAAACATGGCTACACAAACACAGGCCGATGTAGTAACATTTGGTTGGTTGGCTACTTGGTTTGTTGTTAACGCCTCACTCAGCAATATTCCAGCTATATGGCGACGGTCCGTAAATAATCGAGTCTGGGCCAGACAATCCAGTAATCAACAGCATGAGCATCGATCTGTGCAAATGCGATGCAATGGCATGTGTGCCAGCAAACCAACCGATACAATGGCATGTGTCAACCAAGCCAGCAAGCCTGACCACCCGATCCCGTGAGTCACCTCTTATGACAACCATGGGTTACTGAAGACCAATTAGTAACATTTGGAGTTTCACTGCTTCTGTCTAAGAATGTCCACAAGGAAATCTACATGGGGCAATAAGGTCATCGTCTACCACTCACAACCTGGTCAGTTTGGTCAGACTCTCCACTGACCTTCGTCATGTCTCTTTCGCAACCTGTATCGGCGTAGTTGCTTCGGGTCTGCGGTTCCTGCGAGACTTCCGTGGAGTGGTGGTTCCTTCAGTATGTTTGGGGGTCACTGGCACAGGAACTGAAGACAAGAGTCAGGAATAATCAGTATGGGTACCAATCTCCTTATCAACAGACACCTGTCAACAGCAGATACAGAAAACATGTGGTGACACAACAAGCGTTATTCTTCCAACCTTAGTGTCACAAATAGTGGCCAACTTTGAGGAATGTCGCATGTACATGTCTCTTCTGGGATCTCTAGGCCTATCAGCCTTCAAAATGGCCATGCCCATGTTAAGCTGTGAGATTAAGAATGCCATTGAAAAATTGTGTGATTGGGTTTAAAACAAGGTTTTAATCATATGAGTTGGTCAGTTAATTACATTTTCCATCAAATGAATCATGGTGAGTATTATTTGTATAAATTTAGGTGTGCCACCAGGGCACTGTCAAAATGTTTACTGTGACCTGGCACGAAATCAGTGTATGGTCTTCTCAACATGGACAAAAAGTATTCATAAAAGTTTTAAAAAATTACTGGTCATACTCATTAATAACAAATAATTACACTTACTTTCCTGAAGGGGCTTCACTCTGTATTCATCTTTCGGGGATTCCTGTTGCGCTTGAGATCGGGAAGACTTTGGAGTTCTTGACTCTGAAGCTGTATTGAAAAACACTTATTTTAGACCTGAACTGGTAACAGAATGTTGTTACATTAAAATTCAAGTTGTACTATTCACAAAAAATATGAACAGTTTCATGATGCTAATTTCACCTAATTCAAACATCGATGCTTTGCACTGGCTTACCTTTCTGGGCCATCTGGCCTGATTTCTTATTTTTCTTGAACTGAAAAACATCACTGCCATGGATGTCTCCTTCAGCTTCCAGAGCTGAAACAGAAAAAGTGTTTCATCTGCATGCCACACATAACATGATAAAGCATCCTCATCAATTGTAAACAAGAGCCCAAGTGACTAACATATATAAAAACGGAATATTATTTCTCCCAATTCAGCTCATTTGTGACCTTACTGGCTGACAGAGTATGGTTTTCAACCACTTTTAGCAATATTCCAGCAATGTCCAGATGCTTTAACCACTAGGCTACCCAACCAAGATGTATGGTATGTATGTAAGGTTTTATGCGACACACAAGTCAGAGAACAGATGCAGAAAACACACAATGCCACATCCGTATAGAGACATACCAAGAGCATACCTGCGGAACCATCACTATTATCAGGGAGACTCTATAAGGGGGAGTGGTCACTCCTCGGAAAGCTCCTAAGCTATGCCTCGGCTCGTCACGTGACCAGTGCAGCCAATATGGCGGAAGCGTAGTTTTTAAGATTGAGCCCGGTTTATTTTCAACAGCTGATTACATACGCTGAGTGTTGTGACAACTGAAAACCTACATGTAGAAGATAAGTTACCTATTCTGTCACTTCATTTTAAGTCAAATACTTGTTATTAGTGTCAGTATAAGTACAGTAGCTTTGTAGTAAAGTTTCAAGTGGGCATGTTGTAGCTCACTGGCTTCAATTCTCAGTACACAGCGAAGAAAGACTAACTTATATCGCTAAAAACTTCTTTTCACATATTAGTTTAATTTTTAGAAGGGAAATATACCTTTTGTTAAAAGGTGTTTGCAAGTAATAGTGATATTTTTATAACTAAAAAAATTTGTTAGGTGTATTTGAGGTGTGTGAAAATATGACATATCGCCGATCTGCCATTGAAATACTACAGGCGTTGTTTGAGTGTTTCTAGTTAGTGTTCAAAAACATCTTCACATACACCTTCATTTTTTTATGAGGGGAATATACCATCAGGTGAAAGGTGTTTGCAAGTAATAGTAATAGTTTTATAATTTAAAAAAAATTGTTAGTGTGTATTTGTGGTGTGTAAAAAATATGACATATCGCCGATCTGCCATTGAAATACTACAGGGCGTTGTTTGAGTGTTTCTAGTTAGTGTTCAAAAACATCGCTAAAAACTTCTTTCACATATTCGTTTAATTTTTAGAAGGGAAATATACCTTTTGTTAAAAGGTGTTTGCAAGTAATAGTGATATTTTTATAACTAAACAAAATTTGTTAGTGTGTATTTGAGGTGTGTGAAAATATGACATATCACCGATCTGCCATTGAAATACTACAGGGCGTTGTTTGAGTGTTTCTAGTTAGTGTTCAAAACATCTTCACATACACCTTCAATTTTTATGAGGGGAATATACCATCAGGTGAAAGGTGTTTGCAAGTAATAGTAATAGTTTTATAATTTAAAAAATGTTAGTGTGTATTTGAGGTGTGTGAAAATATGACATATCGCACGATCTGCCATTGAAATACTACAGGCGTTGTTTGAGTGTTTCTAGTTATTGTTCTATTATACCTGCAAGGACCCGTAAATTTTATTTGATCCCCACTTTTGTAACTCACGGTAAAACTCTGTGGATAGATGGATGGATGGTTGTGTTGTGTGGGGAGGAAGGGAGGCATGCACACACGCACACACACACACATTGGAAAGTATGGAATGGTTTGAAACAGGAATGTGCAAAGAGTCAAACTACAGATTATTCACAACCCATCATTTATCTCACGGAAACAACCTTCATGTTACACTATACTGATACCTGATGATGGTCCATACACTTCATCCTCATCACTGCTGCCTTCAACATACTCTTCTTCTTGTATTTTCTGTTTCCGTGTTCCAGTTGAAAAGCTTACTTTTCTATTTCTCAGTTTTTGGGCTGAAAGTATAATGGACAGATAAAGGAATATTCAGCAGACAAGAACGGTCAAATATCACTTATGCAAAGGCCTTTAGAACATCATATAAATTAAAAACAGATTCAAATTTATTCCAAATTCTTTAGCTGACGTTAACGTTAACTCTTATAGGCACTGGATATTATTTCTTTGATTGTGCGTGCGATGAAATCCTGTATGAATCTGTATCGATGTTTTGCCTGATCCTTTGGCAATTCCGGACAAAAAAGGGATATTTAACCTTGATGGTTGTCTTCTACGTTAATGATATGTTGTACGACATCGTCGTCGCCAGCAAACGTGACGGACACTCGAGAGCTTCTCTTGCCGGCACTTTTCATAGTTGAATATGGCGGGAATATGGAACTCTTCAGTGTGGAGCTAGATACTTCCTGTGGGGAGAAATCACTAACAACACGACAACAACGGATTAACGAAATCGTCGGTGCTGTAATAAGAAAACCACAAACAAATATTAAATAGATACTTTTTTAATCGCATTCGTACTTTTACACAGTTTCATATCTGTTGGCTGTATCAGTGACATTTAAAAAAAAATACTCAATGAAGGATCCCGTATTCTATAAACATGACTGTGTTGATGCTTGCCACACGTGATGAGTTATTAACCTAGTCGGAACATTCAACATTGTTCACAATAGTGTCACAGAGTAGACTCAAGCTGTTTAGTCGGTACATAAATAGAAAGAGACATTTGTCTTTCATGTTAGATATCAGTGTTACATTCAGATTGTATTGTATGTTTTAAGTATCTATTGACAGCCAGCCGCTTTAATTACCACATTTCCGCATTGTAGAACTATACGAGAGAGATGTCAACCCTGTGTCCACTGTCACCGCTATTATCTTCAAGTGGTAGGTTATAAGAAATCTATAGCATGTTACACACATAAGCTAGGACCATTAAATAGCGTTTTGCTTGTCATTTGTGCTTCAGACGATGTTGGGTCATATATCTGGTTGAGAGTCGCTATTGAGACATGTTCCAACCCACATCGTTATGTAGGGTCATGTCCTGACTGCAGTTCCCCATCACAGATAGCAGCCAGGTGAAACTTTTACAGTCAGATCACAATGCAAGATCATCTAGAAAACAAGGACATCAACAATCCTCTTAATAATTTTATCAGTAGTGCATTTATATTGTTGACATAAACAGCTATCCAACAATGAAATACACAATGCAATTTTAGAAAGTGGGACTCAACCCAAAAAGTACTAGAATCTGTACTTTACTAAGAAAGTGTAATCCCAAATATAACATATGTTACAAGCTATCCAACAAGTTAGTGATGTTTAGGAGATTAATTATAGGGCCCATAAATGTTTCATCAGTTTAATATCTTCTCTATAGGCATTGACTGATTGTAAGTGTCCATAGCTACCCACATAGCAAAGGTGTGTTGGGCCAATGTTGGTATATGGTTGGTTGGTTGGCCAACAGTTTGACAACATTGGCCCATCGTTATTTTAATGACCTAAAAGTAACGGTGGCTTTTGACACGTTGGTCCAACAGTGGGCCAACATTTGAAAAACTCTGCCTATTTTCCCTGATCTTACATCTATTTCACAAAGTTGGGCCACCGTTGGCCCAACATTGTGAATAAAAGAGTGAGCACACGGCCATTTTTAGCCATGTTTTCTTATTAAGATTTTGATGAAAGTTGAGATAATTACACAGGCAAAAAAGAAAGAATCCATTTCCCCTGTCTTTCAACTTTGATGCAGTGAATTTTACAGCGTTGTTTTCTCCAAATTGAATACCAAACTTGTCATCATTGATAGCTTTACCTGATATTCAAAGAGCAGACGACACTACATTTCTGGAGGCCTTCAACTGGTAAATATGCATTGTTATTTCTGTGATACTGAATTGCGAATATATTGTGAAATAATTGTTAGGTTGTAACAACCTGATAGGGTGATTTGATAGAGTCTATAGTTTGATTAGTTCATCATATCCCAATGGTATGTAGTATCCTTGGTCTCTATTGATCAAAGGTTTGTGGCGGCTGATTTCGATGGCTTCCAAAAGTTTTCTTTTCGTGAAGTCCTGATTCTTGGTGGATAAGATTTCGAATTTGTCAAACCAGCCCCCTAAAACTAAGTTTGGCGTCATCTCAACCCTGATCAAGCACACTAAGAACATTTGCTCCAGCAGCCATGACCTAGAACATGAGCGGAACGACCTACAACATGTCTTCACGAGCCTCAACCAGTAACCCACCAACTCATAGTCTGTTTGATTTCATTTGAGACCAATGAATTGCTCACTAACACAAAATCTAATAATTGCAACAAAACCAAATTTTTGCAGTCACATGAAAACGACAGACCAATGAAGAACTAATCAAACTATAGACTCTATCAAAGCACCCTATCAGCTTGTTGTTACAATTGAATCCCCCTTGTTTATTGGCTTCATCACCATTCCATTGGTTGTTCTTAGTCCCCATCTGGCCTCTCCCAATAATGTACCAGTTGTTATTCAATTACATGTTGTTGTTAATGTCAATCTGCTGATTGTCAAAACATACTACGTATATACTTCTCATCATTTGGTTTTAGCTTGATAACAGTGTAAGAATCTACATCCGAACGTCACTCTGTGCAATAAACAAGAAGGTTTCAATCATTAAGTTGTATGTTTCAAATAAAACATAAGGTCAAATACTATGTCCTTTTACGATAGTTCTCATGTCTAAAATTATGATATCTGACAGTTTCATGAAATTTTGGGGGGGTTTTCAGGAGCAGTTCGAAAAACATGTCAGCGGCGACAGCCAAAAGACCTAAGACAAGAATATTTTCAAGAAATACAATAATGTTCAAATAACAATAAAAAAACAAATGTTGAAATACAGTTGTGCCAACATAATGCCAACTAAATCACATCGTTGGGCCAAGTATGGGCCATGGTTTAGTACAAAGGTCAAGAAAGAGCTAAATGTTGTAACACGGTGGTGCCAACATAAGGCCAACAAAATCACTACGTTGGGCCAAGTATGGGCCATGGTTTTGTGTGAATTTTCATTCGTTGGCCCAACAATGAGCCAACATGATAAGCCACTGTGGAGCCGATGAGCATATCCAAGTGGGCCCATCGTCAGTTTGACAACCATGGACCAACCAAACCAGTGATTATGGGCCAACTATGGGCCAACATATCAATGCTATTTGGGTAATTGTTTGTTGAGAAAAAATATATTTGATAACAAAATTGAATTTAAATTCTACATTTGTTATATTTGGGATTACACTTTCTCAGTAAAGTACAGATCCTAGTGCTTTCATTACATTGAGTCGCATTCTGGATTTGAACTCACACTCTAGGAGTCAAGCACCTAATCGCCAGCACCAACCACTGTGGCTTCCACATAAATGGAAGTTGAGCAACTCATGTAGTCTAGATCACATACTTAAACATCAATGACCATTTTTAATTGCAATTTCAAATAGGGCTAACATAAAATATTCATTAGTATTTTACAATATCTTCCATGATAGTGATACCCCAGTCATGATGTCACAATCGTTTGATTCAAATTTTGATTGTTTTTTTTACTATTGTTTTCAGGTATACGAACAGTGCTTCTCATTCTCAACAGGCCATTACAACCTGACATAAAAGTTCTTAAACAGTTGTGGTCCAAAGGTAGAAATCTTTATTTTCTTTGCATGTGTAAAATGTCAGAATATATTTCTCTGTTTACAATAACATTTATAATCAAAATGTCTCAGACATATTTTCTAGTGCATATTAGATATGTCAAGATATGTTCTTTAGTGAAACAGAATTTACGGAAATACAGAATGGAGTGTAAATTTCAAGCTGACGTTGTTTTATGCACTTGCACTGACAGAGAGGAATTAATTTAATGATTGGTCCCTATGCTTGTTGTACCCATCTAAGTGAATTAGGCTGAGGGACTTTGACGACTGAGTGTCAAGAATTGTGATGTTATGTTGCATGTGATATCAATCAGGGCTTTGTCCCAACTCCATTATTTACAAACCACCACCATATAGCTAGACTACTGACGTCAGTGTTTAAATACACACAACATGTCTCTGATCTTATTTGTTTCAATCTTTTCATATTGAATACATGTCAAGGAACTTTTCTTACACTATCCACTGTTCCTGTTTTCATCTAGTAATGTTTCATGTTTATGTGATACAGAGATTTGGCTGATGAAAGAGAAATTATTTGCGTGAAAGACTCTGATTGTACACCACTGTTCACACTTGTACATACTTGTTTCATATATATCTGACCCATGAAGGTCCCGGGTTAGAATTGGTCTTCAGTAACCCATGCTTGCCACAAAAGGCGACTATGCTTGTCGTAAGAGGCGACTAATGGGATCGGGTGGTCAGGCTCGCTGACTTGGTTGACACATGTCATCGGTTCCCAATTGCGCAGATCGATGCTCATGCTGTTGATCACTGGATTGTCTGGTCCAGACTCGATTATTTACAGACCGCCTCCATATAGCTGGAATATTGCTGAGTGCGGCGTAAAACTAAACTCACTCACTCACTCATATATATCTATTCACTCTAATTGGGCCACCGCTATCTGGAACTTCCAAATTATGATAATCTGTTTAGTGCGCAAAGTGTGCAAAATAGCTGCCTGTCAGCCAGCCTGTGGCTAGCAAAATCTATTTTTGGCTAAACTTCTACAGTTCAACTAGCTACTGAAATCTTGGCAGTGTTCTTTCTTAATCATAATGTACATAAAATGAAAAACGTTCCCCCGTTTCTGTATATCATCATTAGGCCAGACCAATTTTATTTCTTGTTTTACGGATCCGCCTGTCATATTTTTTCAAGAATAAGAATAAAAATAAAAATTAATTTTCCCCGCTCCAAAAATATAATTTTGATACTTTTATTGGCCAAAAAAGTAAATGTGCAAGAAAATGATTTTAGATTGTTTTTGTCCCATATGCACTTCAGGAATTGCCAAAAGTAAAATACTTTTAGTATTTAAAAGGAATATTACTTTGAATGGTGATTTTTATTTTTTTATTTTTTTCCCTCCTGCCATTAGGTTTTCTGAGGACAAAAATCCGTAAAACAAGAAATGAAATTGGTCTTGCCTTATCATAAAAGATATAGATAATATCCCTAAGAAATCAAAGTTGCAAAGTCAGAGTTACCCCCTTTATAATATACCACTTATGATTTTCATTTTTAGGTTGCTCTATTGATTCCTTCACAGAATCAAATTTCTTGAAAAGTAATTTGTTACCTGTGTGAGCTCGTGGAATTTTAAAGTGGTCAGCGATTTCAAGGCCAGCAATATCATGAGACAATTTCACACAATTTGCATACCTTACACACAATATACCTATGAACAGTGAGTGCTATATGTGAATCTTTTCCTTCAAGAAATGTGTCAATGTGTTGCAGCTGTTTACCGAGCCTGTGCAGATGGGGGTTCCAACAGACTGTACAACACCATGGGAGATGACCGAGACAGCTACATGCCCAACATCATCACCGGGGACTTCGACTCCGCTCATAAATCTGTGCTTGACTACTACAGGAACAAGGTAAAATGAGTCGTCTTGTGTTGTGTGTTCTTTTGTCTTGAACAATCTCGTATCTCTATTGGTGGCTGAAAAACAGCTTACATTATTCACCAGAAAACTTTCTCCAGGAATGGTATTACAAGGAAAGTCGTTTAGTAGTCTCTATGTATATTTCAACAGATTAAAAGATCATAACAGGGAATACATACAGTGAAACCTGTCTAAACCAGCAATAAACCGAAATAAAATGCTGGTTTAGACAGGGTGCCGGATTAGACAGTGACGATCATTTTCCAACATGGCTGCCATTTACACTCATCAATCTCTTTATCGCTATAATCTAGTGTGACGAGAGGAGTGTATTGGATTATGGGTCCTTGATTGTACTGCTCATACCCATGCGGTTTAGACAGTGTTAATTATAGTTAAAATTGCTTGTCTGGACCGGAAAGTTGTGCCGGAATACGGAATAGACAGGTGCCAGATTAGACAAATGTTTATGATCATAATATTGTTGTAAAATGGCGGGACCAAAATTGTATGCCAGTTTTGACAGTGTGCCGGATTAGATAGATGCCGGTGTTGGCAGGTTTCACTGTACCTCAGTTTGGTCTCTGGTCACATTAACAGTAAACAAACTATTAACTATAAACTAAGAAAAATGGCAATGGTATTTTCTTTTACTAAATTTTCCAGTGTTTGCATTGACTTAGAGTTATAGTGTAGTGAACCTGTGTGTTTTATCAGGGAGCGGGTGTTATCGTCACTGAGGACCAGGATGAAACAGACTTCAGTAAATGCCTTCGAGTCGTCGTAGAGAAAACAAAAGACTTGAAGGTCAGTTCTACCATATTATAGGCATGAGATTATGGTACTTGTTGCAATAATAGATATACAATTGACATTATTAATAACAGGTGATTAAGAGGTGATAAGATACAAATTATGAGAGGATTTAATAATATATTTAAGATATGAAGTGATTAATAACGTTGTAAGGTAGGAAGTCAGTAGCGGAGGTAATAAACATGAAAGTAGGTCGTTGGAGCTGATGGGGGCAGGGTGAGATGACTCATAGCTTAGGTAGGGGAAAAACTGCTACACTATCAAGACATAGCGGCATGTCCGGGGACCTTGCTACCAGTTCTTGGTACTATACGAGTCATATATGGTTAGGGGAGAGAGACTCTGAGATTCCTGGAATACACCTCACGGTCTTGCAAATATGGTAGTGGGGGTACGAAATATAGGTGGGGGAGAGTAATAGATAGTCAGGTTATGGGTTATTGACCAACAGAAAAAATGGAAAAGGGTGTTGGCTGTGACGAGGGAACCCAGCTTTAAGCTGGAGCAAAGCTCAGAGACGAGAGAGTGGTGCGAGACCTGAAGCCGAGAACGAGTGTGTTCTAGGAACCCCAAGCCTGGGGTCTAGGGCGCACCAGCTCTCATCCGATTGTCACTAACTTCAGATTTAAGAAACAAACTCAAAGCACCAGCATTTCGACTGAGACTGAAGCTTTCTAGCTGAAGTCTCCTAATTATGTGACAAATAGAGTAGGTTGGACCAGCAACGCAGTGTTAATAAAACTGTGGAACGAAGATCATCGCCTTGTGGTTGCTGGAGGAACCACGGTAAAATGGAATCATTTATTCCTCCATATAATTATCTGTGTAACAAATATTTTTACCCTTGGTAGGATTTCCTGGTATTGCTGGTATACTGGTGTGAAACAAACATTCTAAGTATATTAGGTAAATAAAAATATCATAAACTTTGTTATTATTTGTGTCATTTAAATCTGAATCCCTTTAGCCGGCACTATAAAATGTCGGTGACCAGTCATACAGACTAATAAAACAATATTTTTCAGTGTATGTGATGTCAATAAGATTTTCAGACTTTGGCAATACAGCAATACATCATTTTCCACCTGCTGATATATGGATGTTAATTATCATAATTTTTCAGTATGACCTCATAACAGTAATCGGTGCATTTGGAGGCAGGTTAGATCACCTGTTTGCCAATGTCAATACACTGTACCTGGCTCACTCCCTCACTCAGAAGCCAGTTGTACTCATCTCAGAAGGATCCGACGCTTGCTTGCTCGGCCAGGTATTGTTCATTTGGTGTCATGACAGATTAAACAATGGTGTAGATCTGAGAATCTTATTCTCTCATTCAGTGATCCTTAGTTACTTTTCAACCCTCTCCCCACCTCTCTATAGTTGTGGGGGCGGTGGGGTAGCTTAATGGTTAAAGCGTCCACACATCATGCTGAAGACCAAGGTTCGATTCCCCACATGGGTTCAATGTGTGAAGCCTATTTCTGGTGTCCCCACCATTATATTTCTGGAATATTGCTAAAAGCGGTGTATAACCACACTCACTCACTCACTCACTCACTCACTCACTCACTCACTCACTCACACTCTCACTCACTCACTCACTCACTCACTCACTCACTCACTCACTCACTCACTCACTCACTCACTCACTCACTCACTCACGCTCACTCACTCACTCACTCTCACACTCACTCACTCGCTCACTCACTTGCTCACTCGAAAATCTAGGTCCAGGGCAGTAGGGTGACCTCATGGTTAAAGCGTTTGCTTGTCACGCCCAAGACCCCGGTTCGAATCCCCACATGGGAACAAGGTGTGAAGCCCATTTCTGGTGTCCCCCGCTGTCATATTGTTGGAATATTGCTGAAAGTGGTGTAAAACTACACTCGCTTGCTCGCTCTTACTCACTCACTCACTCACTCACTCACTCACTCACTCCTCACTCACTCACTCAAAACCAACTCACTCACTCCACAATGTTAACAGTTTGGGTGAAACTCGAATATGGTACATGCCACATATAAAGTGACAGTATGCATAACGCAACCCCTTTGTACAAATCTTATACCGGTAATTTATTGTTGCTTAAAAAAATATTTTGAAGACTAAAATGTTTCTTGGAAACTACAGTGCCAATAGATATTGCCATGGCACAGTGGCTGTTATGGTACCAGTGACAGTTACTGATCCTTTCCAGGGCAAGCACATTCTGAAAGTTGATACTGGGCTGGAAGATGATTGGTGTGGCTTGATCCCTGTGGGTGCCACATGTGAGCATGTGACTACCACCGGACTGAAGTGGAACTTGAGTGAGTAAATTATGACTGTTGTGCAGAGTTGCGTCCCTTGTCCATGCCAGGATCCCTCATGCTCTCAAATGCATTACTATGCTTGTCTTGGCCACAAAGTTGAGTGTATCAGTATGACTGGTTGGTGCCTGTCATATCCCAATTGTGTGGATCAAAGCTCATGATGTCAATAACAGGATTATCTGATGATCACATAGTTTAAATATTGTTTAGTGTGCATTAAACACACACAACACAAGAATGTGTTGTTTTTCTTCCAGAATAACCAAACAAGTAATGCTGGAACAGAACTGTTTAAAGCAAAGTTAAAACTAAACCCACTTAAATTTGGTGAGTTTAACATTGCTTTATGAAGGACATTAATGTTTCAGATAATCAAGCCCTAAAGTTTGGTGACCTTATCAGTACTTCCAACACTTACGATGGTTCTCAAGGTGTAACCATAGAAACCGACAAGCCGTTGTTATGGACAATGGGGTACAAGAGTGTATGAAAAAGGAAAATTGTATGGAATGTTTCTTCCTGATCCTAACATCTTTTTTAGAGATTTACATGTTAAGAAATATTTTCAATATTTTATTACCAGTATTTAAGGTACAACTGACATTATTTTCTTGTTTCATCATGGTGATTGGTATATATGGTAATATATACTACTCCACTGTTAATTGGGATATGTATTATTATATACATAAATGTGAAAGACAGAGATTTCTGAGTTTAAGAAAAGTGTTACTTTCACTTCAGTGAAATCTTATATTCCTACATATCACTTTGCCGACAGTACTTCATGGCTACACAGACTCTTCTGTTTAGTACCTCATCACACAACACAATTTCTGCCTCCTGTTTAAGTTTCAGTGGAAATTGTTACAAATGTTTCTATATTGGGAAGCATCTGTACATTCATGATAAAAACAAATCAGGTGTACCTTATGTATTATCCAACTGAGGTGTAATAGGGGGAGATAGTAATCGGTATGTCTATCTGCCGTACCTGTTTGTCCACGATCATTGGATCATATCTCTAAAACTAATGTGATTCTTTCATGAAACACAACAGATCAACTGGTGCCTTTTCCTATTAAGGATGTTATAGAAGTTGACGTATTTCCTTTTCCATGGCAATAAGTTTTACTTCGACTCAAGGATGTGCTTTTCCAGAGCAAATTTCTAAACTATCAGCTTTCTTCCGTACACCCACACAATGACCAAACTGTAAACTTTCAATTAAAAGTTATAGTGTTTTTTATATGTTTTATAAATTTGGTATCTCATTATCATGATTTCTCATGTTTATGTTCATATCTCTGCGCAGATTACGGCATATTTTACCAGCTGTATGACGTCTACTAAGTCACATTTTGTGTAAGGATCTGAGATACAAATACAAAGCCCCAAGCCCAGTTCAATGTATTGTTTTTATAACTCAGAATTTGATCATGTGCATGAACAGTCAGATTAGATAGAAATACTCAATCAAGTTGGACAGCTCACTCTTGTGGGACGTGCTTTAACAATCATTATTTGTACTTTCCAAATTGTTGGAGAATGTGTTATATTCTGATGACTTTTGTTGTGTTTTTATATTCGGTTAAATGCTACTCAAGTTTTGTGCCATCATCCAATGCAGAGTGATTGTTATATGTCTAATGGTGTTGTATATGTTATGTCTTATAATCCTGAGATACTTGCTAGAAGAAGTTTTGATTACAATCAAGGTCTGGAAATAATATGTGGAAGAACATAGCATAATATTTTTTTGAATGTTGAGGGAATGGTGGTGAAAGGCTGCACCTGTTTTTTTGTAAGCACTTTGTAAACAACTGCAGGTCTTAAATGTCCACACCTTAGACAGTATCCAAAGATGTAACACTCCGTAGGTTCCTCATCCTAGATAATCTACAGGGTATACGTTCCTATAAATCAGAACCCTGGATGCATCTCAACTTCCCAGCATAGACGCCTGATTGGATAAAAAACCAGCAAAGGGAGGTAATAAAATTATCAGCTGAGACGTAGATGCATCCAGGGTACTAGTGGAGATTATCGAGGATGTACGTTCCAATATGACTGGAATGTGCTGAGTGATCATCAGTTTCATTACAGTACATAAAGTATCTTCAGCCACAGCATGTCAGTTTCTATTTGTGCAATCATACAGCTGTTTCAGGGTCTGTATCAAAGCCTGTTTTGGGCGATGATTGATATCCTTGGTTTGGGATTTTCTGGTGTATGTTTTATATGTGTATAATTCCAAAAGTCAGATTGATTTTGCATATCAACTTGAATCAAATGTCTGTGATTGATAAAGGATTAAAATCAAGTTTATCATTCCTGTAGTTATCATTGTTTATGCTGCCCTTTGTGAGCCTTCAGTTGTCTCTTGGTTTGTGAGGTTTAATCCGTCCAAAATATCCTGGGTGCACTGAGTGCAAGAGTGGCCCAGTCATCTAAGTTGGATCAATTTTCTGTGCAGAGTTGTGTCCCCTAGGCATGTCAGAAAAAGTGAGTGAGTGAGTTTGGTTTTACGCAGCACTCAGCAATATTCCAGCCATATGGTGGCTGAACTGTTTGAGAGGCATTCAAGAAGTTGTAAGTAATAGGAATGACAAGTCTTTATGGATGATCAACTTCTTTATTGTGAAATAGCAATGTTTCGGTATAGATATTTATACCGTTTTCAAGCTTGTAAACAGTATAAGTATTTATACTGAAACATCGCTATTGCACAATAAAGAAGTTTATCATCCATAAAGACTTGTCACTCCTATATGGCGGCTGTCTGTAAATAATCGAGTCTGGACCAGACAATCTGGTGATCAACAGCATGTACGTCAATCTACCCAGTTGGGAACCGATGACATGTGTGAACCAAATCAGCGAGTCTGACCACCCGATCCAGTTAGCCGTCTCTTCCAACAAGCATAGGTTACTGAAGATCAATTCTAACCTGGATCCATGTGCATAAGAATCCTGGCCCTGATTTCTCGAAACAAACTCAAGTCTGAGTTTTGACTGAAGTTCAAGTTTTTACTCAAATTTGAGAAAATGCATTTCCCAGAATGAACTGAAATCGATATTAAACTCCAACATTGTAGACAATTTGAGTTTGGTGGATAGATTTCTTAAGTTGTTTGGGCATTTTTATGTTAAAAATGCAGTTGAGATAAAAATTAAGCTGTTTCAAATTGTCAAACTCAGTGTGAAATTTGAGTAAAAACTTAAGTTTGTTTCGAGAAATCGAAGCCTGGTTCACCCCAATTTTCTTTGTAGGTTTGTCATCACCGTAGCCCTGCTCATGGGTTTCACTGAAGTGGAAACGACATGAGACCAATATCACTTTAGTCTTTTCGCCCACCACTGATTCAATGTGATATAACTGAAATACCATTCAAAGAGGTGTTTAAACCTAACTCACTCACTCTCTCCCTCTTGGAGATAAATTGTCGCTAACCATTTGTTTCCTCATTGATTTTGAACTTTGGGCCTGGCAAGTTTGTACAGATATTGTCTTAAATCAATCTTCATTAAATAAGAAATCTTGATAATTTTCCATTTATCACAAAACACAGATTGTAAATGAAAGCTTTTTATTATACAAAACAGTGAATAACTTCTTACAGGAAATGTGTGAACATTTCTTTTGAGCATACACACACATTAATTTTGAACAGAATGTTAACTGTAACATGTTACATAACATTGTGTATTCATAGCATGATAACTGGTCAACAAAAGATAACAAACCAAAATGCTTACCGGTACATTATTGTGACCAAACATATTAGCACTATTGATATTGGAAAATCATAACTGAAATTATAATGGCAAATATATTGCTATAGGTATGAAAAATAATATCTACTATACAATGGCAATTTTGAACTTACAGAGTCACCTGAGGTATTGCTTACTCAATTACTCCATAACATCAGCTTATACAGTACAGTAAAAGATATTTTATATAGACAGTCTGGTGATATGATGTAAAAGGCAAACCGCATGGAGAATTCCTGTCAGGCCCTGAGCAGTGGTGAAAAAGTTTATTGAATCAATATTAGTCATTCCCACACTGTCACAGCAGATGATCACACCCAGCTACCCAGCTTCCTCTGTGCACCAGTTTAAAAACTTTGCAAATCCACTCCTCTGTACACCGGTCATGAGCCAAACATGATCTTTATCAGGATATTCAAAGTCTTTAACCACTTGGCCACCCAACCATCTCAGTACACAAGTAAAGGATCAAACCCCATTTTCAGTATGATCACTAAACACTTTAACCACTAGGCTACGCCAAGCCTCTACCTAGTGAAGAATCAAATGAGACTTCTACTGATTACAGAACATTCTAAAAACTAGGCCACCCTACTTGTCTATTCAAGGGAAGAATCAAACCCAGCCTTCAGCATGATGAGGGAACACTTTTCCCACTAGGCCATCCCACTTGTCTTTACAAGGGAAGAATCAAACCTAGTCTTCAGCATGGTGAGGGAACACTTTTCCCAGTAGGCCATCCCACTTGTCTTTACAAGGGAAGAATCAAACCTAGTCTTCAGCATGATGAGGGAACACTTTTCCCAGTAGGCCATCCCACTTGTCTTTACAAGGGAAGAATCAAACCTAGTCTTCAGCATGGTGGTCCCAGTAGGCCACCCCACACTGTGCAAGGGAAGAATCAAACCTAGTCTTCAGCATGATGAGGGCCATAGGCCCCACTTGTCTTTACAAGGGAAGAATCAAACCTAGTCTTCAGCATGGTGAGGGAACACTTTTCCCACTAGGCCATCCCACTTGTCTTTACAAGGGAAGAATCAAACCTAGTCTTCAGCATGGTGAGGGAACACTTTTCCCAGTAGGCCATCCCACTTGTCTTTACAAGGGAAGAATCAAACCTAGTCTTCAGCATGGTGAGGGAACACTTTACCCAGTAGGCCACCACACGTGTCTGTGCAAGTGAACAATCAAACCTAGCTTCAATATTATGAGAGAACACTTTAACCAGAGGGCCAACCCAATACTCTGTACTCAAACTAACATACCTTACATCAGACTTCAATGATTTACACAGAAATAACAGTGCATAGTACAGATAAGACATATACTTGGAAAATAATGCAAGACAAGACAGAAGATGTAACGTTTACTTCACATAACACATGCTATGTAGTTTATGCTTACAAGATAGAACATGCTTTTAGTTGATGCTTGACACAACAGAACACATGACTAGTTAATGCTTGACAAGATACAACACATGCTTTTAGTTAATACTTGACAAAATAGAGCATATGCTTGTAGTTGATTTTTTTCAAGAAAGACACTGTGTATATGATGCTTGAACAAGACAGAACTTTCTAGTTAAGGCTTGACTTGGTGCTATGTACTTTAAGCCTGAGCAGTGAAGGATGTACAAGTCCAAGGTTAATGCTACAACTTGTGCATTAGTACCACAATGCAGTCTGACAGTACTAATGCAATGGTAAATATCACTACAATGGTCATTCTTTAGGATTTTTATTATTTATAGAAAGACTCACTTTTTTGGTTGTCACCTGTACACGTCATGTCGTTTTTCATTCATGATGTAAAATCCAGTAATCCCCACCCATGATATACGTCACTCGTGATACTGACACATAACATTCTTCCCTCAGAGGTATTCTATGTTGGAATTGGTTCCCAGTTTTCTATACTCTTTCACAAGAGGCGACCTAATGGTTCACGTTCAGTGACTTGGTTGATAACTTGGTGTCCTTGTTCTCTCCATGTAACCCCTGAAGATCCGGGTTAGAACTGCAGTAACCTATGCTTGTCGAAAGAGGCGACTAACGGGATCATTTTCAGTAAGGCTCGCTGAATTGTTTGACACATATCATGGTATCCCAATTGCGTAGATCGATTCTTATCCTGTTGATCACTTGATTGTCTGGTCCAGACTTGATTATTTACAGACTGCCACCATATAGCTGGTATTGCTGAGTGTGGCATAAAACTAAACTCACTCACCCATGTGGATTGTGCTCACAATATCAATCACTGGATTGTCTGGTCCAAACTTGATTATTGCAGGCTGCAACCATGTAGCTGAAATATTGCTGAGTTTGATATCGCACAACAAGAAAACAAACAAACCCAACATTCTTTCCCCAACATGATTGTCATGATAATACTACATTCCACATCAAGCACTTAAATGAGTTGTCCTTTTGGCAAAGCTGTTACTTATTTGACATTTAGGATACGTACAGTTTCATATTTTAACATATCACAGCACTGATAAAGCTCTTGAAAATCTTAGAATATCACAGAATTTTAGTCCTATTTCTGACTTGAGGTTTGCGTAGAAGAACTCAGGTGCATTTTTTTGTAATTTCTTCATCTCAAAAAGTAAGCCTCCATCAAACTCTGAAAACCTGAAAAGGAACATAAAGGTAACATTATATTCCTGCAGATTTCTTATTCACATCAAAACATAATGCTTGCAGAGACAATTAGTATGACATATAGTGTACATACCGGTACTCTCCATTCAATAATGATAAAATCTGAATCCACTGGTCAACATGGCGTCATTTCAGAGATGAAACACAAATAAAAAATACAAATGAAGAATACCATCCTTTCCCATCTGTAGCTTAATATTATTTTCTCATTAAGAGTAATTTGAAGGTACTTATATTGTCTTTTACCATTTAAATCAGGCTCATAAAATACCATGCCAGTGAACTGGTCAAGGTATGTATAACAAATATATCATAGAAAAGATATGTAATAAAACAGAAAATCAAGAATGCTGTTTAACTGAGCCTTATACATGCAAGGGTATTACTCATAACGACTGCTTGTAAAGTAATAAAGAAGTGTCCACCTCCGTGGTGTATGGTTAAAGCGTCAGCCCGGAGAGCGGAAGATCGTGGGTTCGATCCCCGACCGCGTCGTACCAAAAGACGTTAAAATATGGTACTTTGTTCTTCCCTGCCTGGCACTTAGTATTATAAGGTAAATCAAGGACTGGTCAACTCAAGAGTCAGAATAATGTGTATTCATGCTTAACTGCGGCATGGTATCTCAGTGAGCTGGCACTATACAACCGGCCTAAGTCTGGGCTAGTACAAGCAGCCACGCATACACACGCATGCATGCGTCATATGAGCAAATATTCATAAGTACGACGTTAAACCCAATTTCACCTCACTTCACCAATAAAGCAGTTGTTATCCATAATCCTTGTAACAGTTTCTGAATCCTTATACAGAGATGCTCATCTAATCTTACAGTCTAAGCTGTCTTTTTGTTTTGAAAATAATGCTCATAAAATATATTTCATGATAAAAAACATTCGTGTGTATATAATTGTGGCCAAAACCTTTCTTTCACATGGTCAAACCCTGTGGCTGACAGCCAATCAGCAACCTCCTTCCTTGTCCAGCAGCTTATTGATTGGCTGAGAGAGTCGGTCAGCAGACTTGAGCCACTGGATGACATGTACATACCTACAACAATACACAAGTTTATCAATTACTATAAGGGAATCTTTTAAACTTAACAACAAACTGAAAATGGCAACTCAAGGTTACATAATGATAATTTATTACCCACGTGGTCAACGTATGGGTAGTTGCATACTAATCTCGTACGTCACACGAGTGTCGTATCGCGTTGACCTGTGTCGTAACGACTTGACCTGAGATTCTAACGATTTGATTGGATAACCGATGACCTCTCAGTTAGGTCACGTTGTGACGGAACTACTTGTTCATTCATAACAAACACGTGAATTAATTCATTCTACAACTTAGATGCATTGTGGGAATGTAAACATTGCGAACGTTGTCGTGTCGCTGTTTAGTTGTGCGTCGAACTGAGACGTTATATCCGTCGAAAAACATAAATGCAATGTTTCCACCAGTGATGTCAGCCGAGTGAAGCAGTTGCAAACCAAGAAACGGGTGCTACGGAGTAGTTTACTGAAGGAGGAGGCTGTACGAGAGGCGATGACAACTGACATGCATCGTGGCGTCGGTTACCAAGGGGACAGACGAAAGTGGCGTTAATACAGTGTGACGTCATGCAAAAGTGTACGTCAGAACAAAATTCTTCCGCCAACCTCTTTATGAAACCGGTTTCGGGTTTGAAACCACAACAATACCAAAACTACGCTATTTTGTCAATTTAATGCATGTAAGAAGTGGGTAATAAATAAAATACCACACTCGGTCTCATTACATACAAATTATCTGAAACTCGTGACCTTCCTATGGTTTCTGACCTCGCTTTTCGCTCGGTCAGATACCATAGGAAGGACACTCGTTTCGTATAATTCGTATGTAATGAGACCTCGTGTAGTATTCTCTATATATGGTCTCTGATGATAACAGTGTAAATGTTTATTCTTACTTAGGGCCCGTTCACTATTTATGACTAGGGGGTTGATGATGATGATGTTGATGGAGAAGCATGTACAATGTGAATGACTCCCCCTAATTTCTGTTCAAAGTAAGTGACTCATCCCTGCATGTCATGTACAAAATAAATCATTTACACCCCCACCCCGTCCTCCCCAGAACATATGTATAAAATTGATGACATCCCCTTACCCACCTCCCAAGAACAAAATGGGTAGCCCCACTTAAAATCATCATCACCTGCCCCTGGCAATAAATTGAGAATGGTCCCTTATTATGTAGTTTTATACCACAATAAAATATGCCTTTGTTCACCCAGCAGGATGAGATGGCGGTTGTTCACCTTATAGCACCTGTGTGCAAACTGATCCATTGATCAGGGTAATGATGCAGCACTTTGAGCACGCTCCTGTGTGGAGAGGAAGTATAACACAATATACATGCCCTTATCATTATAAGTTTAACTACTTCCTAGCAATATTATGACATACACATCAACGAGCTGAATGGCCTTGCACACCACGATACTGAAGTTCAAGGATGTTCGTGGACATTCAGCTCAGGAAATTCTAAACTTTCAACCTGTGACACCCATTTTATATTTGTATGACAATATCAAATTTTGCTTTGTGACTGCTAGTTATTTTGGTATGATAACTCTAACTGTGACAAGCACATCACATTATATAAAACACGACGTCATTCATGTCTGTTAAATTAGAAGATAAACATACTGTGTTGGATATAACTAAATTATAATAGCTCTAAATTTTTATATGTTTATCTCCATATGTTTAATATGTTTATATTCATTGAACAGAAGGAAATAGATGTTTTCGTTTTTAGCTTGGATCAGCACGCCCGAATACACCCGTCTCTATGCGTATATGCATGTGGGTTTTTAAATCTCGTGCATTTTCGTGACGACAGCGTTAATCAGTATTAACATCAGCGGTATAGTTAGACATATTGTTGAGGGACAAAGACGTCCATACAGAGCTCCAGCCAGGGGGTTAAAAGTTATTATTTAGAAATAGCTTCCATTATCGGGAAGACATTCATAGAAGCTAAGTTATCAATCACACTTTCGGTGAATGTACAGTGTGGGGGATTTTTCATTGGGTTTACTGTTTTGTTTCAGTTTTGGTGCATTAAATGTTCAGACATAATTATTTTGACTTTTCGTTTATGTTATAAATGGGGAATACGAACTGCCTCATTCCAGTGCAAGGCAGAGGAAAGGCACGTCAAAAACGTTCTTTATGTTTATTCACAACTGCCTTATAAAGATTTTTTAAAAATACATACTGTGTTGGAAAATCAGAAGTATATAATGTGATCATATACCTATGAATGACTTGAATTAACCAATCACAATCCAGTATTTACTGAAGTCACCATCTCAGTTACATGCTCACCATCTGCTAAGTCATGAAGGCTGGTAGATCTGATTTTGCCTCTGCTCCCCAGCTCACGGAGGAGTTTTATCATCTGTTTGTCGACCATGTCTATCTGGCTAAAGTCAAAATACAGCCTTGACCCAACAAGCATTCCCAGCCAGCCATCTGGCACAAACTTTGACTGTAGACGGAGTGGAATTATATCCTTTCGCAGACGGAAAATGTATTCTGATTCTGGAGAAGAACATACCGTATGTTAATACATTGTATCATGAACAGGTCATTGACTAGTTGCTGAAATCTATAACAGCGGTACTTTTTTTTTCTATAAAGGACAATATTTTGGAACAGATCTGGTATTACACAAGGTTGAAAAGGTCCTTAGTGGCTTTTGTTACTAGCTTACCACATCCATACTAATCAACATCATTGAAGTCAGACAGTGTCCAACAAACTTAGCTCAAATATCATGGAACCAAAACGTTTTTAAGAATAATTACTTGGCAATTAAATGGTCCTTCTATACTGCTGCATTCTGTAAAAAAATTGTAATAGCAACATGCTAAAACAGACTGTCTGTATCAATCTTAGGTGTTTTCAGAGGTTGCTGAAAAAAAAAAAAGACGTTGATTGAGAAGTTGCTCAGGGGGACTTTGAGAAGGGCACCTAATACAGTGAATCAAGTGACAGTTTTATAAATGGTGAAGTACAGGGACTGTTCTGAGAGTATATTACCGGTCCTGCAGCTGGGACTCTGCTTGTACTTGTCGGACATACAGATGAGGACCACTGCCGCCTTCTCCACTGCCAGTGCCATGGCCTCCAGGGTAGACCCACCTGCAGTGTGGGATACCACAATATGTTAATTATTCCACTTCTATTGCTTGTGATACTTTAAGAGGTTCAAGTTCAAATTCTGCAAGGAAACTATGCAACTATTTTTTTTCAAGGATCATTATCTTTCAGTTATTTTTGTGATATAAGTCTGTAACACGTATAAGTAATGAAATCAGTCTGGACTGTTTTAGTACACAAAAATGCTACTTTGATGTATTTCATTTCATCTGATTCAATGACGTTAAAAATTAATATATCTTGCTTCTGTATTAATATTTTCAAATTGTTTTTTAGTCTTGTAAAAGCTTCCCAATCCAGAGAAAAATAGAGTTTGTATATAAAGCTTTGTTTTAATGAGAATTTTTCAGTCAATTTATCATTTAAGTGAAAGTTCAACGAAATGTCTTCGTGGACCTTATACCAGCGAAGATCTGGGTCAGAATTGGTCTTCAGCAACCCATGCTTGTTGTAAGAAGCGACTAACGGGATCAGGTGGTAAGACTCTATGATTTGGTTGACACATGTCATCATATCCCAATTGCTTAGATCGATGCTCGTGCAGTTGATCACTGGACTGTCTCGTCCAGACTTGATTATTTACAGACCGCTACCATTTACCTGGAATATTGCTGAGTGTGGTGTAAAACTAAACTCACTCATTCAGGGACCTTAATGAGTCTTAACAACATCTTACTCATATGTTCTACATCCATCCAGACTTTGAAGCCAGCTTGCCTCAGCCTGTCCTTGACCTTGATCATGACATCCTGGGCATCCCATTGGTAACTGATCATCACATGTGGTGTGTTGGCCTCACGGTCTGGAGACACAGAAAAGGCAGTATATATGTATATAATCCAACTCTTACCTAATCATCACATGTGTTGAGCGGACACTGAGGTCTGCATTCACAAAATAGGTATAATATATATATCTCTATTGATTCCCATTGGTAAATAATTATCCCATAGGCAGAGATGCCAACCCCAAAGTGTTGCAAATAGTACTTTCAAGGATCAAAATTAGTAGTTTGACCACAAAATTAGTAGTCCACTAGATACTTAAAATCATTATGGACTCTGAGAGTCATGAAACAAATGTACAAAGTCATAGAAAAAGTCATCAAACCATATGACAAGCATTACGAGAGGGTCATTAGTGCATCAAACATCTCTGGTCCAACCGTACAATATGTGATGGGTCCAACTGCTACTGAAGAATATTATTCTGAGTTAGTAAATATACCTTCCTAATTGTATCAGTCACACTGACATAAATATGGTACCTGGATCTAGAGAAATCTGCTGGTCATGGAATATTTCCCATAATGCCCCTCTTGCTGCATGGCTGACTGACTTCTCTTCACACCTTGCAAGATTCTGCAGACCTGTGAACAGAACATCTTCATCAGTTCTGTAGACAGTCTCTGTTTGCCACCAAGCCTGACCACCTAAGTCACCTTATACAACAAGCATAGGTTGCTTACCATGTCTACCCACAGGGTTCTGTACAGAACTGTATTACCCTGCATTGAAGATTATCAGCACCATACTCGGGTTTTATCAAACAGGTAAGCAGTAACGACCAACATGCTTTTCTCCGGCATCAAGCTCGGACAGACTGTGATATAACTAGAATTCTGCATTAAACACAACTAACTCACTCAGGGCCGTGGGGTAGCCTAGTGATTGAAGCATCTGCTCGTAACTCTTTAATTGTAAGGCCCGGGTTTGATTCCCAACATGGGTTCAATGTGTGAAGCCCATTTCTGCTGTCCCCCTACGTGAGATTGCTGGAATATTGCTAAAAGCAGTTTAAAACCATACTCACTCACTCACTCACTCACTCATTCGGAACAGTACGATTCTTAGTGAAACTATCTTATTGATTATCACATTTCTGGATTAATGCACCAACAGACTTTCAATATATAATTCTTTCATAATATGGACAACTTCACATCATAGAATTAGCATGGTATCAATGAATATGTTTTTGACTGTTAAAACAATTACCATTATATTCACAGGAAACTAAGTGTCCTTGGCAGACAATATGGTAAAACAAATCATTACTTTCCCCAAACTGGTCAGTGAACTATAACTTATCTGTACAAATCATAATACTGGCTAGTATTAAACAACATGAGTTTGAAAAAATTTGCAATTCCTGTTTACTGACATTTGCTGTATACTTTCCACTCAGCAGGCCTAAATAACTCAGTGATGTATCACAGCAAACCTTTTGCAATTGAAAACAAACCTGGCGGGCCCAGCTGTTACTTTCAACATGGTGTGGATGCTGAGTAGGAATAGTACTAGTGGTGGTCCGATTAATTGAAATAATCGAAGATTGGTTGCAATGACAAAATGACCAAGCAATCGATCATGTTTTCTCATAATCGAACACAAACAATTTTGGAACACTTGTTTGCAATAACAATATTTTTCAAAAGGTTGATCTTGTCTCTACATTGCATATAATCACTACAAGCTCGTTCCAAGTCAGGGGCTTTGGGGTAGCCTAGTGGTTGATCTTGTCTCTCACATGGGCACAATTAAGCCCATTTCTGGTGTCCCCATGCCGTGATATTGCTGGAATATTGCTAAAAGCGGCGTAAAACTAAACTCAGTCAGTCAGTCGTTCCAAGTCATGATTAAATTTATCTTAACAACTCCAGGAAATGTATGTTCCTAACACACTAGTCATCCTTTAAAGATGTGAAATTTGCAAATGCATTTTGTGCAATTTGAAAAAACCCTGAGAGAACTACATCTTTTTTCTTTATTTTTTGTGCATTAACAAACATAACCAGGAAAATTTGATAAATGACGCTAATCAATTATTTTCGATGATTGATCGGTTGTAATGAACCAATCATCAATTATGAGATTTAAACCAATTCCCAACAGTAAACAGTACCATAATGTTCAACTACATAGTTTGCAAACTGATACAATTTTATCCGGATTTTACCTTGCTCTATAAATATAAGGGCCCTGAAAACCCCCAAATACTAGTTTCAAGGGTCCTTATAGGAACACTGAATGTCTTGTGAAGTAATAAATTAGTATAGAGTACAGTACTTTAATATGTAACAATTATAACAGGAAATAACTATTTCCTGTTGGGAATTTGGTACAATGAATGTAATTATACATCCATTCTGCATTCTTTGTGTATGTTTACAAGTGCATTCTCAAAGCAAAATTAGGTGTCACATAGACCCAATCAATCATACCTCAGCAGTCATCAGGCAAAGGTAGTTTTGTAGAAAAGAGACCACAATTACTACTTTAGAAAATACTCAATGCTCATTAATTAATTTTTACCTTTTATACATTCTTGATCCTCTTTCAAAATAGTTTTATTTTCTCTTGCAAAGGAGAGAGTCCATATTCCTGTTGCCGCCAATGTTTTCTCCATGTTGGACTCGGACGCCAGAAGGGATCGGAGACAGGGCAGAATGCCACAAGCAACAAGTTTCACCTTGTTAGTGTCATTGTGAGCAATATTGTTCAACCCTTTCAGAACCTCCACAGCGTTCATACCATATTTGGCAGCAAAGTGATCCACCGATGTCAAACTCTCTTGTAAGATATTCACTATGAATGTCAGCGTGTCCAAACTTGCACTAATCACTTCATTTTGTTCCTCATCAGCTAAGTATGATATGATTATAAGAGACTTTGCCTTTACCATTGGATGGGAACAGGTAGTAAAACTATGTAGACTTTCTATTCCATTTGAGTTGATAAGAACGGCGTGACAATCAGAATAATTTCGAACACAGTTGTGTAAAATTCCAAACAATGCTTTGATATAATATAATTTTCTGTCATTTTCTAAGAAGTTCTTTGTTGCAGAGACCTCCTTCAAAGACTCTAGGATCTTAGGCAGTATTCCAGACACAGTGATTTGTTCACACACTGCTAAGGAACTGTCACAGCAATTCCAGACAATCGACAATGAATTTCGCAAGTTCTTCCATGGGTACAACACAGTGGAATCAAAGATGTCTTCCTTCTGTGCAGCTGTCCAGATTTGCTGGAACAGATCTACAAACTTTTCTTTACCAAATCCTCCAATGACCCTTGACCTCATGTCTCTGTCAGGCGTGTATCGGGACAAGTTCCAGAGATATTTAATGTCGGCATAGGCAGCCTGAGAAAGGTAGTCCTCACTCACACGAAGTTTCGAAAGAGTCTGAGACAGTTTCTGCACCATGCTCTCAGCAGTGGGAAGAGCTGGAGATGCTGTTCCTCGCCGGCTCTCTGCTGTGGCGTCATCATCAAAGCTGTCCTGGGAGGGCAGACGTCGACTCATTATCCTTTTCCAGGGGCAGAACTGTGAACAGTAAACACATGCTATTCATATTTGTTACTTATTCATATCTTGTAATAGAGTCTAGACAGTGGACAGAGTCCATGCTGAAGGAGTTGAAGGTCGGTGTCTCAATCCCCGGATGTGTAATACCTAAAGATGTTAACTTCTTGTTAACCTACATGGTGTTCTGTATTCTGAGGATAAAGTGAGGACCGGTAAGGTCACAGCCAGTATACTTTGTCTGGTATCTCAGTGGGCTAGCTGAATGCAGGCCCGCACACAGCATATTTATGGTATAACCTAATGTAATGTTGCTGGAATATTGCTCAAAACAGAATAAAACCTACTCTTGCTCACTCGGACCTGTTCCTATATCCTCTCACAACACATGAGTTCTAATTCCAAACTGATGCCTCAAACAACAAGGGCAGGTAACTCATGACATTTTGTACGAATTCATATTGTTCTAATTCATCTCAGAAAACAAAACACATACAATCTTCATATCAATTTCAAAATTTACATGTATGATATAGTATCACAGTTTTAAAGCTACATTTGTACAATAAAGACTTGAGTTATCGTCTAAGATTTCTTGACCTGCAGGGCAATGATATATGCACATACTATTTAAACAGAACTATTTTCTTGGTCATTTAACTGAGTCTGCAGGACAGAAATCACCAAATGAAGCACATATCATCTCACTGAACAAAGAACAAAAATACAGCTGCATGCATATGAACATGCAAAATAATATAAGTCAAACTGAAATCTTACAGATACTGATACATTACAGATTGACATAATATATCTTACAGAAATGGGATATTGATACATTAGCTTTAACCATTACGGCTTGACATAATATACAGTAACCTCCATTGAAACATGGATTTATCTGTGACAAATACACATGTCTGGTAAATTTTGGAAAGGTTAATATATTGGTTCATTTAGAGGTTTTCAGTGCCATAGAGTAAAACCGAATCATATACAGTCATAGACTGTTAGGTCAAACTTTGATGTTTCAAACTTACTGTTATTGCATGGTAAAAGATTAGTTCTTGCGTCTTCTGTTTGTAGTCATTATTTTTGTTTGTGTCAAATCACATATATTATGTAGGTGTATGACTGTATAAAACTGAAACAGTACATTTTTACACAACAATCTTACAAATAATATACATGTACTCACAAAAGGCTTCATTTTTCAGTTACTCTTGCCTTTTATTATTTATTTATTTGTTTGTTTGTTTGTTTATTGTCTTGAATAAACTGCCAAAATTTTCCATCATTTCTTAAATCTACACTGAACTAAACACATGTACAATATATAACAAGTTTTATGGATAACAACTTCTTTATTTTCGTGAGTGCGACGTTTCTATACAGATTCTTGTACCGTTGTCAAGCAAGAGTGATACATGAAGTGTAGGAGCTGCATATATATACTGTATATAACAATGAAACAACATAATAGACAAAGGAAACAACATAATTGCCATGATTGGCTAAGCAGTAAGCTGATGAAGCCAGTAAGTACATAAAGGATGGTGAATGGAAGCCAGAGATGTAGTTACAATGAGATGTTTATACAATGGATCGCGATGTTTATACAATAGACTGGGCTTGGTGGAGGAGTGGATCATAAGCAGATGGAATGAAGTATCCTTGGTCACGGTTGATGGTAGGCTTGTGGCGTTTGATGTGAATGGCTTCTGTGAGCTTCGCGTTTAGTGAAGTCCGTTTGGTTGTTGGCGAGAATGGTGATGTCGGACCACTCTATTTGATGATTGGGGTTGGCTTTGATGTGGTCAGAGATAGCTGATTTGGTGTCGGAATTAGCAACAGAGGTGCGATGTTCTTTCACTCGGGTGTTGATGGGTGGGATGTTTCACCTATGTAGCATTGTCCACAATCACAGTCTATTTTGTAAATAACACATTTCGGGTTGTTGTTGTTGGTGGTGGGGTTGTTTTCTTCGTTGGCATGGAGGAGGTTGTTGAGGCTGGAGGGCGCTGAGAAGGTAGTGTCTATTCCTGCCTGTTGTTTCAGGAATCGGCTGATTTGGTGTGATGGTTTACCAATGTAGGGAATGGATATCTTGATGGGGGCTGATTCTGGTTTAGACCTTTTGGCAGGAGGTGAAAGCGTTGCCGATGGTTCTGTTGACTATTTCGGGTGGGTAGTGGTTGCGTTCCACAAAGACTTTCCTCAGGTGTTCAATTTCTTCCTGTAGGTTTGTTGAGCAGATGTTTTTGGCTCTTCTGGTCAATGTAGAGATGACGCCGGTCTTGACTTTAGGTGGGTGGTTGGAGTTGTAGTGGATGTATTGATCCGTATGAGTTGGTTTTCTGTACACGGAGGTCTGGAGTTGGTTGCAGGAGGTGCGGGACACAAGGACATCAAGGAAAGGTAGTTGGCTCAACAACCTCCTCCATGCCAACGGAAGAAAACAACCCACCGTCAACAACAACAACCCGAAATGTGTTATTTACAAAATAGACTGTGATTGTGGACAATGCTACATAGGTGAAACATCCCGACCCATCAACACCCGAGTGAAAGAACATCGCACCTCTGTTGCTAATTCCGACACCAAATCAGCTATCTCTGACCACATCAAAGCCAACCCCAATCATCAAATAGAGTGGTCCGACATCACCATTCTCGCCAACAACCAAAGCGGACTTCACTAAAGCATGAAGCTCACAGAAGCCATTCACATCAAGCGCCACAAGCCTACCATCAACCGTGACCAAGGATACTTCATTCCATCTGCTTATGATCCCTCCTCCACCAAGCCCAGTCTATTGTATAAACATCGCATCCATTGTATAAACATCTCATTGTAACTACATCTCTGGCTTCCATTCACCATCCTTTATGTACTTACTGGCTTCATCAGCTTACTGCTTAGCCAATCATGGCAATTATGTTGTTTCCTTTGTCTATTATGTTGTTTCATTGTTATATACAGTATATATATGCAGCTCCTACACTTCATGTATCACTCTTGCTTGACAACGGTACAAGAATCTGTATCGAAACGTCGCACTCACGAAAATAAAGAAGTTGTTATCCATAAAACTTGTTATATATTGTACGTCTCAACTTCTAAAATGCCACTCAAACAAGTAAACACATGTAATACATCATTATATATAAGAAATGCATGCACAAGTTTGTAATGCATGTAACGAGCCTAAGTGTAGCTTTACTGTTCCAGAATTAACCTGGTATATTAAACAGTTTGATTCAACTGCATGCAGTTTGTAAGCACTGGCATACAAATAGACAATCACCCATGCTGCTGAATACTGAACATTATACCTGCCTTTGTAGAAGGTTCTCAGATAACATTTGTAGTACTTGTGGTATTTACCTGTTCTACTTGGCAAATGTCCACATACTTGCATCTCGCATTCCAACAATGAGATTTACATCCAAAATCAGGGCATTACTCAATAATGTCTACAACAGGGATTTATCTAGCATTCTAAGCTAAGTGCCCTTTGCAGGCAAATATCGAGAAGCATGATTTTGTCAAAATTAGGATTGTTGCTGTTGTTACTTTCCAAACACTGAGATATTTTGACATCACATTCTGTGAAATAATGAAAAACTGTTCCTTTTTATTGGTTTTGTTATCAGTGAATTACAAATACATGAATTACATCTACTATTATATCTATTAGATATTACATGAACTGGGAAATATTACATACAAATTAGGGGATAATTACAAACTCAATGACCAATATCAGTCTATGAGCCTCTGTACAATAAGGTGCATTAATCATTAAGTGGTATGTGGATAGTTTTGCATCTTTCACTGACAAAGCAGAAAAAGATGATGATTCAGTTTCCAACAACAAATTTTGATTGTAACTGCTTAAATGATGATGATGATGATGATGATGATGATGATGGAGAAGATGCAGGGTGGAAATAACTTTAAAATTTATAGGGTACTTCAGGTGAAGGTGGATAATTATTCCACTGTACCGACCATGCTATTTTTTAATAAACAACATAATTAACATTGGAAAGTCAAGTTCTCAAATGCTTACGCCCGACATAAAAACACTTCGGACGTCAGGCAATGGGTTATTTCCACCCTGAGATGATAGTGGTGGTGGTGGTGAAGGTGGTGGTATGCTACAATTAAAGTTCTCAAATATTTTTCCTTGTATCCACATGACATGGATTTCAGCTAGTTACATAAATATTTATTGAAATCATGTTTAATTAGAGTGTTAGGTTTGAATTGTTTTATGCCAATATTCTATCTAGATCAGTTGAATTAATAGGGGAACAGACAAAGGAGGGACTGAGATCATGAACAAGTCTGCAATGTCTGGGTACCATGATACACTATCAGCCTGGTTCTGAACGTCTTTAACGGGGTGGTCTAAACACAAGAATATTATCCTTCGTAAGATGAACCCAATTTATTTTCAAACCCCTAATTGGTTGGCTAATTATATTTTAATCTGCTCATAAATCACGATAAGAGCATCATCAATAAATATATCTGGCCAGAGAATAAATTTAGATTTGGAATCTGACCTACCTATAATAGATCATGTCTGAAGAATACATTTGGAAGTCCCAATCTTCATGATGCCAGTATCAACAAAAGCAAACAAAAAATAGAACAAGTACATTACATGCAAAATGCTAATTATAAAAGAATACTCAACCAAATTCGTCTTCAGGTCGTTATCGTAACAGAAGAGGAATGTCAACCATCAATGCCATTACATCAAATATCCACAGAGGTGCAGACGACAAGAAACATGCATCCCAAACTGACTAAATATCTGGCATTCGCAACGAATATAAATAGAACCTATATAATATCACCATGCACTTGGCGGCCATAGCCGATACATGCTTATTAATGGCGTAAGCATCGAACAGTGCCAGGAAAATAATCAATACTTTCCGATGGGATTTGCGCATCAGGGGAGGTAACTCTTATTTGCCCGTGGTTTGGTGAAACCACAAGCTGCTGCACAGCATTCAAACATTGATTTTTGTGTCCACGTCGGAGAAACTCACGAGTCCATATGTTGTATGGTGCGTAGAAGTCTGTCGCGCGTTTAATGTAAAGACGTGGACAGGTGAGAATAACGCATCAAGGGAGATAATAATGGCAATGTGTCAAGTTTGTCCAGAAGAACAGGCCCCATGTGTTAATGGCTGTACCTATATAAGTAAAAGTAACACTTCATTCGTAATGTATCGTATCATTGGAAACGCATTTTCTAAGATCTTTTAATAGTTTGTAAAAGCAAATACACAATGACATCAGAAAAATATTCTTGTATTACCCTCATTGTAGAAACACGTAAAACCATTCAAACCAAGAAACCATATTCAAGCAAAACGTTGTCTTGGAAACACTTCCTGAAACTGCACAATTTTTCTACAAAACATTTGTCGGTTAATGAAAGTATGAAAGATATGCAAATTGTATGAATCCGCCCTGCGGAAACAGCCCACAGTCAATTCACATAAACTGGACAACGAAAACATAGGATGTTTACAATACTTTAATACGAAAATTAATTATATGATTCAAAGCAAACAAATATTACATGGGTACGATGCGTGAAGCCCATATCTGATGTCCCCAGTCGTGATATTGCTGGAATATTGCTAAAAGCGGTGTTGAAATAAACTCACTGACTCCAACCTAGTGTTTTACACATTGACTGTCACACAAACACACGTTCACTGATTACCAGTGTTCAGGTGAAATGGTTAGATTGTGTTACAAGTCAACATAAAGTAAACGAAAATTGTAGAATAGGCCTACCAATCAAGTGACTTATTAACATGTACTGTATACATTAAGTTGTAACTCATTAAAACCAACAAATACTTGTGGAGCATTTTGTCATTTGTAAGGTGCATTATCTGGTCTAAAGCAAGTGACACACAAAGATGCCTGCATTTCAATGTCAGTTCCAAGACGAAACTATTTAATCTTTGTTCATCAAATGCGCTTACAGTTGGCGCAGCACAGATCGCGAATGTGTCGAAATTTCTGGGATGTCAACCGGGTATGCACGAAAACAAACACTACGAAATGATATGACCAGTAGGCCTACCGTCGAATTGTCAGAGTTACTTGACTGACTGACTGAGTTTAGTTTTACGCCGTTTTAGCAATCAATTATTCCAGCTACATCATGGCGGGGGACACCAGAAATGGGCTTCACACATTGTACCCATGTGGGGATTCGAACCCGGGTCTTCGGCGTGACGAGCCAACGCATTAACCACTAGGCAACCCCACCGCCCCTCAGCGTTACTTGAACCTATAAGGGGTACGTGTGTGCATTTGGTGCCACAAACGTCTGCTTTAACGTGGCCATGGCATGAAACAGGTGGCGTCATGTAGGTCCCATCACTATAATCAGGCTCGTTCGTAATAGAGTAGGCGTATTCATCGTTGGAGTGAGTGAGTTACGTATACGCCGCTTTCAACAATATTCCAGCAATATCATGACAGGGATGAGGTATGACGACGATGCAGGTGAGGTGAAATTGGGTTTAACGTTTTACTGAAAAAGTTCATAGTAAAAAATATAAAATATAATTAAGACCTTCTTCCTTGAAGCTGAGGAAATCTAGAGAATATTTCGCTCATATGACTCCGAGTCGACCAGTCCTTGTTGTACCCATTAATGTGTATGTGCAGGCTGCTTGTTTAACGTCTTTTGCCCAGTCGGGGATCGTTGTTTGAAGCTGGTTTTATAAGTGCTTTGGTGCACCAACGGAGATAACGTGGCCCGCAGCGAAACATGAATGGCCCCACTCAGACACATTATACTGACTCGAGACGACCAGTCTTTGTTGTACATCGTTAATGCCGAGCGCCAGGCAGGGATTCAGCAATACCCTATTTTAACGTCTTTTGGTATGACGCGGTCGGGGATCGAACCCGCGACCTTCCGCTCTCCGGGCGGACGCTCTAACCACTACACCATGGAGGCGGTCGGAAGTAATGTGGGCGTCAGTCCTGACGAAATCAGAATATTTTTTAACAAACGGCTCTATATGAATGTTTTGAATATGCATTGGTAGTGGCGCATTCTCGAATTTCGTGGTTATTTCCATAATGGTATGTAATTATATCTACTGAACGATGGGTGAGTGAGTGGATGGGTGGATGGGTGGGTGCTTCGGTGTGTGATTGTGTGAGTGAGTGAGTTATGTCACGCTGTGTCAGCATTTCGTTGCAGGACAAAACCTATTTCACTTCCATGCAATATAGTCGACCATCTAATGGTTGTTTGTATGTTTGTTGTATAACGCCGCACTCAGCAATATTAGGGATCGTTCATAATTTATGACTGGGGTGTGTGTGTGTGATGATTTTAAAAGGGTCGCAGATTTTGTTCTGGGGGCTAGGGGGTCAGCAATTTTGTACATAAAAGTATGTTTAAAATTATGCTTAGAAATGATAGGAAGGGGAGGGGGTCATTGAGTTTGTACATGACATGCAGGGGGGTCACTTATTTTGTACATAATTTTTGGGGGGGGCCATTCACATTGTACATGCTTCTCCATAAAAATCATCATCACCCCCCTAGCCATAAATTATGAACGGTCCCTCACAGCTATATAATGGCGGTCTGTAAATAATCAAGTCTGGAACAGACAATCCAGTGATCAACAGCAAAGGCATCGAAGCTACACAATTGGGATACGATGACATGTGTCAACCAAGTCAGCGACCATGACCACCCGATGCCGTTAGTCGCTTCTTATGAGTAGGGGCCCCTATATACTACTCTTATGACAAACATGGGTTGCGGAAGACCAACTCTAAGCCGGATCTCCACGTGTCTCTTATGGTTGTACAAAGTATTTATCAAAATGCACGTTGACGTATAAATGACGCTGACTTGGTTGCCCTAAGTGACATTTCAGACCTAAAATGCAAATCGCGAGTCAGACTGAACAAATCACAGACCGACCAAGATCGACACCGTTTAAAGATAGTATGGGATCAATTTCAACTGAGCGAACAGCCTTTATCTTCGCTTGCAAACTTTTGCAAATCTCCGGAAACTTTCATAATAGACTTATTTGAGAGTGGTGTTTAATATAGGTTGCCTATATCACTGACCATCGCTCGTTGCCCTCGATCGATGAAGCTATTCCTGATAAAACCAGGTTATCACTTGACATTGTAAGCCACAGCTAGCATATTGTTTTATGTTTGCACCTTCAAGCGTTTATTATTATTATAGGATATTTATATAGCGCACATATCCATGCAACCATTGCTTGCTCAAGGCGCTGGTATTTGTTTCCCTCGATTATTATTATTATAGGATATTTATATAGCGCACATATCCATGCAACCATTGCTTGCTCAAGGCGCTGGTATTTGTTTCCCTCGCTTGCACCTTCAAGCGTTTGTTGTGTGAATTAAAAATTATTAATTTTGACAGTTTTATATCTTCAGTCTATATAAAATTAATTCTGGCAGTAAAATGTAGATTTCAACACCGTTATTTCATTTGTTCCTTATCAAGCTGTTATAATCTATATTCAAACGTTGGTGCACTAGTGATAAAGATGTTGATCACCCATATTTGTTTGACGGAAATCTCGAGTGTATTGTGGTTTATGATCTTTACAAATTATCGGCTACGGGTCACTGGATCTGTCAAGCTGTATTTCTGGTAATATGATACAATCCATTTTACTCATGGTGCTGTTTCTGGGATGCTGTCAATATTAAGCATATATGGTTACGTCATGTGCTTATTAATATATGAAATAGGCTTCATGGACAGGAGTTAATGACCTCAGATAATCTGCCCTTGATCTCTCCCAAGACCAAGCAGGATAACCTAGTACTTAGTCCCATTTGATTATTCTTATATATCTTACAAGTGTTACATAAAAGGCAGTTTATAATTGCATAAAGTTGTTAAATAAATTTGAGTTTATTTCTAATTTTATTCCAAGATTTTTTCAAAAGTTGCCACTGGTAATTAAATCTCATTTGTTGTAATGAGAGTAAACTCATTGACAGGTAGATCTAACATCTTGACAAGTTTACGCCCGCTCAGGAACTTGACCTGTGAACAACCACGCCCACTCGCGCCTCGCATGACAGTAGCGTATGTGGCGAAGAAAACTAATACAAGGGAGATAATTTGCAAACAAAAAGCCATCGAAATACTCGCGTGTAACGTAACCAAAAGAAAAACATGGCGTCAAAACACCGGCTCGCTGTTATTTCAGGGCATTTACTTGGTTCAAAATCACAAAATGTAGACACAAGTAATGGCGATCGCTCACAGGGAGTTCAACTTCTGGCATGTGCCGCCAGTGACAACAAAGTGACTGTCGGAGAAGAGGCACCAACCATCCCCAAGCGCAGGTGCGTGTCTGATCACCTGGAGACTGGTGTGAACGCAAAATTCTGCACGCTTGTCACGTAGAAATAGAAAGTGCATTGACTGCATTGTGTATCATATTTTGGATGTAATACATGCTTAAATTGTGTCATGTTTACTTTTAAATGAACCAAGTAGCATGTGGTATCTTACATGTATGTGATCTGCAACGGTAATAGACCTTTAGGCATAATATGAACAAATCGAAGTAAACGAACCTTCCTTTTTTGTGTTTATGGTTTGATTGCAATATTTCAGTTTGTTAGTGGTTTAAATTGCATTTCAAGAAAATGACATGTGGAATTGCATTGAGCCACCTTTAAAATCCAGTATCCTATATCGTCGGATTATGTTTTCAATTTCATGCATAAAACTCTATGTTTATTAAACCTTGTGCTATAACGAGCGTTGTGGCATCACAAACAGATCTTTGTATATCTTTGAATGATAGCATGTTTTAACTTATGGTTATCTTTTATAAGTGAGTGAGATATTTTACAGTTGTTTATATGATTAGCAAGAAAACAAAAATACTTCCTGTGCATCTGAAAAACCACAACATGAGGATGAGAAGAATTGATCTTTTGCGAATGGTCAGTGGCAGCTGTTGTTCTGTAGGATTTCCATTTCAGAAGAAAAAATGAAAACAGATTATATAAACATATTTCACTGTTTGTCCATCCAGTCATAAGATAAAGTCATATTTTTCTTGTACAAGGGCTCACAACATGAGCCTCTTATGTATCACATTGCATACTGATCTATTTTCCTTACTTATAAATATTTGAATCCCTGATCAATCATATCCTCTGCTAATATAACACATCATGGATTGCTTATCAATGAGCATTGCTAACCATTCTGACAATATCTGACAAATATGCATGTATGTTTTGAAGTTCATCTTCATGTATCATGATGTATATAACGAAATATATGTATGACATAGAAACACAAATCAGGCTCATCAATACATTTTGGAGAATCATTTCTCAAATAAAGCTATCTCTGTGAATTCATGACTGTACAAGTTACTGAGCATTCAAGTTGATTATTTGAAGGGTGTTTGTGCATGTCAATGAGTTCATTTACTCTTTGTACCGCATCCTCCTTGTAAGTTGTATATATATGAAAACAATCATTAATTTTCACCTGTAAATGATACTCATGTCATCGTGTATCGAAAACAATCATTAATTTTCACCTGTAAATGATACTCATGTCATCGTGTATTGATATTTGTTTGCCGGACAGAATATTGCAAAACATCAATACTATTAAGGTTGCGGCCATAATCATATGCAGCCAATGAGTGGTGAGGTGACAGCTGTTGTCAATTTCAATTTCAGACAGGAAGTGTTGAAATGGAATGGCTGGGGTTACAAAGATTCCAAGTTTCTTATCAACAAAGATGGCCATGTACAGTTCTCAGGGGAGAGGTAAAATTTCACTGTATTTCCTTCAGTCAAGAAAAGATGTATATTAGGGCAAATGTCCAATAAAATTTCACAAATGAAACGAAATATTTTTGAATTCAGGTTCAGGTAATGTAAGACATGTCATCATGATCATCATGTTTTTTTTTGTATCTTATAGTTTCCGGTGTTCATTTCATTGATGTTAGTGACAACAGAACCAACAAACAGAAAAAGACTAATACTTAGTTTTGGATAATCATGGATCAAATGCAATACTAAAATAAATACATCTAATTTAAAGGTCACATGCCACGTAAAACACAAATTTGAAGATTCTGATACCTTTCGGTATGGACTTGCGAAACAAATCATCAAAAATGCAAATTCAACTTATAAAGTTGAAAAATAACGCGATGAAAAACCCGCACAAAATCGGAGTTCAAACGATTTGATTTGCGTTTGTACGCTTATAATTTTGTTTATATGTTTTTTTCATAATCAGCAATGTATATTATATGTCATGAATAAGTGATAATTGTGTTTTAATTATGTTTGATTTTTTGGTTGCATGTGACCTTTAAGAAGAAATTGTTTAAAATATTTCCAAACTTTGGTTAAAACAGTTATGTTTCTCCTTCAGTTTTCCTGCCCCTGGCACTTCATTTAAAATGCTATATAACCCTGTACATATGATTGCTCAGTGAAAACGAGTTGATTTATTGATTTCAAATTATCTTTTATTTCAGTATAGATGATAGTGCTTTTGTAAGCATTTGCTTCATCGTGGTAAATCAGAAGCAAGCACAACTATTGAGCCAATAATGAAGTTGAAATCCATGTCAAGTCACTCTTAACTGATACTTCAGCTCCTAAAATGCCATGTAAATGACTGTCATTGTATGTTTTCACTATGAAGGTACCAGCTGAGTGGCAGCACTATGCCTGCTCTCAGGGACTGGATGAAGGCTACTGTTGGCATCAGTCTGGAGCATAAGTCCCCAGCTCAGGTGAGTACCAAACACTAAACTGCACCGGATTGTTACATCCTTTCATCTTGAATGATACAATGAATACACAATGTCATCAGAAGTAACACATGTTGTATTTGGGCCTACACTTTCTCAGTAAAGTACAGATTCTAGTACTTTTGACAGTTCTGTTGGGTTGAGTCCGGGATTCAAACCCACACTCTCAGTGTCAGTGACCTAATCATCAGCACACAAAATCAGCCACCTAACCCACTCAGCTACTGTGGCTTCCACCAAACGGATACAGCCCAAGACTTGATCAAATATTAAAACAGATGATTAAACTAGTAACCTGAAAATGATTTTATTGTTTTGTTCATAATCTTGTGAACCCTTCTTCTCAGAAAAGTAATTCTCATCAACCATGTTTACTGTAAGAGTGAGTGAGTGAGTGAGTATGGTTTTACGTCGCTTTTGGCAATATTCCAGCAATATCACGGCGGGGGACACCGGAAATGGGCTTCACACATTGTACCCATGTGTTTACTGTAAGAGGATGTGTATAGGCCAACAAATCTCTAGAATGAGATGGAAAATGTAGTCAGCCTTTGGCAACCCTTTTTATTAAGGACAAAAGAATACTGTAAAAGTGATCAAATTACCTGATCGACTGCCAATAATGAGAACAGAATTGAGCAAATACAATATTATTGTTACCAATCGTACAGTATAAAGATATACCAGATCATCATTACCTATTGATGATTTATGTTGGTGTGTATTGAGTCCCTGACTTGATCGTCAACATCTATTCATGGAATGTTTTTATGTGTTTCCTCAGCCTGAAATGAGTGCAGCTGACATCCCAACACCAATCAAGAATGAAAACTATCTGTCTGAGCTCAAGAGATGCAGCATCCAGTTCTCTGATGATTGTCAGGACAGGCTGTTCAGAGCACATGGTGAGTTATAGGTGGCTCTTCTACATCATGTTATTTAGGCTGCCAATGAAGATAGCAATGGCAGCATATTTTTAGATGTCCTACCAATAAAATTAGAACTACTTAATGGTAGACATATTTGTTGGAAGTACATATGTGTACTGTTGTATGGTGCTTGTAGTACGAGGCAACTAACAGGATCGGGTGGTCAGGCTCGCTGACTTGGTTGGCACATGTGATCATACCTCAATTACGTAGATTGATGCTCAAGCTGTTGATCACTGGATTGTCTAGTCCAGACCTGAATATTTACAACCGCCACCATATAGCTGGAATATTGCTGAGTGAGGCATAAAACTAAACTCACTCACTCACTCACTACTGTTGTATTGAAAGTTTAGTACTGTATTCACCATATTTAGCTCCAACAGGTTCACCAATAACACAGGCGCGCTACTAAGACTTAACGGTTAGGTGACTGTTGATATTTTTCCACGTTGCAGTTACTGCATTAATTTATCTCATTCTGCATTTAATAAATATCATCTTTGCGTCTTAAGGCGCCTGCAGATAGATCATGCCAAACAAGGGGCAAAACATGGCAGAGAGTCCAGATATTCCATCCAGTCAGCTGCTAGCGATCGACCCTCTCCCGTCTGGTGTTCTGCTAGAGACCCCTGCGGCAGAGGAGCGATGGGGCGCGATCCGTTACCTCGAAGAAGCGACCGGCCTCCCCAGACATCCCGTCATTGCAGACCAAGGAACTAAGGGGCCTCATCCGTGCGTCTCAGCAGATTGAGGACACCAGGGCAGCGCGAGACTTCAAAGGGAAATCACGAAGACAGCAAGAACTTTCTCAGGCCGAGATGGTTCCAGCAGCAGAATTGGGCCTCTACGATGATCAGCTGATAATCATCCCGACTACTCGGCAGAAGAAGCGACCGGTGTCAGCGACTGTGACTTCTGCAGAGATCACCATGCAGCCTGATGCCTCTACACCCGGCGTCAGGCGTCATTGATGTGAACCCCATCGCCAGAAAGAGGCGCCCGGCGACTTACGACACAGATCATCCCAGAAGACATGATCGCGGCGGTTTATGAACATCATGGAGGACCACTACAAACTGCGCCAAGCGAAGTCCGAAGCCGAAGGCTCCAACGTGAACAACACCCAGAGGCACCCCCGTCAGCGTAGCAGCCAAAGGCGATGTCACCTTCGCGAAGGAAGTCCGCACCACCTTGGCGAAGGACCTAGATGTACAGCCTTCGCTAAGGCCTTAGCGGGCGGGAGAGATCATCACCATCTTCGATTTCATCTCTGGAATATGGACTCAGACCATCAGACATCACGGAGGCCTTCGGCGAAGGTCATATCATCGATCCCCGGACCAGGCGCAAATGAAGCTGAGGCATTCGCGAAGGACATATGATTCCAGATCCTCATCATCTAGAAGAACATCGAGGGACTGCCGAAGAGCTTCGCGAAGCTATCAACACGAAGTCTCCGAGAAGATCATCCCATAGGCGATCTCCACTTACGTTTCATCACCAGGCCGATCACCCGTCAGATCTCCACATAGAAACGCGACAAGTCAACTAGATGCGCCACAAACCTCATCAGATATACAGACAGCTACGCGAGTCGAAGAAGCATCTACAATTTGTTGATGATGATGGTTTTGAGGATGATGGAGGAATCATATTTTCTGATGCAGAGATACGGTATTGGATGGTCAATAACCTAGATCTCACATCACCATCTAAAAGTGGCAATACAAGCAGAGCGTATTTGATGAAGGAAGATGATCCAGATGCAATCACTCTACCCCGACGACCGATTGCGGCAGTGCCACAGAATCTAGATGCAGCTTTCCAGAAAGCTACTGAAAGTTCAGATACCACATCTGCCCAACTTTCAAGCCAAGAAGTTCTCCACGCATAACATGGACTCCTTCTACAAGGCCCAGGACATCGATGAGAACTATTAGATCATCAGCGATGTAAAGAACAAGATTTACAAGATGGATGATCGCAAAGTTGGCTCATATAGAAACCATGGCGAGGCGATATGTTCTTTGGGTTAAATAGATCTAGGACGATCAATGAGACTCTTATTACTAGATTCGGGGATTCCACGACGGAAGATGATAGAATGATTTATTCTGCCTTACTTATGCAAAAGAAAGATCAGCAGTTTTAGCGGATCATCTTACATCTGTTTCAGCAGCACTGACCTTGGCTCGTCGTCAAGGCCTCCTGCCTCCTGTAATTGGGGAGAACTTTTACAGCCCCACTTTATACAGCCCGTGGTGCGACAACATCCATCTTTGGCGGAGAAATGCGACAAAGTCGCCAAGGAAGTCTCTAAGGATTCCAGGGAAGTCCTTATGATTAGATCGATGGACACACTAGCCAGCGTCATTCGGGTCAGACTTCACAAAGATACTCAGGCAGATCTAAGTTCACTTGCGGGCCTACAAGAGCAAGAGACAGGAAGATAGCCAGCTCTAGAGGTAAAGATTCTTTTTAAAATTAAGCCCATATGGCAACTATAGAGGAGGATCAGGAAGAGGTTCCCAATTATAGACGCTGAAACACAGGTTGAACGACTGGAGTCTTCCACCCCAGCCGTTCCAGTACAGCCAGCTCAAGTGGGTGGGCGCCTCCAACTACACTGGGAAAACTGGGGAATATTGCAAGACCCTTACGTCTCCAACATTCTTCAACCGCAGTTTTAGTATCCCTCTACAGGCCAAGCCTCCGCTGACAATCAAACCCCCAAGTTCGATTTACAAAGCGCAACAACTATAAAGATAAGAGGCTGTTTCATCACTCCTATCCAAACAGGCCATAGAAGTAATAAGATCAAGCGAAAGCGTCGAACCAGGTTTCTACTCCCCAGTTTTCCTAGTTCCCAAGAAAAACTCCCGCGAGAAATACAGACTCATCTACAACATGAGGCTTTTTCAACAAGAACTATCTACGCAAACCACCCGAAGTTTCGCATGATACATTTACCTCAGTTAAGCCAGATGATTCGTCCCTATGGACTACATGGGCAGCATAGATCTACAGGATGCCTACCTGCACATCCCCATTCATCCCGATTCCAGGAAATACCTACGATTTACTCTAGAAGGGCTACATTACCAGTGGAAAGTACTCCCATTCGAATATCATCAGCCCCTGGCTATTCCACGAGGATACGAAAGCCGATTATCAAATTTCTACATCGTCAAGGGGCTCATGAGTGCATTTTACCTCGACTGACGGGATACAAGTAGATCAAGATCCACTGCGTCTCAAACTACAGTTAAATTACATCATAAAAGCTACTAACACAACTAGGTTGGTTAGTAAACTTACGCAAGTCGGACCTAGTACCATCGCGCAAGACCTGCAGTTCCTAGGTATTCGATTCATCACAAATCGCAACCGTATTATGGTACCAGAAGACCGTTGGCTCAAGATACAGCAGACCATTCCACCAGCTCTACTCTCTCCGTTACCACTGCGACAATGGCAGAGCCTACTAGGTCTTCTCACATCAGCCCAAGACATGACTGTCACAGGCAGATTACAGTTCGTCCCCTACAGGTCCTCATCAGCGCACATCTCAATGATGTACAACCATTCAGTCTACGAAACATCTCAGACCGCATCTACTATGGTGGACCAGAAATCGAATGTCTGCGAAGGGATTTGTTTAGCAGAGCAGAATACAAAACCCATCTGTATGTAGATCGTCACTCCAAGGTTGGGGAGCTCATCTCACCAACCACCACGATATCAGGGTTATGGAATCAGCAAGAATGCAAACTCCATATAAACAGTCTAGAAATGAAAGCTGTAATCAACGCCATTCTACATTGGAGCACATTTCTACAAAATGCGGCCTAATGATCCATACAGACAATTAGACAGTGGCGTTCTACATAAACAAGCAAGGCTCAACGAGATCGATGAACCTTTTGAACCTAAGCTTTCAACTGTTCGATTTAATACAAGATCTAAATCTACATGTCAGAGCAGTGCACATTCCCGAGCCAGAAATATACTAGCAGGCGCTCTCTCTCGGCCTCATCTACCATCACCCGACAGAGTGGATGATCAACAGGGAAATTTTGCACAGATAATCAAGCAATTAGGCGCCGCTAATAGACCTATTAAGCCCGCCACGCGATTCAACAATCAGCTACCGACATTACGTGTCACCAGTCCCAGACCCCAAGCTTGGGCAGCGGACGCTCTAAGTCTATCATGGGAAGGCCTTAATGCGTGCAGCGTTTCGCCGCCAGCAATAATACCCTCAAGTATTACAGAAAATCAGACAAACACAGAGCCTACAACTCACTTTGGTGCGCCCTACTGGCCGGCCAGAGCGTGGTTTCCCATACTAATTCAAGAAATCGGTCAACCAACACTGGAGCTACCCAAGCGCGCAAACCTGTTAATTCATCCTCACACCAAACAGAAGTGCACGGAAACCCAGCAATGTTCCAACTACACGTATGGACTGTATACAAATGTGTTTAAACAAGAGAGGATATTCTGCCAGAGTGCAAAAGCAGTCAACGCTTGCTACGTTACTCAACTTCGTGGCTTGCAATGCGGCGACAAGTGGCACAGTTTGAAAATTATGCAACAAAGAAAGGGTTTACAGCAAGAGAGGCTCACAACCTCAAGTGGCAGACTATTTGTGTTACCTACGCCAAAACAAACATTTAAAAGGTTCAACGATATCAACATATCTTGGCGGCTTAGTTCTGTAATCACCATGAGAGCGGGTGTCAAATTGACAAGATCTCCAGAGTTACTGGCCTTACTACGAGCTTTCCGATTGGAGGACCAAAAGCGGAAGTTCCACGCCCAGCTTGGGATCTGAATGTAGTGTTACAACACCTCGCGAGTGAGGTCCTATGAACCTTTGGAATCGACAAACTTTGAATTTCTCTCACAGAAAACACTGTTTCTGCTATCGCTAGCCACAGCAGCAAGAATGTCTGAAATTCACGCTCTGGATTACGAGAGGATACAGTTTGATGACAATCATAACACACAGCGCACCTCGGATTAAGATGGGATTTCATCGCGAAAAATCAACTGCCAGGTCAACCAGACAGATTATTCCACATCCCGGCTATCCTCTATTCTGGGATCACAAGATACACAAGACCTATCACTGTGTCCGGTAAGAGCACTCAAAGTTTATTTCGACGATCCAAAACAAGGAGAAGATTTCTCAAAGCGTTTATTCATCCCCTTATAAGCCTCTGAATCAAACAGAAGTGTCACGGACCTACAATATCTATTTGGATAAGGACTGTCATTCTCCGTGCCTACAAGGCGGCAGGCTTGGACCCACCAACAGCATCAAATCCACATGAGATCAGGGCACTGGCCTCTACCCTAAAGCCCTACACGGTAACTGTTCCTTGAACACGCGATTATGGAAGGATGCTATTGGAAATAACATGGTATTTGCTAATCACTACCTAAGAGACATCACTACAGAAGATGTCTCTGGCATTCACCATTTGGGACCACTGGTCCTCGGCTCAGCAACTGACAGTCCCTCGTGAAGTTAAAATATTATCCTCACAAGATTAATATGTATTTTATACATACTCATCTAGCTTATAACTCTCACGGAGTTTTAGGGCTATGTATATATGTTCAGCTTAAGTATTCAACCTTAAGCATATACTTTGGTATAGTCAATTTCAGTGCCTCTATCAGAGTCACCTATATATATATATATAATTTATATGTATTGTTCAATATATTCATAATGTAATTCCCCTTTAATGGCTTTATATAACCTATGGTTTCTTTATACAGGAAACATCCTAAATCTAAGACTTCATGAAGTTCCGTGAGGGAGATATTACAGTATATCTATACAAAATCACTAATTATAAAATCCAAAGTATTCTATTACCCACCTCCGTTCCGTGGGATGCTACAAGCAAAAGAGCATGAGTCAGGATAAGGAAAAATATGTAATTTTTAGAGTAAAATTGATATTTTATACTTATCCTGACTCATGAGGTTAACTCCCTCCATCCTCCCCACTTAACACTTTGGATTTCCCTGTAAATTCAAGTGTTGGGCTCACTAAATCAGGAGAGAGTGAGGCACATGGGCCAGAGGGTGGCGACACCTTTCCCGCCAGGGAGACAAAGGGGAGGTAACTCGTGGTGAGTACCAATTAGTGATTTTATTTTGAAGGGAGCTTCAAATAAGGAGATACAAGTGTTCCACTATGTTCGCAAGAAGAAGAAGACAAGCAAAAGAGCATGAGTCAGGATAAGTATAAAATATCAATTTTACTCTAAAAATTACATTTTTGTGTGTATAATACAGATTTTCTTTAATGAAGCAGAAGAACTAAAGGGTGATGTCAAGAGTAACTATGAAGAAAAATTGTTATTATTTTAACTCATCCTAGCTATGTTATGCACTCTCTCTGGTTCTTACCCTCTGACAAATGATACGAGAAACCATGTGACTCTGGACTGCTCACTCGTTGGGAGTTTGTGTAAAGTATAATTAAGTGGTTTTATGAAGAAAATGAGCAATGAGGCCATCCTGCATGTGGACTATGCCTCGCAGAGTTGTCTTCCTCCTAATCTGGATGTGGGGTGGGGTGGCCGTTATGCCGAAGACACATGTTGAATCCCCACATGGGTACAATGTGTGAAGCCCATTTCTCGTGTAACCTGCTGTGGTATTGCTGGAATATTGCTAAAAGTGGTGTAAAACTAAACTCTCTCACTCTCCTAATCTGTGACCCACCATGCAAACATGAGATAAGTACATAACATGAGATGGGACATGTTTAAAAATAATTGAATTATAACAGTAAATATGTTTTAAAGTTTCATTGATGTATCAACAACTGAATGTGTGTGCATGATAACTGTCTAATGCCTTGTGTAGAAATCACAGATAATTGCCTTTAAACAAGATACAATGTTTTCTGAGTTATTAAAGTGTTCAAGTTTCCTTTGGTTTCAGGACACACTCTGCATGAGATGTTCGTACTCAGAGAGGGAAAGTTCAAGAGAATACCTGACATTGTGGTGTGGCCATGTAAGTACATGCAGATGCACATAGTCAGTTAAGATTTCATAGCTCCTCTAAATAACAAGTTGCATCAATTTAGATTTCTTCAAAATGAGCCCATTTCTGTCCTTCTGCATTGCTAAAAGCGTTCACATTTTATCTCTTACATTTTGAAACCATGACCATGTTTGTGATTGTTTTTTAGCATTGTTTTCAGCTATCAGTAACATTGGAGCTTCATCAGGCTAATCTGAAAAAAAACCAACAAATTTTGAACTTTGAATTTGTCTTTTGAATTATGCATTGAGTTGTGGGTAACTGAACAGTAACAACGAGGCTTCAGTAGATTATGTTCAGAGCTCAAATGGTTTGTTCTCTTCATCTGAGGGCGGTGGGGTAGCCTAGTGGTTCAAGCGTTGGCTCGTCATGCCGAAGACCCCGGTTCAAATCCCCACATGCGTACAATGTGTGAAGCCCATTTCTGGTGTCCCCCGCCGTGATGTTGCTGGAATATTGCTAAAACCAAACTCAGTCAGTCAGTGTCTTCATCTGAGAATGTCGGTTAGTCAAATGGTTGAAGTGTTTGGTCATCATACTAAAGATCTTGGCTTTGATTCCAGAAAAGGTACAGTTCCTTTCTTGTCATTGTTGTCTGTGATGTGTTAGGAATATTGAAAAACAGCTAAAAGTCATCCTCGCTTACAGGTACTCTTTTACCCATTATGATTAATAATCAGTTACATGATATTATCTTTTCAGCTTGCCATGCCGATGTTGTGAAGATTGTCAACCTTGCATGTCAACACAATGTTGTCATCATACCATTTGGAGGTATTGTGCTCCTTGAGACTTTCCACATTCAGCACTGAATCGGAGATATGATTCATTGCCAATACTGTGCTCAACATACTATGCATCTTCATCAAATGAAACACAGTCATTTTCTGTGAAGACAAAACATAGGCTGTCCATCCTTCTTGTTGTCCTTGTCAGTCATTGAATAAGATTTTCTGTCCATTAAGACAGATCTGAGGCACCAGGGCGGCAGGGTAGCCTAGTGGTTAAAGTGTTCGCTCATCATGCCAAAGACCCTGGTATGAATCTCCACATGGGTACAATGTGTGAAGCCCATTTCTGGTGTCCCCCACAGTGATATTGCTGGAATATTGCTAAAAGTGGCATAACACTAAACTCTCTCACTCACTCTAAATGTATCCAGTCCTGTGCCTATATTTGTTCACGTTTGGTCTTTCAAGAAGAGGGCTGCACAACCTTCCATGTACTTCTGTAATAGCAGACATCTGTTGAAACAAGATGTGTATCAGTATCATATCAGAAGAATTTAGTCATTTTTTGCAGATTGACACTGCGAGTGGAATTAAGAAGTTTAGACTTGTGGTTTATGATTAATGGCGTTATTGTGGTTGATATGTGTATTGCTAGACTCGGTAGGAAACAGTAATCGTTCCGATAAATCTCCACTAGTACCCTAGATGCATCTACGGTGCGGGCCATTTTTATTACCTCCCTTTGCTGGCTTTTCATCCAATCAGGTGTTTTGCTGGGAAGTTGAGCGTACCAATCACAAGGCTTCTCTCATAACTCACTTTCACCTCTTTTATCTAACAGATTAAACTTGGCAACACAATTGTTGCAAAGGTACTCTGAAAGAGGTAGAAGGAGTCCTTGCATATATCTTTTGAAGGTTTCAGACCTGTCAATTTGTCTGTATGATGTTTTCCCCAAATCTGAGTTGCACAGTGAGCAAACCTATCTGTGGCTGTTATCTTTGTTGACACTGGCAAGCTCAGATGTAACGGTTTATCTGATTGGCTTCTGTGAGAAGGCAGACCCAGCAAAGGGAGGTAAATTATCAGGCCGCATCGTAGATGCATCCAGGGTACTAGTGGAGATTTATCGGAATGTATACCTTGGAGATTGTCAAGGATGAGTTTTTCTACTCTTGAACTACCAATCTGTGACTGTCTGACCCTTGTCTTTCTTTGTTACTGACGTTATTCAAGTTGTCAATTTGCCTACCTACAACAATTTGACACATGCCATTAAACAAACTTGTATGAGTGGTATGTTTACTGTTCTTTTCAGGAGGTACGAGTGTGTCGGGAGCTTTGGAATGTCCAGAAGATGAACAAAGAATGATTGTCTCACTTGACACATCACAAATGGTGAGTTGTGTAAATGTGGCATGAGGACATTTGATTGGTTGGTTGGTTTGTTGTTAAATGCAGCACTCAGCAATAATCAAGCTATATGGCAGCCGTCTGTAAATAATCCAGTCTGTACCAGATAATCAAGTGATCAACATCATGAGCATCGATTTACATAATTAGGATACGATGACATGTGTCAACCAAGTCAGCGAGCCTGACCGCCCGATCCTGTTAGTCACCTCTTACGACAAGCATGGGTTACTGAAGCCCAATTCTAACCCCTATCTTCACGGGTCTGAGGACATTTGACACTACCAATGCAGAGAGTGACACGTTTGTCTGGAATCATTAACTGCAACGTGACCTTAACATACATCCCAGAGATTGGAATCACAATTATGTGGCAAAGCCCATACTTCTTCATCCACTAAAGCTGCTGTGGGGATCCTGGGTCAGAGTGTTTTCCCAGCAACTTATGCTTGTTGTACCAAATTGATTAGGTGGTTTGTCTCGGTGGCCTGTTTGAAAGCATTATATAATTGGTTTGAGTCATTACTCTCAATATCAATCACTGGATTGTCTGAACTAGACTGTTAACAGGCTGCCTAAATATGGCTGGAAACAATTCCCCTCTTTAAAATATCATATTACTCACAATGCCTCTGTACTTGACATATCTGTGGACATATACATTTATTTTATCCCCCGCTGCGTGTTTAACACGAAGCTGGGGGATATAGTATTAGGCTCCGTCCGTCCATACGTACGAATTGGAATATCTTAAGAACCGTTGACTAGATTCTTTTCATATTTGGTACCTAGTTTCATCAAAGTATAAGAAAGGTCCATGTCAGGTTTGGTGACCTTGACCTTCATTTCAAGGTCACAAGGGGACCTTAACGTTTTACCCTTGTCAGCGAGATATCTCAAGAACCATTCACTGGATTTTCTTCATGTTCAACCCCAAGCTTTACCTAGGGACGGCACAGGGCCCAGTCGATTTTGGTGACCTTCACTGAATTTGCAAGATCACAGCGACACTTTGAAGATTTCAGCATGTTAAGCTGCATGTTAAGATTGTCAGTGAGATATCTCAAGAACAGTTCACTGGATTTTTCTTCTTAGATTTTCACCAAGCTGAATATTTTAGGGAAGGCACATTATGCGATTTTGCATTACCTTCACTTAATTTTCAAGGTAAGACATTGACACTTTGAAGATTTCAGCATGTTAAGTGTTAAGATTGTCAGTGAGTCTTAAGAACCATTCACTGGACTTTTCATCATATTTGACACAAGCTTCATCAAGAGAGGTTGCACTGGTCCAGTCGATTTTGTTGACATTTAACTTAATCTTAAATTACGGCGACACTTTGAAGATTTCAGCATGTTAACCTGCATGTTAAGATTGTCAGTGAGATTATATCACCTGAGTGACAATGCTTGTTTTATTAGATCTTAGTGTTAGTTTATGGGTACTATTTTCAAAATGGCTTTAGGTCTAGACTACACATATTTTGACAAAGATCTTGATTAAATGATTTGAAAACTAAACAAAAGAAGATTCTTGAATTGCTAATGGAGGCCTGCTATGTATGGCAGTACTTCCCACAGGCTGTGGACAATCAGGTCCATTTCCAATGTATATTCCAATATTTAACCCATAACTCTCATTTGCAAGGCCTCATGTTAGCCATGTTAAGGCTGCACAATTAGAAAACATATGGACCTTCTTTTTGGCAGTTGCGTAAATAATGCTCTCATTGGTTGGATGGAAGATCATTCCGACGTAACCTGTAAGATTTTATTGTTGGGGTAGCAAGCACTAGGAATTGTTTTTAATGAAATTGAATGTTATTCTCACCATGCTGCAAGAAAAATATGACAAGCTGATTGCTGATGGAACAGCATTTGATCAGTCTCAAGGAAAACAGCATGTCTGTGTTTTGTATTCAGGGAACTGTTTTCATATCATGTCAGACCAGTTCAGATTAGTTTCAGGAAGATATGTTTCATTTCAGAACAAGATTCTGTGGATTGATGAGAAAAACCTGACATGCCATGCAGAGGCAGGTATTATCGGCCAGGACTTGGAGAGACGAGTGAGTTTATGAAGAGTTTCATACAGTGATACGTTTTTTTCTGTAAAATATATTATTTCATACTCTTTCAATGCCCCTCCAGCATTTTGTTAATCAGCTATGGAAAAATGTGTTGTAATTAGTATTTCTAGTTCACTAGTTAATATATACACGTCATACATGTTCATTTAGCTATCTTTTCCTTTAAACCTGCTCTGAAATATTTGTAGTCAAGAAGTTTTCACATGTTTACACATAGATATGTGTATCTCAATACCTATCATATCATGATCTATGTGTTGTGATACATATTATATCATGACCATGCTGTATTATTTGACTGCAACAATTAAACAGTTGCTACTTCTCAGACATGTCAGAAATCTATTGTCATGACTTCAAACTCGTATGCGCCGCCATATGAGCTTAAATATTCTTTTCCCTGACCAATTTCTCCTATGTTTCCCTGATCGTGTTTCAACACCCTACCCTACTCATGGGTTCCATCAAAGTGGTAAAAGTCTGAGACTACAGGCATTCCTCCCAGATTAAAATGACCAAATTGTGATATAACTACCCTATTCAGCAAAGTGGTAAAAGTGAGACTACAATTCCTCCCAGATTAAAATGACCAATTGTGATATAACAAAGCTCTGTCAAATCCCAGTTTGCCTGTTTCTATGTTTGCCAACACCCTACCCTATTCATGGGTTCCATCAAAGTGGTTAAAGTCAGAGAGTACAGGCCTTCCTTCCCAGAATAAACTGACCGGAAATGATAAAACAAGCTCTGACATTTCATCCCCAGCTAACAGCTAAAGGCTACTGTACTGGACATGAACCAGATTCCATGGAATTCAGCTCCCTTGGAGGCTGGGTGGCAACACGGGCGTCGGGTATGAAGAAAAATATCTACGGAAATATTGAGGATATAGTGAGTATCCCTTCTAATTTTATATCTTGCTTATTATGTTATTATATTATTTGTAGAATTCAGGAATGAAGTGTATTGTGACCATACCAGCATCTACTTAGATGTACTATCTTAAAGGGAAAGTAAACCGAAAGAAATGATGTGAATGTTGTGGAAAATGAATTTTCCAAGAAATATTTAGTTGTCAGTGTCCAAGAGAGAAATATTCCCAATACTTGTTGAATGTTCAAGTGAAAAGGCTAAAATCACATGCTCAATGATCGTCTTCCAGGAGAAACGTTTTTCAGGGCATGGCCTAAAGTTAACAGCACAGCCGTGTCTTTTTTTAAATTGGTATTGCCTACTATAAGAAATCAAAACTGAAAGGAAAGACACAAAATAGTTGGCTGATGGTTTTATCAAATAAAGCAAGAGTGTAGTAGTGTTTTTTCTCCTTAGATTGTCCATGTGACATTTGTGACTCCTCGAGGTGTTCTGCAGAAGAGTTGCCAAGTGCCCAGAATGTCATGTGGGCCGGACCTGCATCATTTCATCATGGGATCAGAAGGTTGTACCACTCCTTCAAACACTTGTTGCAGTCCTTCCTCACTCACCCCTCAATGACTGACCCACCCACCCACTCCTTCACAGACTATTCACTGACTCGCTCACTGACCACTCACTCTCATTCACTGACTGCTCCTCACTGACACTTACTCACTCACTGACTCACCAACTGACACTTGCTCCCTCACTCACTCACTCACTCACACACACACTCACTCACTCACTCACTCACTCACTCACTCACTCACTCACCTCACTCACTCACTCACTCACTCAGGGATACCTAGGTCTGTACCTTCTATCATGAGAGCACAGACATTGGCCCATGGCAAATTTTGCTTCAAATGACTTGACATGACTCTTGCATCAAATGCAATGTTATAATACTATATTATATACACTCTGAATTTTTTTTTTAAATCTGAATTTAATTTGTGATCCTAGATAGATCTTGGCTACTTTTCAAAATTAGTTTTGTGGCAACCATGTTACAGGGACTTGCAAAGTTGACTTGCATGTTGACAGCACAGTTTGTAATGTTGTACTGTTGTCCAGGTACCCTGGGTGTTGTTACCGAGTAACCCTCAAGATCCGACCTCCTCTGGCTCCTTGTAAGAAGCACGGCTCGATAGTGTTCCCTAATTTCGAGCATGGTGTGCAGTGCCTTCGAGATAGCTAGACAGGTATGTTACACTCTTCAATACAGAACCTTATTTGCCTGTATATCAAAGAAAGTAATTTGAATTTGTAAGAAACAGGATTATAATGAACTGACGGATATAATGAAAAGGAGTATTTTACCTGCCTCTTACTGCATATTGTCGCCGAAATGCATACAACAAACTACAGTTATAGCAAACTAAAATTCCTGGTCCCTTTGAGTTTGATGTAACTGTGATCCTTAACTTAAAGCAGATATATTACAAGTGTCTATAGACCGCCTCGTGGTGGTGTAGTGGTTAGAGCGTCCGCCTCGAGAGGAAGGTCGCTGGTTCGAAAACCGCTGGCCATACCCAAAGACGCGTTAAAATATGGGTACTTGTTGGTCCCTGCCTGGCTCGCATTAATGGGTACAACAAGGACTGGTCGGCTTCGGAGTCAGTATATACTGTGTCTCAGTGGGGTATTCATGCTTCACTCGCGGCATGGTATCTCAGTGGGCTAGCACTATAAAACCAGCTTAAGTCTGGGCTAGTACAAGCAGCCGCACATACACATACACACGATGCACGCCAGCCATAATTTATATCTTGCTTATTATGTTATTATATTATTTGTAGAATTCAGGAATGAAGTGTATTGTGACCATACCAGCATCTACTTAGATGTACTATCTTAGAGGGAAAGTAAACCAAAGAAATGATGTGAATGTTGTGGAAAATGAATTTTTCCAAGAAATATTTAGTTGTCAGTGTCCAAGAGAGAAATATTCCCAATACTTGTTGAATGTTCAAGTGAAAAGGCTAAAATCACATGCTCAATGATCGTCTTCCAGGAGAAACGTTTTTCAGGGCATGGCCTAAAGTTAACAGCACAGCCGTGTCTCTTTTTTTAAATTGGTATTGCCTACTATGAAAACAAAACTGAAAGGAAAGACACAAAATAGTTGGCTGATGGTTTTATCAAATAAAGCAAGAGTGTAGTAGTGTTTTTTTCTCCTTAGATTGTCCATGTGACATTTGTGACTCCTCGAGGTGTTCTGCAGAAGAGTTGCCAAGTGCCCAGAATGTCATGTGGGCCGGACCTGCATCATTTCATCATGGGATCAGAAGGTTGTACCACTCCTTCAAACACTTGTTGCAGTCCTTCACTCACTCACTCTCTCAATGACTGACCCACCCACCGCTCCTTCACAGACTGACTCGCTCACTGACCATCACTCTATTCACTGACTCACTCACTGACACTGACTCACTCACTGACTCACCAACTGACACTTGCTCCCTCACTCACTCCCTCACTCACTCACTCACTCACACTCACTCACTCACTCACTCACTCACTCACTCACTCAGGGATACCTAGGTCTGTACCTTCTATCATGAGAGCACAGACATTGGCCCATGGCAATTTTGCTTCAAATGACTTGACATGACTCTTGCATCAAATGCAATGTTATAATACTATATTATATACACTCTGAATTTTCTTTTTAAATCTGAATTTAATTTGTGATCCTAGATAGATCTTGGCTACTTTTCAAAATTAGTTTTGTGGCAACCATGTTACAGGGACTTGCAAAGTTGACTTGCATGTTGACAGCACAGTTTGTAATGTTGTACTGTTGTCCAGGTACCCTGGGTGTTGTTACCGAGGTAACGCTCAAGATCCGACCTCTGGCTCCTTGTAAGAAGTACGGCTCGATAGTGTTCCCTAATTTCGAGCATGGCGTGCAGTGCCTTCGGGAGATAGCTAGACAGGTATGTTACACTCTTCAATACAGAACCTTATTTGCCTGTATATCAAAGAAAGTAATTTGAATTTGTAAGAAACAGGATTATAATGAACTGACGGATATAATGAAAAGGAGTATTTTTACCTGCCTCTTACTGCATATTGTCGTCGAAATGCATACAACAAACTACAGTTATAGCAAACTAAAATTCCTGGTCCCTTTGAGTTTGATGTAACTGTGATCCTTAACTTAAAGCAGATATATTACAAGTGTCTATAGACCGCCTCCGTGGTGTAGTGGTTAGAGCGTCCGCCCGGAGAGCGGAAGGTCGCGGGTTCGATCCCCGACCGCGTCATACCCAAAGACGTTAAAATATGGTACTTGTTGGTCCCTGCCTGGCGCTCGGCATTAATGGGTACAACAAGGACTGGTCGGCTCGGAGTCAGTATAATGTGTCTGAGTGGGGTATTCATGCTTCACTGCGGCATGGTATCTCAGTGGGCTAGCACTATAAAACCAGCTTAAGTCTGGGCTAGTACAAGCAGCCGCACATACACATACACACGCATGCACGTCGTCATATGAGCGAAATATTCTCAAGCTCGACGTAAAACCCAATTTCACCTCACCTCACCTCACAAGTGTCTATCCCACTGACTTAAGGGTAGTTCTCAACAAACATTTCCCATCTAATAATGCTGATGGCAATGTAATCTATATACATGTATTTTAAGCAAGTTACAAAAGACGTTACTGTACTACACTTCAAGCTGTAAACATAAAGCAGTGTATGAAATAAGGCCCGTCCGACCGCCCGAGACAGTCTAGATTTCTGACGGACGGTCTAAATTTACAGCTAGCCAGCCCGATGGTCTGGTAAAATTTTTAGATGTTCAATACATCTGAGTAAATTCACCATATTTGGTCTGGTTAAATCCTTTTTGGGCTGGTAACATTTTGAAGTTACCAGCCCTGATGTCTGGCTGGACTTTTGGCTTATTTCATACACTGCATAAAGTCACATATTACATAAAATTGGGTATACATGCTTCAAGGTGTAAAATAGGTATATGAAGCTTATACGGATTCCTTTGTGAGTTTTCATGGAGTGATGGCCACTATTGTGTTTGACATCATCTCATTCCCACACAAAGTGAAAGTGTGTTCTTAAAGAAACTGATTTGGAGGATTTTGTTTCAGAGATGTGCTCCCGCTTCAATTAGATTGATGGACAATGAACAGTTCCAGTTTGGTAAATATGATGCTTATGGTATATTATCTATTAACTCAGGAATCCTGGGTGAGGTTGGGTCCTCTTGCTGTGATTCGGCTGGAATATTGCTGACTACACTTTAAAACAAAAAACAAATATTAATATTATTGTTTTGGCCTGAAATTGTAAAAATATAACAGAAGCAAGTACAGAGAAATCCTTGACCCAAGTCTGAAACAGCTGTCAGAAAAGCCATACATAAACAAAGGGACATTACTCTGTGCCCATGATTAAAATATCCAGGGCACATATTCTCGAAACGTTCGTAGCCCTAAGAATTCCTAACTTTGATCGTAGCCAATGTGTTAAGAATGGGCTTTAAGAAGTTTGTCGGGCTCCGAACATTTCGAGAATAGCTAGCCAGATATCTGCCAATCCAGATGAATTTTCCTGTAAAATACAGGTTTTCACCAAAGTATGAACAACATGTATCAGTTGAATGCTAGTTATTTAATTATAAAATTTGATTTAAAATGACCAGATTTCCTTTTGTCACCAGAATTATAACTCTCCATGTTATATTTCCCTTTAGGTCATGCACTGAAGCCAGAAGTGAATTCCATTATAAGCAGTTTTGTGGATGGCCTCAAGAAGCTGTACATTACGAAGCTGAAGGGCTTCGACCCACACCACCTTAGTGTGGCCACACTATTGTTTGAGGGAACCAAGGAGGTAGGTTTCCCACACATCCATGCATGTATTTAATGAACTAGGTGATATTAGTTTGGTTTTTACTGATCTGTCAACTTGGAATTTTACAAATGTGGAATAAAATTAAAATTTAAGAATAATTTTGACAGTCATAGTTAGCAAGGACACTGTTAGTAAGTTGGGAAGTAACTCTTCATGATTGTTTCTTTGTCTTTCATGAAAATGTCAGTAAAAATATTTTGTTACTTTCCAGGAAGTTGCTGCTCAAGAGAAGAGGGTATATGAAATAGCCAATAAATATCGGTAAGGACGAACAGTTGGCACTGTGACTATCCCCTGGTGTCTACACTCTTAGGGCTAATCTTGTCAAATAAAGACGTGGGGCCATTTAGTGTACCAGTTTATGAACCAGGACAGATGCCAGTTATATTGAAATCAGATCTTAGATTTGATAATTTTTCCTTATCCTGACTCATGCTAATTATGCTTGTCTCCTTCCTCTTGCGAATGATAGTGGAACACTTGAAATCCCTTGAAGTTCCCTTCTAAAAAAGCGGACGTAAAATCACTCACCCAGGAGTAGCGTCCCTTTCCTCCCTTTGGTGCCCAAATGGTCACATGATTGGCTATATTTGTCAGTCTTTCCTTTTTCGCCCTTGAGGACGGTTGTGAGAGCACCTGGGTCCCTATACGGCACATATCCTTTTATATTTTGGACCTTACATCAAAATTATTGCTGTATACGGTTTTAGGATTATATTCTACATTACGGTTTGAAATTTGATCTAAATTTTCCGTTGTTTGACATGTGTTTTTCTTCATGTTTACATTTGATGAAAACTTGTATTAGTTGTAGGTACCGAGTGTCTGCGGCTGACCCTCATTTATTATGTCCTAATTGCACTGTTTCATGTTCTTTCAGCTCTCGCTGTAAGTCTTGTGTAAATTTAAATTTGGTTGAATTTAATAATTACCTTTTTTTCATCCATAGACGTGCTAAGGACTGGGTACGTAGGTATTCACAAGTCATGTCTAAATTGAGTGATTGCGCTGATAACCATGTGTTAACCACTGCTGCAGATATTCATAATTCTAGTGAATTGCTGAACGTTTCTTGGGAGCAGGTCGATGTACCAGGGGTGAACGCCGGAGGCCATAAGAGATCATCGTCTACTGAGCTAACCTCATCGCGGATGAAGAAGGCCAAATCTTCATCTTCGCAGAAGAAGAAGGCTACTACCATGAAGACTTCAGCGAAGTCTAAGATCAGCTCTACACAGAAGACGAGGTCTTTCTCAGCGAGATTGTTCCTCCGGAAGAAGCAGATGTTTATGATGATCCACCCATCCTCATACCTGAAGTCACCATCGTCAGTAAGAAGACGAAGCCTGCTTCTACAGCTACATCGGCATTGGTATCAGCGCAGACATTGACAGAAGACCTGCTATCAACGCAGACATCGGGTACCAGAGATAGCAGCAGCGTCAACTCTTCACAAGTGCAGCGAGCCTTAGATGATGTCTCTTCAGTATCAGATGCATCATCCCTGCAGCAGTCTCTTCAGACAACGCAGAACTTCAACCCGGGACTGTTCATGCAACAGTTTACAGACCAGATGATGTCGATGATGGAACGTCGCTTCGCTCAGGAGAAGGCTGCTATGAAGACCTCTACAACGACTACTAGCCTGCGTGAAGGCTCTACAGTCTCCCCACCACATCCGGATGAAGAGGGAAGCCTGCACGAAGGCTCACGGACACGGCGATCTTCCCCATCTGAAGTAGACGCCCCAGAGAGACGCCCCGGAGAGTGCTGCTAAGAAGTCTCCACGCAGGAAGAAATCGAGGAATGAGTCGTCATCTCCATCGGACTCTGACGCCCATAAAGAGCCTGTGCGAAGGGGAAGGAAGCTACGTTCAGGTAACCCACCTTCGCGAAGGCCTAGAGAATTATCTCAAACCTCCAGGAAGGATTCAAGATCGCATCGGGATCGATCGCCTGCACGAAGGTACCAGCAACCTCTACTAACGTCAGCTGCAGCATAGCAGACCCCTTCCGATGACAGTCGCCCTGCGCGAAGGAATATTAGCCATGCAAGCTCGCTCGAATGAAGGCCTGCACGAGTGGTTACTTTCGCAAAGATCTTTACCGTCAGAAGTATCAACAGTTAGTAACCTGGAGGATTCTACGCCAGCTTAGCGTTAGCAGTCCACGATGGAGCCTCCACGTAGTTTCAGCGTCTCAGCAGGAAGGATTCTAACACAGAAGTAGATCCAGTCTTTCTCCAGTATTCTACAGACTGCGCAGATACGGATCTTCCAACTTGGACCTTCATCAACCTGCGCGCAGGCACTCACAGGGAGGATTATAATCAGAGTCAGCATGTTCCGCCGTTCAACGATAGCAGATTTCCCCTTCATCATACGGAGCCCTTCATGATACATCAGGGTTTGAGATTACAAGATCATCAGTGAATCCCATAATGGATCTTCAAGATGGAAGATAAGAAGATAACGCAACTGGACACTACAACTAGATGTTGGCTATGTTGGATCAACCCGTGGCTGAAGGTAGAGACGCACACCTGAAGTAACGATGTCAGATAACATACGATGAAACACTGAAGATGAATTTTCATCACATGGGCTTACACGATTTCAAGGGGACAGTTAGCAGCATTGTCGCAGATCTTCAGCGAGACATCAGTTACAGTCAACTTTACAGAACATCTGTTAAGATGACGACTGCAGTAAAGATTGTAAAGTTTAAGAATACAGTCACAACAGACAGGGAACAGTCTGCTTACATCGGTACTACGCGGCGAAGTTTTCGCGCGCTTCCACTCGGCCATCAAGACAGGTGTTCACTCGTGTAACGAGGAAATCACCGACTGCACAAGTTTCTACGAGGATCATTTACCTGCAACACCGGTGACGTCACAGTCACGTGTCAGAAGGTCGTCTACAGTTGTAAACAACTCTATCAATGTGGGAAAGGCTCCATTTATAGTCCAGTTATCAGGGTACAGCATGGTTTGACTATCTTCACGGGTCATAGAGGGACCCCTGTCAGCAGATTTAATATTGGTTACCTGGGGACTTGCAGCGACAAGCGTGAGACGGTTTCTACTCGCGGCAGCCGGTCAGCTATAAATAGACTTCACATCGATGGCAGTCCCAGTCCATCATAGATTTTTGCTGATCTAGAGAGGACGTATTATGCATCCTCGCTGCACATTGTTCGGATTCTGGTTACGACGTCATTTTCATTACATATTACCGGAAGATTGATGAGACAAGCTTCAAGCCATGATTCCAGAATCGATCATCTCTCCGCTTCCATGACGGACATGGCAAGGGCTCCTAGATCCATGTACCTACAACGTAGGACATGATTGCAGTAGATGGCTAGTAATCTCCTAATCGGAGTTTGAACCAAAACAGGATCTTCAATTTCTGGGAATATGGCTCATCACACCACAGAATCACACGGTCGTCCCAGAGGATCCAAGATACAACATATGATATCTCAAGCAATGCTATCTCCGTTGACACTATGTGCTTGGCGCTGACACTATGCGCGCATCAAGAGATGGAGTTGCAATAGATAACTAATGGAATATTAGTATATCTAAAATCCACACGAAAATGTCAGGAGAAGTTTCGGAAGAAATCTGACAAGTTGTGGTCCCCTCCAGACTCATCAGAGAGAAGTTGAAAGAACAGAATCTTCAACAGTGCCGTCATAAGTTCCAAAGGGGGGGGTAATACAGGATTTGAATCTACAACCAGTGAATCAAGTACGTGGCTTGACCCACCACTGTTTCCGACGGATTCTACAAGCATAATTAGCATGAGTCAGGAAAAGGAAAAATATGTAATTTTCTGACTAAAATTTATATTTTATACTTATCCTGACTCATCAGGTTAGCCCTCCCAACCTCCCCTCTTATGGCACTCTGGATTTCCCTGTAAATCCGGGTGTCAGGCTTACATACGGAGAGAGTGACAAATATGGCCGATCATGTGACCATTTGGGCGCCAAAGGGAGGAAAGGGACGCTACTCATGGGTGAGTGATTTTACGTCCGCTTTTTTAGAAGGGAACTTCAAGGGATTTCAAGTGTTCCACTATCATTCGCAAGAGGAAGGAGACAAGCATACTTAGCATGAGTCAGGATAAGTATAAAATATCAATTTTAGTCAGAAATTTACATTTAAAATGTGTCAAAATCAAACAAGTCCTTAAAAGTCTTGTGAACTTTTAAGCCCTCTAAAATTCTCTATGTGAGCGAGCGAAGCATTCGATGCCACATGTCTGACTTTTGTTTCTCAAAAATGCTTTGTATATGTTTTCTGTCAGGACTGATGTTATTGTACAGGAACCAAGGTTCATAAAATTATAATATGACAAAGTGAATTGATTTCAAAAGCTGATGCAAGTGGCTCATGAAAACCCAAACATCTTCTGGATGTGATTTGGCAGTCAAATTTTGTTTGGGTTCACCTGACCTGAGCTCCTGGAAAGAGTCTGTCAGATCTCTGTGTAGAGAGGTATTTGATCAGAAATAAATGTCAGATTTTTAATGATATTGGGATGGTTTTGAAACAGATTATCGTGTGTCAGATTTTGTTATGAAATATATGCATGGAACTCTCACAGGACCTATTCAATAGGCTGAGATTGGTGTCCTACTGTATCTGTTTTGCTTTTCTCCAACATATTGTATGAAGTTGCATGTTCCTTTGTTCTAATATGAGGGCCACCGCCATATGGCTGGAATATTGCTGAGTGCGGCGTAAAACTAAACTCACTCACTCTAATATAAGGAGCTTTGGGTGGCCTGGTCGTCCAAGGTGTTGTATTTCACTTAGCAGAGTTGCATTCTTTGGGCATTTGTTTGGATCTCGAAATGCCTTGATTCTGTTTCTAGGTTTGCCTTCACCATACCCACACTTATGGGCAATGTGTGAAGGAGTTACCTCCCTTGATATACATATCCAGTCTCTTGAAAACAGTGTGTACCAGATTGTGATGTGTGTTTCATTGTTGTCCCTGTGTGTCAGCTATGATGATCTGTATGTGTTGTATGTTCCAGGGGTATACCAGGAGGTGCAGACAATGGAGAGAGAGGGTACATGCTCACGTTCGTCATAGCCTATCTTAGGGTGAGTCTGTGATGTTAACATCTAAAGGATTACAATAGCTTTCTGTTGTATATATGCCATTGGGAGATTGAGTATAGTTTCCAGCAGCTCATAGTATACTCAGTTTCTTTCAAGCTTATTACATGACATATTTTCTTAAAGAGAAAACTGCCTGTTTTATTGTTTTACCGTGCTGATAAGAATCTTGGAAACTTTCAAACTGTAAAGTATTTAAAAACAAACTGACGATTATCATACTGTTTTTAACCCTGTTAATCAACAGATATCTGAACATTTCATGACATTTGCTATAAGTTTATCTGCTGTTTTCCATTGCAGGATCTTGGATTTGAATATTACATCGTAGCAGAATCCTTTGAAACATCTGTTCCTTGGGATAGGTATGATATCTCCAAGCAATTGTTTATTTTGTGGAGACCCCAGTCATATTGAGGAATATTGCTGAGTTTAATGAAAGACAGCAAGCGAACAAACATGTAGTAGTTAATGATTAATTAGAAAGAATTATAATTAGAGACAAGGCATGAATTGCCATTTCTGGATCCAGACTTAAAATGGACAGTGTTTTGTTTTCTTGTCGTTCTCTGTGTTCTAATTTGTTGTGTTCTTTCAGGTGTCTGGATCTGTGCCAGAATGTTAAGGAACGTCTGCATCGCGAGTGTAAGGACAGGCGGATACAGTTCCCCCCATACATCACTTGTAGGTAAGATGTCAGGTTGGCAAGTTAGTGCTTATGGCATTTTTATTGATCATACTAGTTAAAGAGAACATGTTGCACAATCTCAAGAGCAGATGTCATATTGGTAGAAGTGGGTTGGTGGTTCCAATTAGAATTATTTCGATGTACAGTATAATGTAAAACGATGACATATTGGTAGAAGTGGGTTGGCGGTTCCAATTAGAATTATTTCGATGTACAGTATAATGTAAAACGATGATACTAACAATGTCCCTTCCTGTACAGAGTAACGCAGTTGTACGATGCAGGAGCCTGTGTGTATTTCTACTTTGGCTTCAACTACAGAGGAATATCCAACCCTGTGGAAGTGTACGAGAGCATTGAGGTATTGTAAAACTTCAGATTCCTTGTGTTTACGTTCATAGTGTTATGAAGAGCTTGACAGTTTACCCAAAGATGTACAATCACAGTTGACTGGCCATAATCTGCCTCACATTGGCATGGAAATATTACTAATCTGAAGCCTGTTTGCCATGAGATCACCTCACCTGTAATTCCTTCAACACAGTGACACAGTCAAAATGGGTAACTAAGGAGAAAGAAAATATTTCAAAATGAAAATTAGAGCAAGACTGCAGACAGGTTGTGAGTTACTTCAGTCACAGTTCTATGCTGTCAGAGACAACTTTAAAATGGAAGTAAATGCATGCAGATTGACCCTTGAAGTAATGAAGAAAGGATGCTTCCTGAAATGTCACTGTCTTGTATCAAAATATGTGTTTTGTAGTTGTTCACTTGCATGCTCTCCTTGTGTGATTCCTGATTTAAGGGGACCGCCTCCGTGGTGTAGTGGTTAGAGCGTCCGCCTGGAGAGCGGAAGGTCTGAGGTTCGATCCCCGACCACGTCATACCAAAAGACGTTAAAATAGGGTACTTGTTGGTCCCTGCCTGGCGCTTGGCATTAATGGGTACAACAAGGACTGGTCGGCTCGAAGTCAGTATAATGTGTATGAGTGGGGTATTCATGCTTCACTGCGGCATGGTATCTCAGTGGGCTAGCACTATAAAACCAGCTTAAGTCTGGGCTAGTACAAACACCAACACATGCACACGCATGCACGTCGTCATATGAGCGAAATATTCTCAAGCACAACGTAAAACCCAATTTCACCTCACCCACCTCACCTGATTTAAGGGGGATAATCTGTTTGAAGCCTGATGCAAGACTTCTGAATTGCATCATGTGGGAAATGCTGTGTGTTTCACTCAGTCTTAATGATTAAAAATGATAAAAAGGAAATTTTGTGAAATTACCACCCAAGGGTGAAGTACATCAGGATATTTTCATGTTGGATATGCTGTGTGTTTCAGGCCTGTGCTCGAGATGAGATTCTGGCAAATGGTGGCAGCATATCACATCACCATGGAGGTATGTCCAGCATCATCTGTATAAATATACAGTGTAAACGGATACTGTCGTGACTAGGAATTCTATAAAAGCATCAGTATTATTAAGTGATTATATGTAAAAATTATCCTTATCATTTTCTTTACTTTATGATTCAAACTACTGAGGTTGTTAATGTTAGTTGTTTCTCTAATTTTGGCAGCCTTTGAAACATAAGAGCTTAATGGTCTTTCGTTATAGACTGCCTCTATGGTGTAGTGAATATTGGACATGTGAAGATTAGGTTAGAGTGGTCATGGACGCTGACTTGTTTGATGCATGTCATCATTCCCAATTAAGTAGATTGATACTCATGATGTTATTCACTTGATTGTCTGGTCCAGACTCAAATGTTTACAGACCACTGTCATAAACAACAAACAAACAAAATTAAAAGTTTGGTGGTTCAATATCTAGCTGTGTCATACAAAGAGACATAAAAAGACAGCATTTGGTATTGTCCTTTTTGGTGCTCAGTATTGTACTGTGTCTGAGTGGGGTATCCATTTTAAATTGGGCTGGGGTATCTCAGTAGGCTAGTCCAATAAAACCAGGGAAAGGCCTGACTAGTTCAAGCCGCAATACACATGGACATGAACAAGCACACGTGCTTGCACATTGCAATATACTGGTAAGTGCAATAATCTGATCAATGACATGATTGAAGTTTCAATGTGTGTCTGTTTACAGTTGGTAAACTGCGGAAACGCTGGCTGAAGGAGACCGTGAGTGAGGTCGGTGTTGGGACTCTGAGAGCAGTCAAGGAGTACATAGACCCAGACAACATATTCAACAACAAGAATCTGATGATGAAAGACTAGCACAGGAGACTAGTGCAGTGAACTAGCCAGGGGAACAAGTGCAGGGAACCAGCCAGTGGACTAGCCAGAGGACTAGCCATAAGACTAGCCAGAGGACTAGCCCAGGGGACTAGTACAGGAGGCAGGCTGCTCTGCACTTCCTGGCATCATATATATATATTCCTTTATTAAAACAAATAATTCATGGTTCATATTTCCCTTTGATTAAATAACATAAGGGCAATGCATCCTGTGATTTCCCCAGTGAAACTTGTGATGGTGGATACAGCAGGGCTGTAATAACACAGGTGATGACAGACAGATATTAGATCTTCCTTGTTAGCTTGCATTACAATGCAAGATAACACAGGCTGCAGTATTTCATTCTGTGTTCTGTGCAGTATTCCAATACTAATGTCTTTGCTGTATTCTAATACCGTGTTCTGTTCTTTATTCCAACACTGTTTTCTGTTCAGTATTCGGCTGGTGGGGTAGCCTAGTGGTTAAAGCGTTCGCTCGTCACGCCGAAGGCTCGGGTTCGATTCCCCACATGGGTACAATGAGTGAAGCCCATTTCTGGTTATAGCGTTCGCTCGTCACGCCGAAGGCCCGGGTTTGATTCCCCACATGGGTACAATGTGTGAAGCCCATTTCTGTTGTCCCCCACTGTGATATTGCTGGAATATTGCTAAAAGCAGCGTAAAACCAAAACTCACTCACTCACTCTGTTCAGTATTCCAATACTATGTTATGTGCAGTATTCCAATACTGTGTTCCTTGCAATACTGTGCTGTGTGCAGTATTCTGCTTCATGGATTATTTCAATACTGAGTTCTGTGCAGTATTCCAATACTGTGTTCCTAGCAGTGTTCTAATACTGGGCTGTGTGCAGTATTCCAGTATCCTGCTTCATGCATTATTTCAATACTGAGTTCTATGCAGTGTTCCAATACTGTGTTCCTAGCAGTGTCCTAATACTAATACTTTCACTCTGGAGCATAAATTGTTTGTCATGGGGAGAGAAAATATCAATGCTATATTCTTTCCCAAGATATGACGGCATTGGTTCTAGAGAGGTACGCATGATTCTAGGATCAGTATCAAAGTTTTCACTGAATGATTTTAATCAGGAACATATTTCAAATATTTAACATCATCTCATTTGAATATATAGTAATTTTACCAAGGTATTATTATGATCAGGTTTTGAAAATGACAGTGGATTCATATATACTGACTGAATTTCATGTTTCATTTGAGTGTTGTACATGATATGTGTTGAAATCTACGTGTCACATACCAAGCTTTACATTTGTATATGCTCACAATTCATTGACTGATATTTTACAGTGATAACACTACTCCGGTCATAGTAGGGCCTGTGGGAGGCTTGTACAGTAATTGCACACATTACATTATCTGATCCTCAAAGACTTGGGAAGTGTTCTTTTGTCTAGGATGCTTATCACAGTTGTGTCCCTTTGATGGCAGGATCAGCTGGTTATAATTTATTAATCCTGATTCACCACATACAATGTTTATTTCTTATCACTGTGTTGAATGTTTCATCTGGGTTCTAAGTCTCAAACATGCATCACTTTGGACTTTGAACATTTATCTGGCATGCCATGACACAGATGAAATATTCAAAACTGGCGCTCTCTCCCCCATTGTCTGTATGTGACAAGATGATTAGACAGGTCATGAGTTAAAATGCATTCCAAAATGCGATCATGGCACTACGGCAGTCATAAGACTATGCTATTGTATGGGAGTTAAGAACTAGTTGGTGCTATGATCATTTTCTGGAACGACCCTCTTGTTTTTAGCCTTAGACAGGTATGAGACCGTGATTCATGTGCAATGGCTTATCAGCTAGGCATGCTTGTTTCTAAAGCACAAGTGACAGTATTTTGAGTGGGGTGAGGGATGTTGATGTATAATTTTGAGGCAAAAGGCCAGAACCACCCTTCTGTCCTGATACAGTTTTGTTGCCATTCTTACATCTGTCTTGGAGCTCTGCGATTGGAGTTCCACAAATATGACATTAAACAGAACTGAATAATTCATAAAAAGAAGTCTTTCCACTTTACTTTTAACGTCAGTGAATCTAAAGTTGAGATGTCTGTGTAAATCTCAGGTTAGTTTGAGAGACAGTTGTATTAACTGTCTGGAGAACAGTATAGATGATCATTGTTCTTTAGGTGATCATGTGACATGCTACACTGAGACGGAGCCCTTAGATTTCCACAAATCACAGGTAGCACACTAATCATGCAAAACCAAGACCATGTTAGCCAGGAACAGCCATTGCCGGACGATAGGAACTTTGAACTAGTTTATTCTTAGGATTAGTGGAAATGGGAATGCGTTCATGAAGGAATCTGTCATGAAAGTTCAAAACTTACTTGCATTTGAGGAATGCAGGTAACAAATCTATACAGAATTAGCATATAATTTTAGAACTCATTCAGAAGGCTTGGTGCCGAGTTACTATTTTGTATTCAGATCCCTCAGTCAGTTTCCTCTCCTCTTTCATTGTTGCACATCTCTCACTCAGTTCAGTTCATATCCATTTCCTTGTATTGAGAAGGCTTTAATTTCACTTCATCCACGTGTATTCCATTTTTTTATGATTTGTACTTTCGTATGTGCATTATTTCACTATTTTGATAGATTTATCTCCACTTCCTTTTCATGTTTTTCAGTCTCTGCCTTTTGATGGTTTGTGCTGCTTTTGGTCGTTACACTGAGACTCACCCTCGTCCCTTTTGATATCAAATGTGTCAACACAAGCTAATTAAAAATCTGAAAGTCCAGAAAAGTTTACATATTTATTGATGATTTTTCATATATTTGATATCAGAAGACACAAGGGTAATGTTCTATTTATCGTCCAAAATCACTATTCTAACTTTTCAGAAAGAACCAGTGTCTTTGTGTGCAGCTAACCAGCCTCAGTGGCAAAGAAATGAGAGACGTCATTTGATTGTCATACCATGGTAACCAATGACATCACAATGGCCTAAAAAGCATTGTGATGTTATTTCTTGAGCTTGGTTGCAACCATGTGATATCCTCTGTGGAAGCCAGTTTGGGGTAATAAATTGCCATGCTTCAGCAGTAGAAAACTTATCAAGATGTTTGCTGCATGAAGAATGTCCACATTGTTACATCTTCATCAAATGACAGATTTAATGGCTGTTAAAGGTTCATTGATTTGTACAGAAATTAGACTGTGTGCATAATGAACAACTGTTTATTGTAATTCTTTTAACTAACTTGTGTATAAATCATGCAGAAATAAATGTTTTCCGAAAGATAATGGTCTGTTTATTTCTTTGCCAGATAAATGGAAAAATATGTCCAGAAATAAATGTCTGTTTTATCTGTCAAATTGTTATAAGCATGTTCATTATATACATTTAGTTAACTGTAATACAATTGTGTAGCAGACACTTTGGCTTGAGTCTGAAATCCCCAGTGGATTAGTTATCGAAATGAAAATGACATTGAAAAATGTCATTTATGTCTTCTATACATGTGGAGAGCGGAAGGTCGCGGGTTCGATCCCCGACCGCGTCATACCAAAAGACATTAAAATATGGTACTTGCTGGTCCCTGCCTGGCGCTCGGCATTAATGGGTACAACAAGGACTGGTCGGCTCGGAATCAGTATAATGTGTCTGAGTGGGGTATTCATGCTTCACTGCGGCATGGTATCTCAGTGGGCTAGCACTATAAAACCAGCTTCAGTCTGGGCTAGTACAAGCAGCCGCACATACATACACACGCATGCACGTCGTCATATGAGCGAAATATTCTCAAGCACGACATAAAACCCAATTTCACCTCACCTCTATAAATGTTTTGTAACATTATGACCTATTGAACATAGTGAGACCAGGTATTGTTTTAATGTTTTTTTAACATCTAAAATCCAATATTCAGATCCTCCACAATTATTCACAGTAAATAGTGTTGTAATTGTTAAAAGAGTCCAGATGTTATTTAATCTGAAGAAAGGACCAGGTATCTGTCCTGTAATGTTTCAGCCTGAAGACTTGCTATGTTTTTGTTTGAAGGTAATTTAATGCCTCGCTTGATGGCAAGCTGTAAATCATTGAGCCTGGACCAGAGAGTCCAGTGATCGATGTTATGAGCAACACAATCCACACCTTCAGGTTACAATGACCAGCAACTGATCAACTCACCAAGCCAGGCCACCTGATCTACAAGTTGCCTCTTACAACCAGTATGGATTGCTGTGAAAAAGTTCTAAACTCATATCCCACAAAGAGCTACAATGGTATTGGAAGCTCAGGACTATAAACCTGCAAACATGTGTCCATTGAGGGCAGGTTATGAGTATACACCCCAAAATATTGCCCATCTCCTATTCTGCTGATACACTAAGGTTTATGATCTGGGTGCTGTTGTACAAAGCAATCTTAGCACTAAGGTGACCGCAACTCCCATACCTTAGCATAGACTTATGACAGGTGTAGAGCTATGATTGGTTTGTACAAAGTGATCTTAGCACTTTAGCATAGATGATCTGTAGAGCTATGATTGGTTTGTACAAAGTGATCTTAGCACTAAGGTGACCGCAACTCCCATACCTTAGCATAGACTTATGACAGGTGTAGAGCTATGATTGGTTTGTACAAAGTGATCTTAGCACTAAGGTGACAGCAACTCCCATACCTTAGCATAGACTTATGACAGGTGTAGAGCTAAGATTGGTTTGTACAAAGTGATCTTAGCACTATAGCTGATCCGTTCAAATATCATTTTACGTCTTCCTGCAATTTCTCTGAAATAATTGAGAATAAGTGATGTCTTCTTCTATTTTCTTCATACTTATGTCACAAAAAGGTGAGAATTTATGGACGTCAACTTCTATATTTTGAGGAACAAAAAGAAAATAAACCAACTGACATCCACATATATGTCGCCTTTAAGTCTTTCACTTCTAAAAGCTGTTCAAAGACTATTACACCACAAGTTCCCTGTTTCACACTAAATATGAAATTCTAATCGGACAGTGTAAGTGCAAATCTGCTTCATGAAATTTGAAATGCAAAAATACCTCGAGATACCTCAATAGATACCAAAACACCTCAATGGATTTTCCATAAATTTATTACACAGATGCTGAGTGACAATGATAGCAACAGTGTTTCGTGTCTATCACATTACAAATGAGAACATGGCATAATATACATTGCAAGTTAGGAGACAGAGGCTAGGTAGTCCTTGATCTCCGATGGTGACAGACGATGGAACCCATCCTTGTTACAGATCCCTATCTCTATATTGTCCTCCGTCATCTGTCCTTCAAAGCTCTCCTTCAGTGTCAGGATGGAGGTGTGGACAGCATCCTCCAACTCCAGGCTTTCACTGTATCTAAAGACGAAACATGAACAAATACAATCAGTTCTTGATTGTGTGACAAAACAAACCCTCATCGTCACTACGAACTGATTTTCACATAAGAAGGAAATCTTGAAATATATAACCAAGCATAAACATCTACCTGGGACACAGTTTCAATATTGTATGGTTTGCAGAATTTTCCAAATGTTTTGGGAGGTTGAACTGAAAGTAAATTTAGGTAGTTTGTTTTGTTTTCATTTCAATTGGCGTTAAGGCAGTCTGTGTCAAACACTTAAGCCCACTAGCACATACCTACTTGCATACAACATAAAGTAATGTTTTAAGGTTGATATTGAAATAGCAATCTGTCAATTTGACTGATATAGTTAATTGGTATGTTGGAATACCAGTTTTTTGTGGTAAACATAATAAGACATGAAACAACTTACCTCTTCTCAAGGAATGTTTTTCCATTGATCTGATTCTTGCCCATAGCTGTGGCCTTCCATGCAAAGTAAGCTCCCTGGAACAATAACATAAAGACTTTTAACATAGTTCAGCCTTCGCGCAGGAACCATAAACCTGGGTAAGGGTAAGTTTTACAAGACATTTCCATGACTATCCGCCTGATTTTTGTATTACTACTACCACGACAGGTCAGCAGTCTGAATACTTTCTGAAAAATGTTTGTAGAGGTAAGGTCATGCTTACAGAGGGGTCATACTGGTGGAGGTAAGGTCATACTTACACAGGGGTCATACTGGTTGAGGTAAGGTCATACTTACAGAAGGGTCATACTGGTTGAGGTAAGGTCATACTTACAGAGGGGTCATACTGGTTGAGGTAAGGTCATACTTACAGAGGGGTCATACTGGCTGAGGTAAGGTCATACCTACAGAGGGGTCATACTGGTGGACAGCCAGGTCATACCATACTACAGAGGGGTCATACTGGCTGAGGTAAGGTCATACTTACAGAGGGGTCATACTGGTGGAGGTAAGGTCATACTTACAGAGGGGTCATACTGGTTGAGGTAAGGTCATACTTACAGAGGGGTCATACTGGTTGAGGTAAGGTCATACTTACAGAGGGGTCATACTGGTGGAGGTAAGGTCATCCTGGGTACAGAGTAAGGTCATACTGGTTGAGGTAAGGTCATACTTACAGAGGGTCATTACAGAGGGGTCATACTGAGGTAAGGTCATACTTACAGAGGGGTCATACTGGTTGAGGTAAGGTCATCCTGGTACATAAGGGTCATACTGGTTGGGGTCATACACAGAGGGTCATACTGGTGGGAGGTAAGGTCATACTTACAGAGGGGTCATACTGGCTGAGGTAAGGTCATACTTACAGAGGGGTCATACTGGTGGAGGTAAGGTCATACTTACAGAGGGGTCATACTGGTGGAGGTAAGGTCATACTTACAGAGGGTCATACTGGTTGAGGTAAGGTCATACTTACAGAGGGGTCATACTGGTTGAGGTAAGGTCATACTTACAGAGGGGTCATACTGGTGGAGGTAAGGTCATAATTACAGAGGGGTCATACTGGTGGAGGTAAGGTCATACTTACAGAGGGTCATACTGGTGAGGTACAAGGTCAGTACTTACAGAGGGTCATACTGGTTGAGGTAAGGTCATACTTACAGAGGGGTCATACTGGTTGAGGTAAGGTCATACTTACAGAGGGGTCATACTGGTTGAGGTAAGGTCATACTTACAGAGGGGTCATACTGGTTGAGCTACAGAGTAAGGTCATACTGGTACTGGAGGTAAGGTCATACTTACAGAGGGTCATACTGCTGGAAGAGGTAACAGTCATACTTACAGAAGGGTCAGAGAGGGTCACTGGTGGAGGTAAGGTCATACTTACAGAGGGTCATACTGGTGGAGGTAAGGTCATACTTACAGAGGGTCATACTGGTGGAGGTAAGGTCATACTTACAGAGGGGTCATACTGGTGGAGGTAAGGTCATACTTACAGAGGGGTCATACTGGTGGAGGTAAGGTCATACTTACAGAGGGGTCATACTGGTGGAGGTAAGGTCATACTTACAGAGGGGTCATACTGGTTGAGGTAAGGTCATACTTACTTTACAGAGGGTCATACTGGTAGAGCTACAGTCATCCTGGTACAGGTAAGACCATACTTACATTGGGGACACGCTGGTCGAGGTAAGGTCATAATTACAGAGGGGTTGCACTGGCAGAGCTAAGGTCATACTTACGGAGGGGTCACACTGGTAGAGGTAAGGTTTCTCCTCGTTTTCATCCCAGCCAGCAATAAGCAGAGAAACTCCAAATGGACGCACACCACTGAGGACAAAGGAGGATGATTGAAAATACTACCTTCTGTCAAACAAATCCTAAATCAAACACTGTTGCATCAAACATGTGGATGACATCAAATGATTACAGTAAATGATTGAACTTCTTGGACAACTCATAATTTCTTCATAGTTTTGAAGAATTATGCTTGAAGCAGTTAAGGTGGATTGGGCTTGCACTTTCTTTTGTTATAAGTGACTTAGTACATCTTGTTAGTCAGAACCATATTTGACTGTTTTGCCTTCTCAGCAATATCATTTGGGATATATACACATAGATATTTGGATCATTAAATATTGCAAGCAGCGTAATTCTGTACGTAATTTTGTTATTATGGAAAACAATTGAGCCAGAAAATTACACTAAGATCGGTGCAATAGAGGATATGTCACTGTCATGAAGTTTGTACAGCACTACTAGTGTGAGATCATTACCCTGACTGTGTGAACTCCTGCATGACAGTGGCTACTCTCTGCACTAGCTGGGCAGTGGGGATCTGCTCCTGGTAGGTCAGGTAGTACTGCTGGGCCAACTTCCGCGCTCTTCGTACAAGTACTCTGGAAGGTTCGAATATTTTATTATAAATACATTATATATTAATTTATTATTTTAAAATAAGAAACCACTCAAAACTTGCTCAAAAGTAATTATCATATTTTTCAAATCAGAGTGTAACTTATCTGATAGCCACTGATTCACTGCTCATGAAAAATAACGTATACTGCTGTACCAGATGTATTTATATTATTATTCATACTATATTCATATTATTACTCAGGAACAATCTAACACCTTATCATTGTGTGAGTGAGTTGGGTTTTACACCAACTTGAACATTATCTGAGTGAAAAGGAGATGCGTCATACTGAAGTGGAAGGAAAACTTAAGTGACGTAAGTCTCAGACTTTTACCACACTGGTGAAACCCACAAGCTTGGTTATGGTGTTGACAAACTAGAAACATAATCTGACGGAACTTGGATTCAAACTCATGAGCACCAGTTCTGGTATGCCACAGCAAACTTGCAATGTTACAAGTATTTGGGCCACCAAAACCTGGTCCATCAGCTTTTATCAATCATAATAAAAATGCTCTTTGAAAGTAATTCCAAAGACAAGGCCCTCCCCTTCTACACTGATCATCACAATACCTGTAGTCTGGTCCCATTCCACTGTAAACCATGCCAATATTCTTGGTGATGGATTCAACCTTGTTGATGCTGTGTTCATCATAAAGCACAGATTTTTGTTTCTTCTCTGTTGCCAGGACAACCCCATTTGTTGCTACAATATAAACATGGTGAGGTGAGGTGAAATTGGGTTTAATGTCGTGCTTGAGAATAGTTCGCTCATATGACGACATGCATGCGTGTGTATTGTGTATGTGCGGCTGCTTGTACTAGCCCAGACTGAAGCTGGTTTTATAGTGCTAGCCCACTGAGATATCATGCCGCAGTGAAGCATGAATACCCCACTCAGACACATTATACTGACTCCGAGCCGACCAGTCCTTATTGTACCCATTAATGCCGAGCGCCAGGCAGGGACCAACAAGTACCATATTTTGGTATGACGCGGCCGGGGATCGAACCCACGACCTTCCGCTCTCTGGGCGGACGCTCTAACCACTACACCACGGAGGCGGTCAATATAAACATGGAATACTGGTAATATGAATTCCACAAAATCTCTCAAACTGAAAAGTAAAGCTTGTTTTGTGAATCATTTTTGGTAACCTTCATCTGAAGAATTTATGTCACTTATGTTATTAAGTTTTTAGAACAATCCCGAAAATAATGCCAACATTCCTCGTAGGCGTATATCACATCACAAAAACTGAATAACTGAATAAGATCTTTTTTCAAAGTACATTTGACAGCTATTGGGAAAAACTGGTTGGAGGTTCTTTTATCATTATCACAAAAGATCATATGTCATTATAAAGAGGTCACCAGAGACATAATCAATGTTTACGAATGTACAGTTGGTTCCCTTTCGAGAGGTTACCTTGTGATGATACGGTCTGTGGTCAATAATATTAAGTGCTGTTTTGGCATGTTAATGTATAATTACACCTGTCTACATTCACTCAGGTGTCACTGCCTGTTATTTGTTTCAGTCCGGTTTCTTCCACAGTGAAACAGAATGTGATACAAAGCACTGATATGTCTACCAGACTAACAGAAAATAGTAAGAAGTCCTTACGTGATCTGAGGTGAAATGAGATTTGACATTCTGACACGCATATGACACACTTGTGAAATGCACATTTCAACTCACCTTTGATGCCAACAGAGGGGGCACCTGCTCCTACTGCAGCCAAGGCATACTCAATCTGTACAAGCTTTCCAGAGGGGCTGCAATGAACATGATCATTTTCCATCATAGCAGCAATCTCTTTGTATTTACAGTCTATATCTGTATAATCATTCCATGACCAATTCATTACAGAATTTTAAGCACCTCATTGTTATTTTTTGACTAATGATGAGGTAGCCAGGCCCATTTTGCCATAGAATAACATTGGGAAGAAAGATGACATGAAGTACATGCTAAGAAGCATGATATTGTTTAGAAATGTCTGAGAAAATCATATTATATATGTCCATAGATGATCAAGCTCCAGGTGGCCTGATTATTCAAAGTGTCCATGCCAAATTGGAAGGATAAAAGTTATATTAATTAGTTATTTGCAAAACAAATTTTCCCAATTCCTTATTTTAACTTATAAAGCCTTTGTGCTACATTTACATTGACTGCCGTGATTTTGTGTTCACTGAGCAGTATTTTAAATTGGAACTGTTTTATAAATATTGAAAGTTTATCTTTCGTAGGATAAAAGTACATAATGGAATAAAAATAGATCCTGACAGGTTAGTTAGTGCTTGCAGCATGAATATGTTAGTGTGAAATACACATCATCACCTTAATGAATGCTTTCATAATGTTTGAAGACATCCTCAAAAGAATGTCATAACTCATCAGGAAGGTTAGAGAATGAGTGAAAAGTTCTTATTCTTATCTTTTCACTAAAACATAATTAAAATCACTACTGTCCCTCAAGATGTTCAAAGTCTCTGACTAGGGGCCTAGTGGCTATGTCTATCCCTGTTGTATTATTTATCCACATTTGTACATCATAAGAACAAGTTATCATTATGGCTAATTTTTGCAATACCACATCTATCTGCATGAGCTACACTTTAACTGAAAGTGCCAAAGTGTGTTGAATGAGTTGGCAAAAATAATGGATGCCTAAGAATTAAACTTTGGCGAATACCATGCTGGCATCCTGTTTCCCGCAAGTCACTATATTCAGGAAACACCCTACATCACATAACATCAAACATATGAATACCAGTAGCACTAAAATAACATTGGTATGATCGTGGTCATCTTTCTAAGTTATGTGTGAAGTTAAACCAAGTGGGTTGCCAAGTCTTTATGTGTGAACTGAAATGTTGCTCCTTACAAACAGGGGAAGGTTTGTCTTCCCTTGTATGGCTTTCTTAAATGTTTGACAATTGTTCCAGGGGACAATAACAATATGTAATTATTATCTATCAATAAAACCAGGCAAATATCTACCTGAAAGTGGTCAACGAAAAGCTATATCTCTCCGTCATGATGCTTGGGTTGTCTGCGACTGTATAAAATAAGAGCAGTCTGGATTGGGCGAAAATCCGTTCCTATCCAATCAGCGTTTAGTTTACTGAAGCAATTGTCGGCATTCAAAATGGCGACGACCACGAGCATGACTCGAGTTTTAGCAAGACTGCAGCATTCAAAAGAAATGATACTGCAATGGCTATTTCGCAATCAACCGCCTGGTGAGAATAGATCGCCTAACTGCTCCAAGGTGTCATGTTTGCAAAACCTTCTGATGCTGTATTGAAGTAAATTGTCACCTCTTCTGTGTTTCTAATCACTCGTGTCTCCCAAATTCGTGGGTTTTCACGTGTCCACGCCCTGCTACATGAGGCTGACCTCAGAATGGTCACTTGCCCTTGCTTGTCAGTCCTTTCACTCTTGCAAATTACGAAGCGATGTATACCCATCCTGTATCCGGAGCGACTAAATGAGTAGCTAGTCCTGTTGGTTGTGATGGGGTGATTGATCGTAATTAAAAGGATCTATTCTAAGCTTTTTTAGGATAGAGTTAGGTGAGACCAACCCACAGTAAACCCACAGTAAACTACAGTTTCCCAAATTGACTGTATATGTGTCAATCCGTATAATAAAATAAGAATAAGTCTCAAGAGGTTTGTGATGCATTGCAAGTCATCTCTATTCCCACAGGGTGGCTCACAATATTGAACGCTGGCAGAGGTAGATAAGCTGCGTATCTGCGTAAATTACGCAAATATTTATGTGAAAACTCAATTCCTATTAAGTCTATTGCGTACAAGTACGCTTGGACTTTTGTAAATACTCAATAAATGGGATCTTATATGCGTACACACAAAAATGTCAAATCTTAGCTTGCATACCAGGGGATAGATAAAATAACTGAGGAATACTGAGAGGTTCTATTTCAGGAAATGGACTTGACAACTGGCAGTTTCTCATAATGCAGATAAAATATAAATAACAAAAACTAACATATAAACTTTATTACATTTTTAATATTAATGGAAAATGGCAAAATACCCAAATGTCTTTGAATGAGGTGAGTACAATTTATTTGGTTACTCAAAGGAAAATTAGGATACCCAAATGAGATGAAGACAAGCGAGTACATAACTCAATGCCCCAAAAAGTTGTCTGTAGCTCTGGCTGGGTAGTTGACAGTTGACAGGTATCTGATAGCTACAGTGCTACACCAATAAACAACAAACAAAACGAAAAAGTTCTTACATTAATTCAGTCATCGGATCAATGGCAGTTTGGAATTTGCTAGTATTATATGGGTTTTCAGACACTTAATAATCACTTGTCTTTCTCATCACATGAACATCTGTAAAACATCTCACTAGCTTATTACAGATAACTTTATCCAAAACAAGCCATCGCTGATGAATTGTAATATCTGTTCGATTCAACATCACTTTAAGAGTTTGCCCCCCAAACACAAATCTGATCTTTTTCATCATATTTGAAGGTCAACTTCCCAAAGTTGAACTTGTGTCAAATATTTGTTCACAAACTAAACAGTATTTTGTTTGTCTGGTAGGAGTTATAGTCTCTACTGGGGGCTGTATAGGATTTTTCCAGGTGAATGGGCTTTTGCACCACAAAAATGAAGGTCAAATCTTTGCATACACAATCAGACATTGACACATGTAATATTGTTCAGAAATTACAATAAGTTATTTTCTGAATTATATGCGTAACAGTTAGATTTTGTGACCTGATTTTGTGCATGGTAACTTAAAAAACATGGTCAGTTGTGATGCAGCTCTTGGCCACCTGACAAGTTTTCGTGTTAACAACATAACAACTGACCATTAATAGTATTAATGATAAAAGATATTGTGATCTCATTACAGGTATGTATGGTGCCCTAGCCTATGATGCCTCCCCCTCTCTACCAGAGGCTCATCAGTCCAACCAAAGCCCGAAGTCTGTGCTAGGATCTATTGTAGACAGTATGCTTTGGGCTACTGTACCTAGGAACAGACAATCACTGGAGAAGAGACTGACTAGGAAACATGCCATGACCAAACACTTCCGAAGCTGCAATACCTAAGAAAAATATCATTGCATGTCTAGAATGTGGTCATTGGCATGAAAGACACACTATCTGTGGTAAAATTTAATATTATTCACACAAAGTTGAGATATATGATTAGTCAGTTAAATTATCATCTGTATCGTTTCAACATGAAACATTCTGCTTCTTGTTACTGTGGTAATGCTTGTGAAAATGTACATCACTTCCTATTAGAATGAAGACTGTACAACATTCAAAGAGAGATATTAATGTTAAATATTAAAAAATATTGTAAAACATGATTCTCCAATCACATTGTCACTGATGTTACTTGGAAGTCCTGACCTGACTATTCAATAGAATGAATGCATTTTCAAATGTTTGCAAACTTTTATTCATCAATCAAATGTTTTGAGTGATCACATAAGTCTTGTCCCTTCTCTCTTTTACTTTCCTATCTCTTCTCTGTATTGTTTCCTAAGATGTATATACCCGGTAATTGAAATTGTATGTATGTAAATATTAGGGAGCGGGTTTGTTAAGTTGAATAACTTGTCCCCAATCCCTTTCACATTTGTGAATAAAATATGTTTAAATCAATCTGTGGTAAGAGATAACTTTAATCAGTTGATGTTATTTTTCATTTTTGGATTTGAGAGAAAAATATATGAGTGAGACCGGTAAAATATAGAACACTCAATTAAGATTACAAAATGTTAAGCACTTTTATTTGACTTTTGATTTTTACAAGCTTTCAGATGCTTCAAAGATAGAGTTGTTGGTCAAACAGAACTAATTACAACTACAAAAAAATTTTTTTTTGTCTCTGATAAATGTAAGAAAACTGTAAGTAACTGTACAGAAAGTAAACATTCTACATTTGAAACAGAATTACCTTTCGTTTTTACTCTTCTTAAACAACCTAACTATCTGACAACTCTGTACTAAATAACTGTGATTGATGAATTATACAAGCCACAGTTTATTTGATCTACTTAAGGACAAAGTTGAACAATAATCTGTAAACAAACTGAAATAATACCCATACACAAAGTCTTTGAATGGCATTTGAAAATGATACACATAGAGGGTAAATTTGTGGGTCTCAATTTCTGTAATATGAAGAACACAATGTTTTGGAGTCAGTATATTCTTACTAGTTCCTTCTCCTCCACCTCATGAAGGAGTAAGATTACACTCTTAAACGTCATGTTCCTCATATCTCAGAAGTTGACATCCACAATTTCCCATGTATACTCACTCATGCTAAACTTCCAACTGTGACATTTCAGGCAACTGCTACAAGAAGGTAAAAGACGAGACGAAGGAGTTGAAGGCGGCCATGGGAGATGATTTCCACTACAATATACCCAGGCAGGAAATTCAAGTGATGTATCAGGAGGAAAAAGATCAGCGCCAAAAGTATAAAGGAAAATATGTTATAGAAATGGACAAGCCAAGGCCACAGTGGTTCCCTAGAAACTTGCTGACTCGTGGAAAGGGGAATACATAGAATGGTGGTTGCTGATACAACATTAACCCCTGTCAGTATGCCCTACACCTCCCCCTGTAATACTAAAGCTGAAGTGATCACTGTCATATGTGGTATTACAAAAGTCTACCCAAGATTATATGCAATTCACAGAAACTCAGCATACAGAATCATCCCTACCTTGCAGTGCTGACAATGGGCAAGTCCAGTCCATTTTCTAAAACTGGTTTAGCATTCAGTATGACTCTTCTGAGAATTTCCTTTCAGATGAAGATGGCAACCTTGCACTAGATAATTTTACAATACTTTAACACAAATGGACCTTACCCAAAGCTATGACTCATACAGGAAATATTATTAAAACAGATCCATTTTCTGGGAATATTTAGCAATAGATATGACCATTGTGAGAATTTCCTTTCTGAAAAGGATGGCAACCTTGCACTTGATAATTTTATGGTTGTTTAACACAAACTACAATGGACCTTGACAAAATCAGGATGCTGACAGTAGATATGATTAAAGCAGATGAATGCAGACTTCTCAATTGAAGGATTTCAACAAATAACTCACTACTTCCTCCAACTGCAAGCATGCAGGGTGTCTTTCAGCCATTTTGTATATGAACTGGAACACGTGGGATGGTAAATTGGTTTGGTACCAAATGGAATGGATTTGCAAACAGTGATGGTACCGAGGGAAGAGTAAATTTCTGGTAACCAAACTGGGACAGGGTTGATGTCAGTAAACTAATCTTACTGGGGTAAATGTATCTACTTTGTATCTACCCCTTCGGTGATAATAGTCGCTGGGTGAAATGGTGACTTCCAGGATGGTGATAATAGTAAGTCCTGAGTGAAATGTTGATATGATTTTTACGGTGCAGAGAAAGGGTGTGTAGACACGTCAGTCCGTGATGGTGAAATGGTGACTTCCAGGATGCATTGTGGAACACTGCTTCAAATCAGAACGTGTGTGTCATCATTCACAACAAGTCATCAATCACAACATTAGTGCTATAGATGTGTGGAAGTGATGTATATGCAAGAATCAATTAAAATTTTGAATCCTTGACCATGAGTTTTCTTCGTTTGTTGTTTAACGCCACACTGAGCAGTAGTCCAAATATATGGCAGTCAGTGCCAGAAGGTTGGCATAGTGCACATATATGGCATTGCAATATATCACAACATGAACAGCTGTACATGACAGATACTGAGTGAGTGAGTTAAGGTTTTCACCACACTCAGGAATGTCCCAGCCATATGATGGGATAATGTTAATTATCCAGTCTGGACAAGACAATCCAGTGATCAACAGCATGAGCATCAATCTATGCAATTGGGATATAATAATGTGTCAACCAAGTCAGCGAACCTGTCCACCTGATCCCATTAGTCACCTCTTACGACAAGCATTATGAGATACTGAAGATATGCTGGGTTTTGATATCTTTATATGTTCGCATTTTTAGCAGCATTTTTAACTAAAAGTCTACTTCAGGGAATACCTAGGTAAGTTCCTTTTGTATGAGGGGCGGTGGGGTAGCCTAGTGGTTAAAGCGTTCGCTCGTCACGACGAAGGCCCGGGTTCGATTCCCCACATGGGTACAATTTGTGAAGCCCATTTCTGGTGTCCCCCGCTGTGATATTGCTGGAATATTGCTAAAAACGGCATAAAACCATACTCAGTCAGTCAGTCAGTCCTTTTGTATGATCTGTGTGTTCTGGGACAGCTCCCAGAAACTTAAGTCGGAACCATGGCAATCATTCATATCTATAGCTATACAGAACTCATATCATTTTATAAACATGATTATGTATACACTTCTTAGATAACACATTCTCTAACTGAATTCCAACAGAGACATGAAAATAAACCTTTGAATAACAACATTACAAAGTTTACCCTGATTTATGAGTAAACAAGTGTGTTTTTAGGGTAACTGGATTATTTATATGGACACATTGTGGTTCTGTACATCCAGAGCAAAAGACTTGCATGACATACTCCTGAACCTGCAACAGGTAGACCTATTATTTATGTTGAATGGATGAATAACAGATTGATTCTCAACAGAACATGCTATTAAAAAAGGACTGACCTGAACTACCGAGTACACAGACATGTTAACAGCGTGTGTACACACAGGACAAGTCCTTTCTTCTACAGGCATGTGCTGATGCATTGCTGATAGAAATCTAGCAGAAGACATGTGAAATATTTGATCAAAAACAAAATCCACAGTATCAAGTACATGTATATCTGGATGATATCATATATTTTAATATGTTTTTTAAATGTTGCATCAGTTAACTATTGTTTCTACATCTGTACAAATCCACATCGCAGATGTAAATATTAAGTGAAAATATTTCACTTCAATTTAATTTAATAGGGGATGAGAGAGGGCTATGCAAATCATTACCAATTTATGAATCAAATGGAATTAATGCATAACATCAGTTGTATTTATTTGATATTTTTTGATAACTTGATAACTTTTCCCACTTGACAGTCATGAAAATGTAACAATATCAAAAACAAAATGTGAGAATTTCAGAACTGAAATTTCGTTTGAATGTATCTATAATGCATTTGTTATGTTTATGTAGGATCTGAAATATAAATAAAATATTTTCCACAGTTGCCATTTAATGGAAAGTGTCTTGCCGGTCTCAGACATTTGATGCTGAAATTTAGATGACTATCAACGTGAACCATGCTATCAAACGTAAACATTATATTTTTAACGTATTGTTGGCGAGAAAACGTTTTGCTTAAAAAACGCTTTATTTTTCTAGTGAGTATCCATTATGAAGTTCATTAGAGTAGCCGCCCTTTGAATACAACCGCGGGAAATAATTCGTGTTTCCGTGTTAGTAAAGCTGGTTGTTTACGGTGAGTGTTTCTTCAAGACAAATCACAAATGAAAAGATTGAATGTTAGATCCCATATTTCATTATTAGGATGCGCCCGGTGAGATACATACGTGTACTTTAGGTACGCCTTAATTCTCCAAGTTCAGTTTGATACGATTACGGGGATGGTGTGAGAGATAGAATTCTGCATCAGTCACTATCGCAGGTGTTACTGTCAGTTGAAGCGATGTAAGTAAGACCAAAGTCTTTGGTAAGACTAAGTGTAAGTGGCGTTTTGGAAAAATATTTGTGCACTTACATGTTTCTATTAATTTATCAATGACGTGCTTATAAAAATAAACATTGTCCCTTTTGAATTATTCCGATTAAACATCTCGGTAAGGGAAAGATTTCCGCCCTTAACCAACCCGTTTTTTGGAAATTTGTGTTTGTGAACCCTTGTATCTATAAACAAGGTATTTTATCCTACCCTACACCAATGTATAATGTGATGACATCTCATGGATATATACATTTAGAGAGTGGTTCATCCCAAATATATAACATTTGTTACAACTTTCTAAATGTCATTGTGTGTATTCATAGCTTTCAGCTGGTGAAGACATGATAATTTACACTTGTCAGAGGGGTACACAATTTAAAGGTCACATGCAACGCAAAACACAAGTTTGCAGATTCTGATACCTTTCGGTATGGAAACAGTAACAAATTATCAAAAATGCAAATTCAACTTATAAAGTTGAAAAATAAAGCAATGAATACCCCCTGCAAAATCGGAGTTCAAACGATTCACTAATTTCACCCCGCGCTGGGGTGAAAAGTGGTTTGAACAGCTGTGCTGCGCTGTGCCTATAGTGCATGCGCAGTGATTAGGTTCGCGCGCCTTGAACCGGGAAGGAGACGCGTAAAAACACAGCAAGTGATGCGTGCAAGGATTATCGCTGTGGCCGAAGTTGGAGAACAAGAGATGTTTATTGTGATAAGCAGTCTCTGTCACAGACAAAACTCTCAATGTCTGTTTTATTGACATCTATGTGTCTGCCTGCCTGTCTGCTAATGACAATATGTAATACACAACTTCAATCATTGACCACATGCAATTTGAACTTAACACCTATCAGGCTATGCACCATAAACAAAATACATTGATTTATGGCTCGTTCACCTGAGTTCTGTCTCTGTCTCATTATGAAATTACACAGACAGGCAGGTGTGATACTTGTACACATGACATGTTATTATGTCTGTGGGTTGCAAACAAACTGCGTCCATTTTTCTGGGATGACTGGATCGGACGGAAACCGGTGCAAACTCAGATTGTCAGTTTCAAGTCCTGCATTGTACTTGGACGAACGATAGTTTCCAGTCACACAGTAGTTCACCATCTCAGTATTTGTTGATTGGATCGAACGCAAATGCAGAGAGCATGTATTTACAAAACCCAACATCTCTATATACATTCTTTATGGATAACAACAGGAAATTACAGATATAATTAAATGTTTGCCACTGAATAAAGCTGCGGGTCCAGACAGAGTAAGTCATAAGCCCCATTATTTTTAAACGAAACTGCTCATACAATAAGTGCTCCATTATGTTTGCTTTTTGAATTGTCATTACGAAAAGGTGTGTATCCATCAGAATGGAAATTAGCACATGTTATGCCTGTATTCAAGAAAGGTGACAAAACTAAAGCATCAAACTACAGACCGATATCTCTTATAAGTTGTGTCGGTAAACTGTTTGAGAGAGTTGTATTCAAGCATATATCTAACTATTTCAACGAGAACAAGTTATTGTACAAATACCAAGCTGGTTTACAAGCTGGGAGTTCACCTGTCCATCAATTAATTGAAATATATCATCAAATATGCCAAACTCTAGATGATAAGGACCAATATTGTATGGTCTTTTGTGATGTTTCGAAGGCTTTTGATCGTGTTTGGCACAGAGGGCTTATAAGGTAGATTGTTAGAGTGGTTATAATTACATATGTAATCGCTATCAAAAGGTCTTTGTTAATGGAGCCCTGTCTAAACCAAGGTTACTCCAAGCTGGCGTCACACAGGGATCAGTGTTGGGTCCGTTTTTATTCATTGTTTATGTAAATGATATTGCTGATGACTTAGATTGGAGTGGAAGCCGCGGTGGCTGAGTTAGTTAGATCACTGACTTAAGAGTGTAGGCAATTAGATGCCTCACTCGGAGAGTGTGGGTTCAAATCCTGCATGGGGCATAAAGTACTAGATTCTTTTTCAGAAGAAGTTTTCCATGGGGTAAAATGTACATTTTAGAATCCTATGACAGTTGTAACAATATTTTAATACAAAATATTTACAAAACAAGAAACTCGTTTAGGTAACTCTCGCCATCTACCTCATACCTCTACAGGTTTGTTTGAATTTTTACTTTACTGAAAAAGTGTAATCACAAATATAGCATATGTTATACCTAGACCAGCATGGATACTGATATATATCCAAAGCGGAATCATAAAGTTGCCAATATATGTATTAGCTAATAAACTAAGTTTATGACATTACAGAGATAGTCTGTATAAATTGCCTGCTAGGGTGCTTAGTTTACAACCCAAGACATACCCCAAATTCAGAACACATGTCACAAGAAATGGGAGATGTTTGACTTGTTTGATGCATGTCATTGTATCCAAGTTGTGGAGATCAGTGCTCTTGATGTCAGTCACTGGATTATCTGGCCCAAACTGAATCATACAGCTGAAATTGCCAATTCAAACAACAAACAAGCTTAATTCTAATCATTATCATTGTGGACGTTTTGCAAGGCCTTTTTCATTTCAGGCACAAGGACTTCCACTGTGGTGTAGTGGTTAGAGAGTGGATGGTCGTGGTTTCGATCCTTGGCGGCGTCATACCAAAAGATGTTAATAACCAGCTTAAGTCTAGGCTAGTACAAGCAGCCACGCATACACATGCATGCATGTCATCATATGAGCAAATATTCTTAAGATAAACGTTAAACCCCATTTCACCTCACCTCATTTCAGGCACATTGAAATATGGGTAAGAAGAAGGCTAAAGTGACTGCCAAAACCCCATCGTCGGAAACCTCCATAAAGATGATTCAATCAATTTTGAGAAAACGACTTGCACAAATGTCAAGCCCTCCAGAAATACAAGGATATACAAAGGAGAGACAGTAAGTCAACCGTCTGTGTGGTGACACTTGTGGTTATTATATTAACAGGGCTCCAGATAATTTTTCAACATCAGGAGTACGTACTCCTTATTTGTTCAATATAGGAGTACTGGAAAACCTTAAGTGTACATTTAGAGTACTGAATGGAAATTAATGGACTATCAGTAATCTTGTGTTTCGTTTCATATATGCACCACAATATGGCTACTCTTGTGTAAACAGGTCAATAAACAATAAAACAATACTTTTTTCAGATAAATATGCCTGTAAATGATTCTAAGACCATACACCATTGCTGTGGTGCGTATCTGCTACGTTTTTTCTAAATTATTTCCTACCGTGCTCGTTATATTTTTTATCCGTACATATGCCGATACGTCCCTTATCTGGAGCCCTGTATTAATATGGAGAATTCATGCTCAAATCTTTTTTGATGCTGGATATGCAAATATACTGATGCAGCAATATAATCATCATTGCTATATATATTCCTGTATGTGAATATTTTGGATTCATGCCTTGATGACTTGACTGACACCTGTCATTATCTCTAACGTTTCAACCATAAAATGTTTTGAAGCTTCCCTGAGGCCTTGAATGTTGTAACTTTGATCAAACAACTTTAATATAAAGAGCATGCTCAATTTAGTCTGAAAATTTTAAAATATTGGTTTCATTGAGTTTAATGACCTGAGTATCTTTCAGACAACTGTTTGACCTGCTGAAGAGGACGACAGTATCTGGAGAGAGTAACTCTGTGCTGCTGATCGGGACCCGCGAGGAAGTGGCAAAACAATGGTAGCTACAGCAATATATTAACTTGTAGACCCATTCTTGTCACTCGCTGACTTGGTTGGCACATGTCATCGTATCCCAGCTGTTGATCACTGGAATGTCTGGTCCAGACTGGATTATTTACAGACCGCTGCCATATGGCTGGATTACAGTGGAAGCCCTCTAAACCGGCATTCGGTGGGACTGGCAAAAAATGCCGGTATAGAGGGCGTGCTGGTTTAGGGAACATTTCCCTTTTCATCTTGAGAATGATCTTCCGTGTGCCACTTTGAACTGTTGATGTCTTCCATCGTGCCAGATAACAATCTGATACCATAAACTCGTTGACTCGTTCTGAAGCAAACTGAATAGCTTTCTCTTTCAAAATAGGGCCAGAAATGGGCATGTGTTTACTGCGGGCAGTCAAAAACCAATCATGCCTCAGTGTGTTAAGTTTGTGAAATGTACTGTGTTCATTCACACGGCAATTAATTTACAATACAAGTGACACGTGTCACTCACCAATTTACCTCGCCTACTTAGGCCTAATCCTTATCCATACTCCTTTTATCAGACAACATCAATGAGCTTAATGCTGATGGTAATCCACCGTGTTGTTAATATACGTTCAGCCAATCAGCCAATCAACAGGAGAGCATAGATATTGGATGCCGGTTTGGAGAGCGTTAATTACAGTAAAAAAGTCAATTGGACGGTCTTTGTTGTGCCGAAATACGGAATAGACTGACGCCGGATTAGAGCGCGTGTAAATGATAATAAATTAACTAACTCCTGCCAGGACCAAATTCTAGTGCCGATATTGAGAGCATGCCCGGATTGGAGGGCTGCCGGTTTAGAGGGCTTCCACTGTATTGCTGAGTGCAGTGTAAAACTAAACTTACTCACTCCGAAATTTGTACATTGCCACAGGTCACACAGCTTTCGTAGCTGCTGAAATTTACAGTAGAGACTGATATCCCTCTGATATGTTACACTAGAATCCAGTTACAGGCAGTTCAGACTGGATGTTGTCAGCCCCAATCACAGACTTGTGTGTTTCACCTCAGTGGTAAATGTCTGCGGCGACTTTACAAGGACGACTCAGATTGGCAAACACCAAACCATTTACCTAGCCCTAATTCCAGTCAATTTCACACCATATGTTTGGGTGTAGAACATTTTCACAACAATATAAGTACAATTCACATTGTACATGCTTCTCCATAAAAATCATCATCTTAACCCCCCTAGCCATAAATTATGAACGGTCCCTAAGTGTGTGATGATTGGTTCAGTTTGAGGTACTGAGCTCAATGCATTGCTGTTTCACCAGCCAAGTTAACATAAGGTAGGGAGAACTGCATGTGCCTGTCATGTTTAGTGGAGGTACTGATGTCCATGGTGACTGTTTCACCAGCCAAGTTAACATAAGGTATGGAGATCTGCATGTGCCTGTCATGTTTAGTGGAGGTACTGATGTCCATGGTGACTGTTTCACCAGCCAAGTGCATGTGCCTGTCATGTTTAGTGTAGGTAGTGATGTCCATGGTGACTGTTTCACCAGCCAAGTTAACATAAGGTACCGAGATCTGCATGTGCCTGTCATGTTTAGTGGAGGTAGTGATGTCCATGGTGACTGTTTCTGTTAAATTCGGAGATCTGCATGTGCCTGTCATGTTTAGTGGAGGTACTGATGTCCATGGTGATCACCAGCCAAGTTAAATGAGGTGCGAGATCTGCATGTGCCTGTCATGTTTAGTGGAGGTAGTGATGTCCATGGTGACTGTTTCACCAGCCAAGTTAACATAAGGTATGGAGATCTGCATGTGCCTGTCATGTTTAGTGGAGGTACTGATGTCCATGGTGACTGTTTCACCAGCCAAGTTAAATGAGGTACCGAGATCTGCATGTGCCTGTCATGTTTAGTGGAGGTAGTGATGTCCATGGTGACTGTTTCACCAGCCAAGTTAACATAAGGTACCGAGATATGCATGTGCCTGTCATGTTTAGTGGAGGTAGTGATGTCCATGGTGACTGTTTCACCAGCCAAGTTAAATGAGGTACCGAGATCTGCATGTGCCTGTCATGTTTAGTGGAGGTAGTGATGTCCATGTGTGACTGTTTCACCAGCCAAGTTAAATGAGGTACCGAGATCTGCATGTGCCTGTCATGTTTAGTGGAGGTACTGATGTCCATAGTGACTGTTTCAGCTGCTGAAGAGTGTCCTGTCTGAGCTGAGGGAAGATGAAAACATTAATCAGAACTTGTTGCAGGTGCATCTCAATGGTAGGTGCTCACATACTAGTCTCTTCCTGTCTGTAGACTCCTCTGTCAGATCTGTTATCTTCAATGTTATTAGTGTGTAGACTCCTCTGTCAGATCTGTTATCTTCAATGTTATTAGTGTGTAGACTCCTCTGTCAGATCTGTTATCTTCAATGTTATTAGTGTGTAGACTCCTCTGTCAGATCTGTTATCTTCAATGTTATTAGTGTGTAGACTCCTCTGTCAGATCTGTTATCTTCAATGTTATTAGTGTGTAGACTCCTCTGTCAGATCTCTTATCTTCAATGTTATTAGTGTGTAGACTCCTGTCAGGTCTGTTATCTTCAATGTTATTAGTGTGTAGACTCCTCTGTCAGATCTGTTATCTTCAATGTTATTAGTGTGTAGACTCCCTGTCAGATCTGTTATCTTCAATGTTATTAGTGTGTAGACTCCTCTGTCAGATCTGTTATCTTCAATGTTATTAGTGTGTAGACTCCTCTGTCAGATCTGTTATCTTCAATGTTATTAGTGTGTAGACTCCTCTGTCAGATCTGTTATCTTCAATGTTATTAGTGTGTAGACTCCTCTGTCAGATCTGTTATCTTCAATGTTATTAGTGTGTAGACTCCTCTGTCAGATCTGTTATCTTCAATGTTATTAGTGTGTAGACTCCTATGACAAATCTGTATTTTTCTAGTATGTAGGCCGCACTGTGACTAGCCGCCACTATTGTTTTACAATATTCCCTCTGCCGTAACACATGTTATTATGTGTGGGTATTTTAGGCCTGCTTCAGACAGATGACCGAATTGCCCTGAAGGAGATCACAAGGCAGCTGCAACTAGAGAACACAGTTGGAGACAGAGTATTTGTAAGTAAGTGATCCTGACATCTAGATTAATGGGAGTCCCTACAATGAAGTGTAGCTTGGGGGTATTTTGGTGAGGAGTATGGGTCCCTAGCAATCTATGCCTGTCTCAAATAGCAAATGGATCGTCTGGTTAGACTCAGTGACTTAGATTATCATTTTATCCCATTTGATGCTCATGATATCAGTCACTGGATTGTTTGGTCCAGACCACATAATATAGCTGTATAATTGCTGAGTGTGGAATCAAATGAACCAGCCTTTGCTTAAGCACTTTTGACCCTTAAATGTTTACAAAAACTAATGTTAAAATCTTACTAGTTAGGGACTGTTTTACTGCTATGACATCGTTCCCAATTGTGCAGATCGATGCTCATGCTGTTAATCACTGGATTGTCTGGTCCAGACTTGATTAGTTACAGACCGCTGCCATATAGCTGGAATAATGCCGAGTGCGGCATAAAACTAAACTCATTCATTTACTGCTATGATGGTATTGCTGTGATCAAAACCACTATGGCAGTAATGTGGTGGTACTTTTATGCAGATTCACTTTCTTTACACCACATGTCGTTCATAGTGAAGTTTTTTAGGAAGTTAGAGGTGGCCATTGAGTGAAACCCTAAGGCTGGAAGACCTGAAGTAACATGTGACCTAAATATGTCACAGTGAAATTATGTTTCTGTATAGACCCATAAAGATCCTGGTTACAATTGGACTTCAGCAACCCATGCTTGTATGAAGCGACCAATGGGATCGGGTGGTCAGACTCACTGACTTGGTTGACACTTGTCATCGTAGCCCAGTTGTGTAGGTTGATGTTCATGCTGTTGATCACTGGATTGTCTGGTCCAGACTTAAATATTTACAGACTGCAACCTTATAGCTGGAATATTGCTGAGAGGAGCATTAAAACAGAAAACAAAACAACAACTGTACTGTGTAACACTACATCAATAAAGGCCATAATATATCAGTTGAGTTCTTTTATATCATGTGTATTCTTTTCCAGGGTTCCTTTTCTGAAACTTTGCAGTTTCTTTTGGATGCATTAAAAAAGGGTAAGTTAGGGACCGTTCATAATTTATGGCTAGGGGGGTGATGATGATTTTAAGGGGGTCACCCATTTTGTTCTGGGGAGCTAGAGGGGTCATCAATTTTGTACACACGCATTACTAGGGGTCATCAATTTTGTACATAAAAATATGTTTAAACTTATGCTTATAATTATGGGAAGGGGAGGGGGTCATTGATTTTGTACATGACATGCAGGGGGGTCACTTATTTTGTACATAAATTTTAGGGGGGGCATTCACATTGAACATGCTTCTCCATAAAAATCATCATCACCCCACCTAGCCATAAATTATGAACGATCCCTTATAGTATACTTTGAGAAGCATCATGCTCCTCTGATATGGCTGAAATATTGCCGATGTGACGTTAAATAATAACTCACTCAATCATGCTCCTCAGATGCATTGTTGTTAAACTCCTCCAAAACGATACACAAGTATTTCTGTAGGTCATAGGGTCAGACTAACTTTTGAATCTTCCGGTTCTTTAGTTAACTTATGGTTATATATGTATCATTTGTATTTTATTACCGGACTAATTTGTCTGACGTCCATCAGAGACGTCTTTTCAGAAAGATATTGAAATCTGTTTATGGCTGCAGCCATTTTTGTTCAAACTGTAGAAGGGGCAGTGGAGTAGCCTAGTGGTTAAAGCGTTCGCTTGTCACACGGAAGACCCGGGTTCGATTCCATCATGGGTAAATGTGTGAAGCCATTTCTGGTGTCCCTCGACGTGATATTGCTGGAATATTGCTAAAAGCGGCGTAAAACCATACTCACTCAAACTGTAGAAAATTTGGGTTTGCTTTGACATATAGATACAATGTGTGAAACCGATTTCTGGTGTTCTCCACCGTGACATTGCTGGAATATGGTTAAAAGCAGCATAAAAAATACTCATCGTTGTCAGCACTGTTCTTGCAGGGAGCAGCCAGTCATCCAAGCCGATTCTGTTTGTGTTGGATGAGTTCGACTTGTTTGCTCATCATCGGAACCAGACATTGTTGTACAACCTGTTTGACGTGTCGCAGTCAGCACAGACGCCCATCTGTGTGGTAGGAGTCACCTGCCGCCTGGTAAGTGTGGACTAATTTCAGGGTCAGAGGGCATTCAGTTATCTAAGGCTTATCTATTGGTCCCTTGGGTGTTGCAGAAACTGTGGAGGAATCAAATTCCAGGTTTGTTCTGATTGTTTCTGGAGATGACAGCATCATACCTGTCCTCATCTGAGAACTACATCATATCATTGAAATGAACTGCCTTGCTCATCTTAGCCATCCCTATACCCAGTTTGGATTCTACTTTCAAAGTAAATTTAAACTTACCAGGATTTTTGAAACGTAGTATTTTTGTGATTTTAATTTTGGCTAATTTTTCCTACAATCGCCAGGGGCTGAAGGGATGGTGTAAATCCAACTAGGGTCCATGCAGGTAGCAAATGTACTGTAAGTCCCCATGGTCCCATGTATGGTGATCTACCTTCAGTTGTTGGCGTTCAATAAGCCTGTTTTTATATTGTATTGTCCTCTATAGTGAAATTGTTTTAGATTTAATTACTAGTTTTAAATATATATCTGTGATAGTCTAGTTGTTTTACTGTCCTTTTTGACAGGTGTTGATAATTTATTTTTAATCATTATAAATCTATAACTTGTTTCAGTCACGATATGGCTGAAATATTGCCGATGTGACTTAAAATCTTAACTCACTCACTGTTTGGATTCTGATCTTGAATTCGTCCCCACCAAACTTGAACAGGCTGTGTTTTTTGTTGCTCTTAATATTGCTCTCTGGATTGTCTGGTTAAGACTCACCAGGCTGCCATCATATTGTTGCATCATTGATTAGTGCAGTGTTAAACAATAAAAGGTCACAACCCTGTACAGAATGTCGACAGTTATGTTTGAGCTGTATGTTTCCCTAGGATGTTATCGAGCTGCTGGAGAAGAGAGTCAAGTCCCGGTTCTCCCACCGCCAGATCCATCTGTTCAACACCCACGGCTTCTTCGACTACAGCCAGGTGTGCATGTCCTACCTCAGCCTCACACCCGGGGAGCTGGACGAAACAGTCACTGAACCATGGAACACACACATACAGGTACATTCTACTGACATTGCTTTATTACTGATTTTGCCCAGGAACTTAGGTAATGAATTTCACTATTTAGAGTTGCCTCCCTTAGCTGTGCCAGGACCTGCTGATCACAAAATACTGCTTAAAGTGTTTCAACAAGTCACTCAAGATTACATTTCTCAAGTCAGTGGTAAGTGGACTTAGCTGGTCTGTAAATCGAGCAGAGAAAATTTTAAAACCCATCTCTGCCATTGCTCAAAAACAAAATGTTAAGCCCCAAGATCTGTTGGTTTGCAGGAACTTGTATCAGAACCGAGTGTAAGGGATGTGTTACAGCGACAGTTCAACCTCAACAAAGATGTCCGAGGCCTCATTGCATTGTTGGTGAGTACCAGTGACTTGTTTTGTTAGGAAACATTGATACAAGGAAACAGTTTCTTCCATAGTTGTATTGGACAGTGGTGACCCTCAGGAGGACTTTTGTCCTGGGTTCGAATACTGTTTTGCCCACATTGTTTTTCAATCAGTGTCAGCACCACACCCATGCTCGATGGGTTCACAAAGTGGCAGTGTTAAACCGAACTTAATCGGTTGGAATTATTCAAGATCTGTCAGTGACAGTGCATTTGGTGCATGGATTGTCATTGTCACCTCCAGTACCTCGTGACTGTACATCTTGCAGGGGTGGAAATAACCCATTGCCCGACGTCCGAGTCCAGTGTTTTTTTCTGTCGGGCAAGCAAATTTGTATATCACACTGTACCGGTGTCCAGTTGATTTTCCAATGTTAATTATGTTGTTTATTTAAAAAACAAGAAAACGGCCAGTATAGTGGGAAAATTATCAGGTAGAGTGATTTTACATGTGCCACTGTACCAGAGTACACTAGCAATTTTAAAGTTATTTCCACCCCTGTCTTGAGGCACCTCATCTACCTGCTGGAACATGTGCCATCATATCTGAATGACATGGATCAATGATTATGCAGTCAACCACTGGTTTACCTGGCCCAGGGATGAATATTTAGAGGCTCAAGTGGTATTGGACTTATTTTTCGGATGATGAGAGAAATATCACCGAAGTTAGCATGCGACAAATAACCAACATGTTCGTTTTTGTCCTGTATTACAAATAGAATGAAAGAAAATGAGTTCAGAGCTTCTGCTTCTGGTAATGCAGACAAGCAAAGGTTTCTTATAGCTCCTTCCGTGTTCTGTTATTGCTGACCATGTTCTGTTCCAGACACACCCGATATGTAAACTGTCTCCGACTCACCCAGTTCTGGAGGCAGGGGATTTCCTGGACTCATTCAAAAAGCTCACAACAGACACTAAGTCTGCCATGCTGCATGGTAAGTCAGCAGATGTTCATTCGTTGGTCCGTCCGTCCGTCCGTCCGTTGGTTCGTCCGTCCGTCCGTCCGTCCGTTCGTTCGTTCGTTCGTTCGTTCGTTCGTTCGTTCGTTCGTTCTTTCGTTCCCTTTAGCAAAGTGAGGGTTGTGCTTAGGTTATTACCTCGATATAACTCCCATACCCCGATATGGATTTCCAACTATGGTAGCACTAGGCTTGCTTTGTACATAGGGAAGAAGCTATATGATGGAGGTCGGTGAATAGTCGAGTCTGGATGAGCATCAATTCCCACTATTGCAAAACAAGTGATTGATTGTGAGTTAAATTAGACAGGTGTGTGGTAATGATTATGTAAACCTTTATGATTGCATGTGGACAGTGGAGTTGTAGTGATTCTATTTGCCTGTGTGATGATCATGGACAGGTGTGTTGTAGTGATTGTATACTCAGCAGCAAAAGAAACAGTACAAATTCAAAATTAGATAGGCACTGTAATCAAATCATTAATGAAATGGACATAATAAGCGTATCAAAAACATTTTTTGTGTACAATATCTTGACACATCAATGAATAACTCAGCTCAATTTCAAGACATTACGTGAACATTTGCAGTCCATTCAGACCCTTGACTTCAGTATCTAGTGTGATCACCACGAGCGGCAATAACTGCAGCACAGCATCTATGCATGGAGTGCACCAATCGATTGATGAAGGCCATTGGCACCTTGAACCACACTCTGAGAAAGGCCTGGCGCAATAAATCGGCTGTGTCCGGCCTTGGTATGACATTATTCAGTCTCCTCTGAATTTCATCCCAAAGATGTTCAGTTGGGTTTAAATCAGGACTAAGGGCTGGCCACTGCATAATGTTGACACCGTTCTGCTGTAGGAAGTCCCGTGTAGCTCTGGCAGTATGGGCCCGGGCGTTGTGATGCTGGAAAATGTTGTTCCGGAGACGTGCGAAATGTGGTGGGACGTGGGGTCTGAGAGCTTGGTCGATGTAGCGCACCGCTGTGATGCCGCCTCCTCTCCCTGGACCAAGGTTCTGGAACACCACAGGACCCACTCTCTGGTTCAGGCCTATTCCACCCCATACCATGTTGCTTGCACCTCCCCATGAGTCTCTTTCCATAAAACATTGGTCTGAGTAACGCTGGCCACGTCATCGCCATATTGTTGTTCTGCCATCTGCAGTTGATACGCAGTACCGACTCTCATCTGTGAACAGAACAGTTCTCCATTGCCTGTATTGCCAGTTTTGGTGTTGTAGGGCAAACTGTAGACGGTAAGGTCTACGGCAATGGAGGTTCCCGCTGTTAAGACGTCGGCGTACTGTATCAGTACTGATTGGTATTCCGTGTATTCCCACTGTCTGGTGTGCTGTTTCGGATGCCTGCATGAAGGGATTCTTTCTGTACATGCTGTCGCACAACATGGCGGTCTTGTCATCTTGTGGTCACCCTTGGCGATCATTTGCGGTGTTGGTGGCCCGGAAAAGTTGCTGCAGCCAGTAGATGGTCCGAACGTTGACCTGGAAGTGATTGGCAACGGCTTGTGCAGTGTGGCCAGCTTCAAGTCTTCCTAGTGCCTGGTTCCTCTGTGCTGTCGTGAGTCACGGCATCCTGCTGACGTTGTAATGTGAATGTTTTAACCAGGTTTGGGGGTGCATTTTATAGGGCTGGTCCTTGTGAACAGCATGTGCAGCATGAGTTGCATGAAAAACATGGAGAACACTGTACCATCTCAGAGATCAGGTTGCGTTCTTGAGACCATTTCCTGGGTTCCATTCTGAGTTTGGGAAGGAATGTCTTTGCTCAGGTAAAGTTGGAGATGGTGTCAAAATATACAATCAAAACATTAAATGAGTTTACAGTTATCTGTTGCTGCGAAGGAAAATTCCAAACTGACGTTTCTTTTGCTGCTTAGTATATTTCCCTGTATGATTGTCACGGACAGGTCTGTTGTAATGATTGTATTTGCCTGTATGATTGTTCATCAACAGGTGATATTGTGGTTGTATTTACCTGCATGATTGTTATCCCCGCAACGCGTTTTGCGGGGGGTATTAAAATGGACTCTGTCGTCCGTGTGTCCATGTAAAGTGCACATTTGTCTTTTCCGAGCATAACTCTAAAACCGTTCAATATTTCTTCACCAAACTTGGCTCATAGAGATATCTGGTGGTGAACTGGTGCCTTTTGGTTGTTTTGGATTTCTGAATAAAATATTTTTTGCGTTTCCATGGCAACAAGTTTGACTTAGACTGAAATTGGTGGTAGTACTCTTTTCCGGAGCAGAACTCTAAAACCGTTGAATGTTTCTTCCCCAAACTTGGCACATAGATAGATCTGGTGGTGAACTGGTGCCTTTTGGTAGTTTTGGATTTCTGAATAAAATAAAAAAAAATGCGTTTCCATGGCAACAATTTTGACTTCAACTGAATTTGATGGTAGTGCTCCTTTCTGGAGCAGAACTTTGAAACCTTTCAGTACTCTCCTTCCACTTAGCTACATACACGCCAACACATTTGACATAGTCATAACTCATAGACATATTCATTAAGAGTATTTTGCCATTGCAGGGGATATGGACGACTTTGTCTTCTTGTTCATGAACAGGTGTGATGTAGCGATTGCATTTACTTTAATGACCTTTCCTGGACAGGTGTCTTGTAATCATTGTATTTACCTACGCGACTGCTCGAAGACAGGCATTGCATGAATTTCCCAGATGTTTTGTGGTAATTGCATTTGATGGTGTGATTGTTGTTGCGCAGGTGTTTCTATCTTAGAGCTGTGTCTCATCATCTCAATGAAACACCTGATGGACATCTACGATGGAGAGCCCTTCAACTTTGAGATGGTCTATAGTGGTACGTATATCATGTAGCACAGGTCATGACTTTCATGAATCTGGCTGGGACCAGGTAATCCCAGCCCCTTTCAGGTGGTCTATAGGTAGGGTTAAAACTCTTGACTGTGAATGTAAGCTGGGGAAAGTGGGGTGGGCCAAATGCCAGCAGTTATTTTCCAATCAAGACAGAGAAGGATACTTTTATCCAACTTATCAACTGAAAGAAATGCTGTTTATCAGACATTTTATGAAATATCTCTTGATCACATAATGTATCGTATATTACCATAGATAAGCTGACCCCATAGATAAGCCGACCCCCAAACTTGACCCTTAAAATCAGTGTCAAAATGGTATGTTTCATACATAAGCCGATCCCCCGTGATGGGGACCTAATCGCGGCAAACACAGACCACAGACAACTGGCTGTTACCAATAATTATAACTTTGGTCCACATTATTCAAAGAATTCACAATCATATTGCGTCTACAGTCCGTTTGAGTCAGAAACGGACCGATGAATTGCAAATTTTATCATTGTACAAAATTGCCACATAAATATAAATAGTACACATGTTTATTATTTACTAATACCCAACAGCTTTCTTATATTTGAAAATTTTCCGGACTCCACCAAAAAGTTGTTTAAGAAACTATCATTAAAATTTTGACACAGTTCACTATTTGTTACGAGGGAGGAGTGCAGAAAGGGACAGCCAGGTGTTAGAGAAGCCGTGCACAAGTGCCCACCAAGTTATTGATTCATTAGCCTGTGCTGTGCCGTCTCCATCCTTTCTCGCACACCTGGCTGTCCCTTTCTCTGCACTCCTCCCTCGTAACAAATAGTGAACTGTGTCAAAATTTTAATGATAGTTTCTTAAACAACTTTTTGGTGGAGTCCGGAAAATTTTCAAATATAAGAAAGCTGTGTGGTCAATCCATCACAAGCGTTCACTCCTGCAGAAGCAAACAGTCAACCAATTCTATGTATCAAGTCATTGATATCAACATGATTCTTCACATCAAGCAACATTGGAATTAATCCAGCCTACAGCAAGGAACTCTTGCCTTGATTAATGCATTAGAGCAGGTGATGACCTTCGCGTCAGCAATGCACTGTACCATCTCAGAGATCAGGTTTGCGTTCTTGAGACCATTTCCTGGGTTCCATTCTGAGTTTGGGAAGGAATGTCTTTGCTCAGGTAAAGTTGGAGATGGTGTCAATAATATACAATCAAAACATTAAATGAGTTTACAGTTATCTGTTGCTGCGAAGGAAAATTCCAAACTGACGTTTCTTTTGCTGCTTAGTATATTTCCCTGTATGATTGTCACGGACAGGTCTGTTGTAATGATTGTATTTGCCTGTATGATTGTTCATCAACAGGTGATATTGTGGTTGTATTTACCTGCATGATTGTTATCCCCTGCAACGTGTTTTGCGAGGGGTATTAAAATGGACTCCGTCCGTGTGTGCGTTCGTGCACATTTGTCTTTTCCGGAGCATAACTCTAAAACCGTTCAATATTCTATATTGGCTCATAGATAGATCTGGTGGTGTTCTGGTGCCTTTTGGTTTTAGTTTTGGATTTCTGAATAAAATATTTTTGCGTTTCCATGGCAACAAGTTTGACTCAGACTGAAATTGGTGGTAGTACTCTTTTCCGGAGCAGAACTCTAAAACCGTTCAATGTTTCTTCACCAAACTTGTCACATAGATAGATCTGGTGGTGAACTGGTGCCTTTTGGTAGTTTTGGATTTCTGAATAAAATATTTTTTGCGTTTCCATGGCAACAAGTTTGACTTAGACTGAAATTGGTGGTAGTACTCTTTTCCGGAGCAGAACTTTGAAACCTTTCAGTACTCTCCTTCCACTTAGCTATGTACACGCCAACACATTTGACATAGTCATAACTCGTAGACATCTTCATTAAGAGTATTTTGCCATGGCAGGGAATATTGATGACTTTGTCTTCTTGTTCATGAACAGGTGTGATGTAGCGATTGCATTTACTTTGATGACCTTTCCTGGACAGGTGTCTTGTAATCATTGTATTTACCTACGTGACTGCTCCAAGACAGGCATTGCATGAATTTCCCAGATGTTTTGTGGTAATTGCATTTGATGGTGTGATTGTTGTTGCGCAGGTGTTTCTATCTTAGAGCTGTGTCTCATCATCTCAATGAAACACCTGATGGACATCTACGATGGAGAGCCCTTCAACTTTGAGATGGTCTATAGTGGTATGTATATCATGTAGCACAGGTCTCGACTTCCATGAATCTGGCTGGGACCAGGTAAACCCAGCCCCTTTGAGGTGGTCTATAGGTAGGGTTAAAACTCCAAGCTCTTGACTGTGAATGTAAGCTGGGGAAAGTGGGGTGGGCCAAATGCCAGCAGTTATTTTCCAGTCAAGATAGAGAAGGATACTTTTATCCAACTTATCAACTGAAAGAAATGCTGTTTATCAGACATTTTATGAAATATCTCTTGATCACATAATGTACCGTATATTACCATAGATAAGCTGACCCCCAAACTTGACCCTTAAAATCAGTGTCAAAATGGTATGTTTCATACATAAGCCGATCCCCCACGATGGGGTCCTTATCACGGCAAACACAGACCACAGACAACTGGCTGTTACCGATAATTATAACTTTGGTCCACATTATTCAAAGATTTCACAATCATATTGCGTCTACTCACACATCAAAATTAAGAGTAGTTGACAGAAAATGGATAATATATTTTGTTTCGCTGACTATCATACTTATTGTAGCTGAACGATCACATGTCAACTAACTGGCTTGCTTATTTTACCCCATTCCATGTGCGTACAGCTTCCACTTACCACGTTTGTGAGGGTATGTTTTTCGCTCCAACCGCGATAGCCAATTTCACATCATATTATCAACAATCACGAACTATTTACCGCCTCGTTTGCCATGGACTTCAAGTTTACAGTAACATCAGTAAAAATGTGTGAATTTAAATGGTTTGCTTATTATCCCCCGCCGCGCGTTTAGCGCGTAGCGGAGGATATAGTATTAGGCTCCGTCCGTCCGTACGTACAAATTAGAATATCTTAAGAACCGTTGACTAGATTCTTTTCATATTTGGTACCTAGGTTCATCACAGAATAAGAAAGGTCCCAGTCAGGTTTGGTGACCTTGACTTCATTTGACCTACTTTTTTCTTGTCAGCTTAGATATCTCAAGGGACATTCATTGTTTCATATTCAACACCCAGTCAGAGGCCCAGTTGACTTTGATATCTTCACGTAAATTTCAAGGTCATGGCGACACTTTGAAGATTTCAGCATGTTAAGCTGCATGTTAAGCTATCTGAAGAACTGTTCACTGGATTTTCTTCATATTCAGCACCAAGCTTTTATCTAGGGAAGGCGCAGGGCCCAGTCCATTTTGGTGACCTTCACTTAATTTTCAAGGTCACAGCGACACTTTGAAGATTTCAGTATGTTAACCTGCATGTTAAGCTATCTTAAGAACTGTTAACTGGATTTTCTTCATATTTGACACCAAGCTTCATCTAGGGAAAGTGCAAGGTCCAGTCGATTTTGGTGACCTTCACTTAATTTTCAAGGTCACAAAGACACTTTGAAGATTTCAGCATGTTAAATTGCATGTTAAGATAGTCAGCAAGATATCGCAAAAAACATTCACTGGATTTTTTTCATATTTGACACCAAGCTTCATCTAATGAAGGCCCAGGGCCCAGTCAGTTTTAGTGACCTTCACATAATTTTCAAGGTCACGGCGACACTTTGAAGATTTCAGCATGTTAACCTGAATTCACTGGATTGTCTTCATAGACTTTCAAGACTTCCCTCGAATGTTTTTCAATAAGCGATTTCTTTAGTACCATTTTTGCATATTTCATACACTATGACATTCATGTCAAGGTCAAAGTCAGTCTTGAATACTTGTGTGTTTGAACAACTAAAGAGAAGATATCAAGAGAGGTTGACTGGTCATGTTTTTGTTGACATTTAACTTCATCTTAAACTTTCATTACTTTATAAGTTTGATTTGATACTTCGCGACGGGGGATTATGTAATCTTAGTGACAATGCTTGTTTTAACCCATTCCATGTGCTTACAATTTCCGCTTACCAAGTTCGTGAGGGTACGTTTTTCGCTCCAACCCCAATAGCCAATTTCACATCATATTATCAACAATCACGAACTGATTACCGCCTCATTTTCCATGGACTGCTAGTTTACAGTAACATCAGTAAAAATGTGTGAATTTAAATGGCTTGCATATTACACCTCATTCCATGCGCGTACAACTTCCGCTTACCATGTTCATGAGGATTCGTATAACCTTAGTTTTGATTATATATATTTTACATTTATAGAGAAAAACCTGTAATTAAAATTACACAATGCTAGGATATATTTCTTTGGGTTAAATAATGGTATTCTGTATTATATTTTACTGATGACTGCGTCAGAATTCATCCCGTTATATTATTGTGCATGTTTTAACTTGATCACCGGGAAACGTGTGCACAGCTGATTGCTATTTCCAGCTCAAATACACATGGTAATCTTAATCCCTGCAAATAATACAATGCCCAGCAAAAACAACTTAGAACTTAAAAGGTAAATACTCTTGTCTAGTGATGTTTAATTGCAAATTTGACGTCTTTACTGACAAAAGTCGTCTTCTGTTGTTTGTTTGTTCACACGAAGTGATACGATGTTGTTTTCTTTGCCCTGGAATAAAGTTTAACGAAAGCGTAACCCATAGATAAGCCGACCCCCGTCTACAGACTGCTTTTTTTGTTCCTCAAAATTCAGCTTATCTACGGTAATATACGGTAATTTAAGAGAGTATTCTTAAAGGAGTTGCGGTTTATGAGCACCTCAGTAGTCTTATGGTCCTGCACATTTCATTGTGTAGATCATGTTTCATTGCAAAATATGTCTCTAGAGAGGAGCATTCTATAAAATATCAGAGGGACATTGTATGGAGTACCCGTTGTACAGATGTACTTTCTCTAGAGTATCCTTTGGACAGAGGGACTCTATAGAGTATTCCTGAACACAGGTACAGAATATGCAGGATATTCACCAAAAGGGGAATATTCTGGAAAATTCATGCTTCAAGGTTTTTCCTTAATTCAATATTCCATGTTAAGGAAGGCCCCATAAAAGCAATAGAGTGACATCACTAGAGGTATGTAATGGTATATCATGTAGCAGTTGTAAGTTAAAAGAAATCCCGGTTTGGCCCAGGTCAAGAAAACGCCTTCATTAGTGACAAGTAAACTGGTTACTCCATCACAAGCGTTCACTCCTGCAGAAGCAAACAGTAAACCAATTCTATGTATCAAGTCATTCATACCAAACATGATTCTTCACATCAAGCAACATTGGAATAAATCTCAGCCTACAGCAAGGAATTCTTGCCTTGATTAATGCATTAGAGCAGGTGATGACCTTCGTCAGCAATGAGATCTATGGTGACTTTGATGTTTACATTTCAGAGTACCTGAAGTTCGCACAGAGGAAGTCCAGTATGCAGGTGTATGAGAAGCCTGTTGTGTTGAAGGTAAGACTTACTACAATATTGGGAAATCTTTTGCTGTGTACCACGATGCAGGGTTAGAAATAAGGAACTTACTACTTTCATTGAGGATCCTGTGCACTGTTACAGTGAATTCCACTTATGGACTTCTTGTTTAGTTCACATGCAAATGGCCTTTTGGAATGTTCCTGAAACACAACTGATATTGTAGATAGAAATTCTGGGTCAAGAAACTGTGGGCTATTAAACCTGGAACTTGAGCATATGATCTTTTCAATAACCAGCTGTTTTTCAATATTCAGGCATTCGAACATCTGATTACGTTGGAGTTTATTCGGGCGTTGGATGGGTCGGGGTCACGGGTACAGAAGGAATACAAGCTGATGTCACTGCTCATTCACCCCAGCCAGATCGTGGATGCTCTACAGAAGTACCCTAACTGTCCCACAGAGGTCAAGCAGTGGGCCGGCAACTCTGTGGTCTGAAATACCCCAATTGTCCTGAAGAGTTTGAGCAGTGGGCCGGCAACTCCTGTGGTCTGAAATACCCCAATTGTCCTGAAGAGTTTGAGCAGTGGGCCGGCAACTCCGTGGTCTGAAATACCCCAATTGTCCTGAAGAGTTTGAGCAGTGGGCCGGCAACTCTGTGGTCTGAAATACCTAATTGTCCAATTGTCCTGAAGAGTTTGAGCAGTGGGCCGGCAACTCTGTGGTCTGAAATACCCCAATTGTCCTGAAGAGTTTGAGCAGTGGGCCGGCAACTCTGTGGTCTGAAATACCCCAATTGTCCTAAAGAGTTTGAGCACTGGGCCGGCAGCTCCAGGGTATGAAGTACCCTAATTGCCCAAAAATGATCAAATCTTGTCTGATGGGAAGAGGTAACAACTTCCTGTTGTGTCATATTGGGGTTGACAGAGTTGTGATGACCTTGACTTGTTGGAGATTGTTCTTGAAGATATATGACATATGGATGTATGTTTTGCAAGATGTGACATTGTTGCTGAGGTTTGTTTGAGATTGTTCTTGATGATAAATGACATATGGATGGACGTAGTGCAAGATAAGTGACGTAATCGCTGAGACTTGATGGAGATTACACTTGAAGAAGAAAGACGTTTTGGTGTGGACTGTGGGCACAGTAACAGTTGTGAGTGGACTTGGTGACTGTATCCTAGGAAAATGAAATAGTCCTTTCAAGGAAAATATTGTTTTCACATGGTACTTGTCCAGTGAACCGCAACATAATCAGGAACAATGTTGCAAAGTTTACTGCATGACAGTTTCTGAGCCAAATTGGGCAGTCCCATGTTTGCACATTATGTCTACTTGCGACTACTGTATCGTCATTAGCAGTCAACATATCAATGACAAAATATTGATATGACCATGACAGAAAGAAATTCATTGATCTGTGTAATTATTTGGATGTATATAATAAAGAATGAAACATCTACTGATTTCTGATAATCTTGTATTTTTGGCTGTAATTTTGGGTCCTGCTGTAATGATTGCAGATTTGTGTTTGCTTGAATTTGAACTCCTCCTCCCTCAAATAAGGTCAAGGTCAATGGAGGTCAAACTATGTAGTATGGTTATAATTTCATTAAAATTTCGATGACTTTATGAAAATTCCATTCACCCATGATAGACTCAGTAATCAAACCTGTCATAAATCATTATTGTAGCAAATGTCGCATTAGAGGTCATTCACTCATATCATATGTAAGTTTAAGTAAATGTAGTTTCATTCTTTGACTATGGGATACATGGATGATGTACGGAAATCTTTGTAACACCACTTAACTTTGCAACAAGAAATCTTTTCACACGATTCATGACCCTGATAGTCAAGGTCATTCATCATGAAACGGGCAACAAAAAGTATTTTTTCTAAAAATTTTATAAATCTTCTTTTGTGTACCTTCCAGGTAATGTCAAGGTCATTAGAGCACAAGTTAGGACAGAGGATTCACATTTCATGACATTTCATCTTTATTCATTAGAAATTGAATGTTTGGCAGTTAGATAAACTCAAGTAATTATCAACTCAACACCTACACGATGTCATGATTGTGTCCAATATCAAGTCTGCTTTTTAGGTAACTTATTCATGGTATTCTCGTATGTGATTTGGTCACAATCATGCTGTGTGAAGTAGGTATGAACTGACGGAGTAATGTAAGTTAAACTTTGACCCAGCTTATTCTTTCATCTTGCTCATAGTAATCATTGGCTAGAATCTGCTTGTAAACATGCATTTAGTTAAAGTTTTCAGGCTAGAATAGATCCCAGGTACTTGTGCTTGTTGTAAAGGATCAAGTTGTTGGCACTGAGAGATCAAAAGGCACTGTAATCACATGTGGTGTGCCACAGGGATCAGTCCTTGGTCCAGTCCTGTTTGTGTTATATACCGGATATGTCGGAAGGATAACTACAGACCACACAGTTTCTCATCATGCCTACGCTGATGACACCCAGCTCCTGAAAGCATTTCATCTGTCGGATCTATCTACGTCTCTTCAGTGCATCGCTGAATGTACGCAGGACATCAAGTGCTGGATGACAGGAAACATGCTTAAACTTAATGACACAAAACAGAAGCAGTTCTCATTGGTACAAAGCAACAACTCAGCAAGGTCAAAACCGACACCCTTACAGTCGCCAGACTCTGACGTCCGCTTTCTGATGTGGTTAAGGACTTGGGTGTCCACATCGACTCTTCCTTGACTCTGGATGCTCATGTTAACCGCCTGAGCAGGACCTGCTACTTTCACCTAAGATCCATTGGTAACATTCGGGCAATACCTGACAACTGCTGCAACTCAAGCCCTTGTTCGAGCTCTTGTTACATCTAGGCTTGATTACTGTAACAGCATCCTTTCAGGCCTCAGTTCTAAACTCCTTTGATAAGCTTCAGAAGATCCAAAATACTTCCACCAAGCATCATCAGCAAGACTTCTAAACGTTCCCATATAACACCAGTGTTGAAAGAACTGCATTGGCTACCAGTTAGGGCCAGAATTGACTTTAAGATCCTCTGTCTGACGTACAAGTGCCTCCATGGTTTGGCTCCCTCTCCTACTTGTCTGAACTCCTACATCCCAGATGTCCCCAAGACGCTAACTTAGCAGCCAAACACACAAAACCGACTGGTCATCCCATCCTACAAACTGAAATCCTTCGGACACCGATCATTCTCTTACTCCGCGCCTGTGCTCTGGAACTCTCTCCCATGTGCCCTTAAAAGCTCTGCCACAATTGACATTTTTAAGTCCAGACTTAAAACCCACCTTTTCTCAGTATATTATGTATAACTTCATCTGTAAATACTCCAGTGTAAATATTCTGTAGCGCTTTGAGCATGCCTTAGGGTGTGGAAGGGGCGCATTATAAATATGCATTTATTATTATTATAAGTATTCAGGCCAGAATAGGTCCCTAGATACTTGTGCTGGCTGTAGTAGATCATGTTTTAAGGCTAGATTAGGTCCCAGGGTACTTTTGCTGGCTGTAATATATCCAGTTTTCAGGCTAGATTAGGTCCCAAGGTACTTGTGATGCTTGTAAAGGATCAGCTTTTCAGGCTAGAATAGGTCCCAAGGTACTTGTGGTAACTGTAATGGATCAAGTTTTCAGGCTAGAATAGGACCCAAGGTACTTGTGCTGGCACAGTTGGGTTACATGGGCAAGCCAAAGCTTGTGCTTGTGGGTTTAAATCTCGGTTTGCTAAGATGATATTTCTAGGTTTGTCAGCACCATTTTCAGGTTTCACAAAATCTGAAGCTTGCATCAACTTAGGCTTGCCTCCAACCTTGTATTTGGGATGCCATGTTGTAAAATACTGTTTAATGTAGAATTAAACACACACTCTCTTAATTTAAAAGAAAACAATCTAATTAAGTAAAAAATATTATTTTATTGTGAAATCATAACAATCATGTGATATGTAAAATAGGTGAAGATTATTGTTAAAACTTGGGATAACCATAGCCCCAGCCCCCTCAGCTAATGAAAAATAAACAATAGTCCTGTATACATTAATGCTTAACAATTGATGCTGGATAACCCTGCATAACTCAGGGATTAGAATATAGGAACACATTCAAACACAAATACTTATATCTCCAAGCAAGTCACTGCAAAATAACACTTTGTACCCTACAGGTATAAACACCACGATAATGTAATGATGATAACTGGAAACCTGGGGAATGCCTAAGGTATAACTACTTATGTCTGGATACCATGAACATGATCCATGAGCAAAGACCATATTGGATATGATGAAAACGCTGAAGGCATAATGAGATATTACGCGTAAGGCAAGAATCATATTCAATATTGGATGAATGAACAAGCTTAAGGCATAATGAGATGTGTAAGGCAAGAATCATGTTTAATATTGGAGAGATGAAAAAGCTAATGGCATAATGAGATATTATGCGTAAGGCAAGAATCATGTAATATTGATTAGATGAAAACTCTTAAGGCATAATGAGATGTGTAAGGCAAGATCGTATTCAATATTGGATAGATGTAAATGATCAAGGCGTAATCTTATAAGAAGCATGTTCTATATATTTTATGTATTATGTATGGTGAAAACTCTGCAAGTGATAAAGGCCATATTTGATGTTGGAAATCATAAACAATGCTCAAGGAATATAGACCATATTTGATGTTGGAAATCAAAAACAATGCTCAAGGAATATAGGCCATATTTGATGTTGGAAATCATAAACAATGCTCAAGGAATAAAGACCATATTTGATGTTGGAAATCATAAACAATGCTCAAGGAATATAGACCATATTTGATGTTGGAAATCATAAACAATGCTCAAGGAATATAGACCATATTTGATGTTGGAAATCATAAACAATGCTCAAGGAATATAGACCATATTTGATGTTGGAAATCATTAACAATGCTCAAGGAATATAGACCATATTTGATGTTGGAAATCATAAACAATGCTCAAGGAATATAGACCATATTTGATGTTGGAAATCACGAATAATGCTCAAGGAATATAGAACATATTTGATGTTGAAATCATAAACAATGCTCAAGGAATATAGAACATATTTGATGTTGAAATCATTAACAATGCTCAAGGAATATAGACCATATTTGATGTTGGAAATCATAAACAATGCTCAAGGAAATAGACCATATTTGATGTTGGAAATCAATGCTCAAGGAATATAGACCATATTTGATGTTGGAAATCATAAACAATGCTCAAGGAATATAGACCATATTTGATGTTGGAAATCATAAACAATGCTCAAGGAATATAGAACATATTTGATGTTGGAAATCATAAACAATGCTCAAGGAATATAGAACATAATGAAATCATCAATGCTCAAGGAATATAGACCATATTTGATGTTGGAAATCATTAACAATGCTCAAGGAATATAGACCATATTTGATGTTGGAAATCATGAATAATGCTCAAGGAATATAGACCATATTTGATGTTGGAAATTTTGTTTAAGGAATACAGACCATATTTGATGTTGAAAATCATGCTGAATCATAGACCATAATGAACAATGCTCAAGAAATATATACCATACTTGATGTTGAAAATCATGAACAATGCTCAAGACAAAAAGACCATATATACTGTTGGATAACATGATCAATGCTCAAGGCACAAAACACCAGACAATATGAAATTCCATGAACAATTATTGGATTTCTTGAACAAAGCCCATAGTGTAATGATCACAATTATTTTTAGATATCATAAACAGTGCACCAGTGTTAATAATCTTAATCATTATTGATATCATAACAATAAAGTATCAAGAATAATCACAATTGTTATTCCATATCAAACAATGCAACTGTAATAATGATGACAATATATATTGATATATATATAACAACAATAATCACAATAATTACTGGATGTCAAACAATGCATCATGATAATAATGATAATCATGATTATTATTGAATCATTAACAGTTCATCAGTGATAATGATCACAATTATAATTACATACATTTGACAAAGGTGAAGGTTATAGTAAATATGTCTCCAGTGAACAAGATCATCACCTTTTTGAGAGACAATATCGCTACAGAATATTAGGGCACCCTCTGAATTTCCTTCTGAATACATTTGTCTATGATACACATCTTTGTCCAGCAATAGGTGTGTAGGAATATCAACACTCAGTTCAATGTTGTAATAAAGACATTTTTTTTTTTTTTCATAAAATATGTAAAGGTAACAATATATAAATTCAAATTTGAAATATTTCTTGGCATTTCCTCAAAATGTCATAAAATGCAAAATTTTAAGTAATAAAATGTTAGAAATAAAAAATTTGAAAAATATCTAGCAGGGATAGGAGTTTTCGGCGAAGTTTTAACAGGTTTTGATCATAATATTTTAAGTTGAAAAAAAATCTGGCCAAAGATGGAATAAATGAAGTCAATGGATATAAATATAATATAAATAGGAAACCACACCATTTTTTTCAATAGGCACATCAATTTGTGTAACAAGCAAACTATATAAACAGGCTTAAAGATTTGAATCATTACAATCAGTTGAACCTCTATTTGTAAAGTACAACATTATGTATACACATTTCAACATATCATGACTCCACAATAATTGGTTCTATATACACATGAATCAAATACACAAATTTGATTTTGGCACTCAATATCTACTATACAATGATAATGCTGTTTGTTACACTAAAGCAGCTTCTCTTCAAAGAATTCATGACTCTACACGTATCTGTACATTATTGTTTTGGGGCTGAACATTATACCCTGTACCAATATATGTCCCAGAGCTCCAGATAAGATTTAGCTCATGTGGGTACTGTACCCACTGTATATTTTTGGAGTGGGTATTATGAATGTTGAGTGGGTATTTCATTTTCCGTTACCCACAGCTTTCAAATATGTGCGTATTTCAGTCATTTTACTCACCTAAGTATTATGTCATTGAGTAAGTTTACTAAGCAGGTATGTTCTGCCTTATGTCATACCTAATCAAAACCAACTTAAATAAAATGGAAATGATTTCATAAAAAAATCACTCATCCTATACTGACAGTACAACACTAGTCCTATACTATCAGTACAACTTGATAGCAATCGATGTCTTTTTCATTACGAAAGCGATTACGTCCAATCATTACGTTCAATGATTAATTTCAGTGATGATGTTTTGTTAGGCCTGAACAGTTGTTAATCTTTTTCATAGTTTGAAAGCACTGACTACTATGAGCAAATCACACAAAATACAAATATTGTACAAATATGTGGACAAGTGTATATACAGCAGAGATATTGAAGCACAGACTTAAAGATTCTTATGTACAAAAGTACTGCAACAAATTTCCATGCAGCATATTTTGTGTTGTATGTTCTATTTATTTATCAACTTACTTTAACTTTCAGGCAGTTTTATAAACCTGATTACTCAGCTTTCTTGATAGTTATTATGTAACATACACATAACTGGACATTTGTTATGAATACTGACACTTGCCATGTTTGAATTATCGTCTTCATCTTTAGAAAATGAAATATATTATATGTAAGAGGATAATGCACACTTGACAAAAATATATACACACACAAAATAAATAGCTTGAATGTTTAATAGGGCTGCATGAAATATAACCGGTTTACTTGACAAAAAATATATTACCGGTTCAGACATTGAAAACGATAAGTATCGCAATACGCTAATCGAAAACCGGTATTTTGACTTGCATTCGGAAAACTTCTTAACACTCAGAATTCTGTGGATATTTCCTTGTTTCATTTGTGACAAATATTATTTACATTTTTATTTTGTCATGATTAAAAGTTTTTATTAAAGCTTAATCAAGCATAGTGATTTTGTTGTGTTCATGCTTTATAAATCAAGCATTAACTCAATTATAAGCAGTTTTTGTTCAAAAATACTTCTTGCAATATATTGCAATACATATCACAATATATGTTTTCGCATCGCAATATATCACAATATGAAATTCTCTGCAATACCCACTCCTAATGTTTCACAAACAAAAAGGAAAGCTGTTAAGTTCTGTGAAATACTTCTGTCTGTCACAGATGAAGATCACCAAATAGTTGAATGTAAATGTATAGTAGCAACACCAGTTAACACCATGACAGCTATCAACTCCAGGATCAAACACCAACTGATGACGACATGTGAAAGGAACCTGTCCTTGATCATTGGTCAGAGTCAGTTGTTGATCATCATGGAATATACATAGAGATTATTACATGAGCAAGTGTGTCAGATGACTTATACGAAACGAGTGCTAGATTTTGTATTACAAAATTTGGCACGAGTTTTGTATAAGTCGTGTGGCACACTTACAAGTGTAATAATTTCTTTATTATCCATTTTATTCATGTGCATGCGTGCAGTAAAACACGGTAAGCAAGTATGACTGCCCAGTTCATTGACGTCACGTTCAATTTTATAATGACGTCACAGACGACGAAACACAGAATCAATGGTTGCTAGGCAAAAGTAATATGTGCACATGTGCACATATGATATTTATGACACTGGTTATGTTTCACCATATGGATAATAAACAATAAGACAACCTCCTTCAAATGAAGGTCATATTTCGATCATACAGGGAATGTTGTGGTCAGCAACACCTTGGCTTCATGGACTACCAAATGGGAATGAAACAAAAACTCGGCAGGATGAGCAAATGCTTTAACCACTTGGCTACTCAACCACCCTGACCACAAACAAAAATGATTGGTAGTGAATTACTTATATATGTACATCTGTCCTACTGTGGAACATGAGTGTTAATCCCTGTGGTCATAATATGATGTAACTGAACATCTTTAAATAACTGATTGAGATCATCACTGATACTCAATATAAATATTTGATAGTGATTAATGACATGTATAGTCAGCACCATACCTGTGCCATGGGTTTCACCAAAGTGGTGAACGTCTTCATCATAACAAGCTTCATCACATGCAGCTGATATGCCTTAATGTTCCTGGAATACTGTTAAAAGTGTCATCAGACCCATCTGACTCACTGGTATACAATACCTTTTCTTTCCTTTGTTTTTCACACTATGACGAGATATATGCCATTAATCGATGGTGACAGAGCATTAGGGTTACGATGATCTGATTGATTAAGCTTATGCAGTTTGGTATGGATTTAGCCAACATTTTTGATAATATATATGACTTATCAGGTACTCCGTAAAAACAATTAATTTTGAGCTGTAATAGACTTGCCACAGCTTATATTCACATGTATCAATATCATGATTGTGACTCTACTTCAATAGTCCAGTAAAATATTAAACAGTTTAGAGTTACAATATTAGGATATATCATGATAATACCTATCAACATTTTCCATGTGATTGAAATTATAATAAAGAAAAGACAATGCTGTCATTGTCCACAGCATATCCTGCTGACAATGTTGCTGTTGCTGATGATGTTTCTGACAATGTTCCACAAGTTTCTGACAATGTTACACAAGTCTCTGACAATATTACACAAGTTTCTGACAATGTTACACACATTTCTGACAATGTTACACAAGTCTCTGACAATGGTGAACAAGTTTCTGACAATGTTTAACAAGTTTCTGACAATGATGCACACTGTACTACAGCCTCTCATAGCGGTCTTCATCTGCTCCGTTTTCTTGATGGTAGGCTTTGTTGATGTAGCTGTGTGAATCACTGGGATCCTTTTCAAACTTGGTGTGCTTGTTGAAAGACGCCTGGCGTTCCTGCAATAGAAACCAAACTAAATTATTGCCTTGTCAATAAGCTACGTTCAGTACATAAAGTAGCAATTACCTCAACAAACTGAATATACTGACAGCAGGTAAGGAGCTAGAAATTTTCTTTGTATTATATTATGAAGTTATCCTTATGGCCAATTTTGTGCCTTACTGAATCAAAGATCAATATCATGAATGAAAGAAAGGGATTTCAATTTTACATTGCTACCATATGATTGTGACTTCAAATGAGTGAGTTGAGTTTTACGCTGCAGTCAGCTGCAGTCAGCAATATTCCAGCTATATAGCGGCGAACTTCAAATGACCATATTCAGGTCTTAAACGCCACAGTTAGCAATGTTCCAGTTCTATGATGGAGGCCAGTAGATAATCTAGTTTGCACAACACAATTCAGTGATTGATATTATGAGCAATGACACACAATCAACCATGGGCTCCTTTCATGAAGCAACCTTTACTAAGGTTAACCTTAACTCCCATTCTTTAACATTGCACTAAGGTCACCTTAGTGACTTACGATCACCTTAGTGCTTTGTGAAAGGAAGCCCAGGTCACTGAGCCCCCACCACCTGATCCAATGTGTTGCGACTTACAGCAAACATGGACCCGTGAAGATCCGGGCTAGAATTGGTCTTCAGTAACCCATGCTTGTCATAAGAGGCGACTAATGGGATCGGGTGGTCAGCCTAGCTGACATGGTTGACACATCGTCATATCCCAATTGCGTAGATCAATGCTCATGCTGTTGATCACTGGATTGTCTGGTCCAGATTATTTACAGACCGCCACCATACAGCTGGAATATTGCTGAGTGCGGCGTTAAACTAAACTCTACTACTACTACAACAAACAAGGGTAACTGGTGACCATTTATAACCTGAAATCCCATACTCAGAATACATCACCATTCAGTACAGAGGACAAGTACCTGCTAATGACTTATCTAGGTAGATACACCATGGGTTCTAATCTATAGTGAGATATTCTATCAAGATAAAAGCAAAAGATTGAACTGAAAAGTAAAAAAAGGTAACATGTATTTATTTGTGCTGGTAAGTATTTGAACAAATGTAAAATGTATCATTTGATACCTCTAAATACATGCAAGTGACTGTTGGACAAAACTACATGCATGTGTGTCCGAAAAGTTTCAAAGAGTGAGTGAGTGAATTTGGTTTTATGCCGCTTTTAGAAAGGAACACCAAAAATGGGCTTCACATATTGCACCTATATGGGGAATCAAACTTGGGTCTTTGTCATAACAAGTGAATACTTTAGCCACAAGGCTACCCCTCCGCCCCTTGTGTGCATGAAAAGGAATAACGAAATGTACCAGATATTATTTTATTGAATGCCACTTCCCATTATTTTTGACCTGCCCTTCTCTGGAACAAGTATTACATTTAACATTTTCCTGTGACTTTGTAAGGCTTTGCCCATAGTCACCGTGCAGTGAATGGGTACCTGGTAGTATGAAATGACATACCCCAAATATCTAATTTCAAAGATTATTGTAATCACTGTCAATATTTTTAGCAAAATAACTATTACAGATAGTCAACTCATCATTGAATTAGCAGGGGTCAAATCATTTACTGGGCATTCCAAGTCCCACAGGAATTGTAATTTGAATTTGAGGAATTGAACCCAGGTCTTCAGGGTGATACGAGTTTAGCTTTAAGCCACTTTAGCTTTAACCATTCATGGGTTACACCCACCACCCCTGATATGTTAGAAGTCTACACTGTTTAGTACACACTAAGAAACTTGATTATAAATATTATTATTGATATTGTAATCTACTAAAAACTACTAATCATTATTCCAAGAGGTAAAATAAACTATATTGGATATTTCTTGGAACTATTCAGTTATTAGTCTGGACCAGACAATCCAGTGATCAACAACATGAGTATCGATCTACACAACTAGAATATGATGACATGTGTCAACCAAGTCAGCGAGCCTGACCACCCGATCCCGTTAGTCGCCTCTTACGACAAGCATGGGTTGCTGAAGATCAGTTCAAGGTCTAATCAGTTGTTAACATTTCAGTTGTAATCTATAATACAGTATTGGGGCGGTGGGGTAGCCTAGTGGTTAAAGCGTTGGCTCATCACGCCGAAGTCCCAGGTTTGAATCCCCACATGGGTACAATTTGTGAAGCCCATTTCTGGTGTCCCCTGCCGTGATGTTGCTGGAATATTGCTTAAAGCGGCGTAAAACCAAATTCAGTAAGTATAATACAGTATTAAGATTGTGCATAAATGAAGGAAAAGAAAAAAGCTGCAAATGTAAGTTAAGCCAGGACAAAGCAGTGACTGTTTGGAACCCGACTAATGTCCCCACCTGGAGACAAACATTAATTTTACAATATGCAGAATTTCTGTCAATGAAAAAACATATGTATAACATTATAACAAATAGATTCTAAATGATTTCTCCAGGACGGCAGAATCAGCAAGTGAAGTCGATAAGTGAATAAAATCAACAACTGACACAGGATCAAAGAAAAGATAGGAGGGGACATGCATGTCATTGCACTAACAGGCCCCACCCCCATCCCCCACCCCTCTCACTCAGATGGATCAGCCATTGTCAGTGCTTGTTTCCTAGGGAAAGATATACATTATATAACACTTCTCTTTCTTTTTTCTTAATTCAGTTTGAAAACACTTAAGAGACAAAAAATAATCCAACCTGTATGATTTTATTCATTAAATATATATCATACTTTAAGTAGATATAGATATATAGCCAAGCAAAAAAACCCAACAAATGTTGCCAAATTTTCTTCAATAAACTAGGTTAAAAAGAAAACAGGGAAGAAAACCCTGTCAGCTATTATGAGCCAAGACATGTCGACAACACCGGGAAATGCACAAGCAGGCTATTCCTTTCACCTCCCACACACCTTGAATGCATGCTCTTCCTCAATCAATAAATTTGTTTTGCTACCATTTTCTACCATTTCTAGATTGTCTGTCTGTCTTCTAACTTGAGGGCGTGGTATCCTCGTCTCAGCCATATAGTCATTTGAATCATCTAACACATCAAAGGACTGTCCTCTGGATTTCGAGGGAGGATTTCTCTTTCTGAAATGGATAAAGATCATTATACAATTAGCCATAAAATACAGTATTTAACTGAAAAATATAATTTCACTTAAGTGACATGAGTGGAAACAACAGAGCGGAAGCAATAGCATGGAAACAATAGAGTGGAAACAATAGAGCAGAAAGAATAGATTGGAAACAACAGAGCGGAAACAATAGGGTGGAAACAGTAGAAACAATAGCATGGAAACAACAGAGTGGAAACAATAGAGTGGAAACAATAGTGGAAACAATGAGATGGAGCAGAGTGGAAAATAGAGTGGAAACAATAGAGAATAGGGAAACAACAGAGTGGAAACAATAGAGTGGAAACAATAGAGCAGACAAAATAGAGTGGAAACAATAGAGCAGAAACAACAGAGTGGAAACAACAGAGCAGAAAGAATAGAGTGGAAACAATAGAGCAGAAAGAATAGAGCGGAAACAATAGAGCAGACAAAATGGAGTGGAGAACAATAGAGTGGAAGACAACAGAACAATAGGCAGAAAGAAGAGAGGAAACAATAGAGCAGAAACAATAGAGTGGAAACAATAGAGCAGACAGAATAGAGCGGAAACAATAGAGCAGAAAAAATAGAGTGGAAACAATAGAGCAGACAAAATAGAGTGGAAACAATAGAGCAGAAACAACAGAGTGGAAACAACAGAGCAGAAAGAATAGAGTGGAAACAATAGAGCAGACAAAATAGAGTGGAAACAATAGAGCAGAAACAACAGAGTGGAAACAACAGAGAAGAAAGAATAGAGTGGAAACAATAGAGCAGAAACAACAGAGTGGAAACAACAGAGCAGAAAGAATAGAGTGGAAACAATAGAGCAGAAAGAATAGAGTGGAAACAATAGAGCAGACAAAATAGAGTGGAAACAATAGAGCAGAAACAACAGAGTGGAAACAACAGAGCAGAAAGAATAGAGTGGAAACAAAAGAGCAGAAAGAATAGAGTGGAAACAATAGAGCAGACAGAATAGAGTGGAAACAATAGAGCAGACAAAATAGAGTGGAAACAATAGAGCAGACAAAATAGAGTGGAAACAATAGAGCAGAAACAACAGAGTGGAAACAACAGAGCAGAAAGAATAGAGTGGAAACAATAGAGCAGAAAGAATAGAGTGGAAACAACAGAGTGGAAACAATAGAGTGGAAACAATAGAGTGGCAGACAGAATAGACAGGAGAACAGAGTGGAAACAATAGAGCAGAAAGAATAGAGTGGAAACAACAGAGTGGAAACAATAGAGCAGACAAAATAGAGTGGAAACAACAGAGTGGAAACAGGAAACAATAGAGCAGACAAAATAGAGTGGAAACAACAGTGGAAACAATAGAGCAGAAAGAATAGAGTGGAAACAACAGAGTGGAAACAACAGCAGAAAGAATAGAGTGGAAACAATAGAGCAGAAAGAATAGAGTGGAAAGAATAGAGCGGAAACAATAGAGTGGAAACAACAGAGTGGAAACAATAGAGCAGACAAAATAGAGTGGAAACAACAGAGTGGAAACAATAGAGCAGAAAGAATAGAGTGGAAACAACAGAGAGGAAACAACAGAGCAGAAAGAATAGAGTGGAAACAACAGAGTGGAAACAATAGAGCAGAAAGAATAGAGTAGAAACAACAGAGTGGAAACAATAGAGCAGACAAAATAGAGGGGAAACAACAGAGTGGAAACAATAGAGCAGAAAGAATAGAGTGGAAACAATAGAGCAGAAACAATAGAGCAGACAAAATAGAGTGGAAACAACAGAGTGGAAACAATAGAGCAGAAAGAACAGAGTGGAAACAATAGAGTGGAAAGAATAGAGTGACTTGACAGCTTTATTCATGAAGACTGTAGGCCTCCGGCCCATGTTCATACATACATGTGGTCAGTCAGCATATAACGTATATGACGATATATATAGAGACAGAGAGAGAGAAAGAGAGAATAATAATTAATCAGCAGGTTATTCTGAAACAGTTTGCATAATGGATATACATGGCCAGCTTTCTAACGACATTAACATGAGTTGATCCCAAAAGCATGTCTAATTTATTACGCGTAGGGTATGATATAAATTTAGTAGGTATATACCTCTCACGCAGTGTTTTATACCGAACACAAACCATCAAAAAATGATACTCATCTTTGATGTAGCCTTCATTACACACAGTGCACACCCTTTTATCTACAGGAATATTAACATATCTGTCTGTTTCTATTTTGAGTCCATGGGAACTGCAACGAAATTGTGCCATGGCCACATGGAATTTTGAAATTGTTAGTCTTTTGAGATATAACTCCGTTCCAAAGGTACCTTTAAAGAAAGTATAATTTCTAGTTTTAGAAATGCTGAAAAGGGAGGGGTGCCAGTCCTGTTCAAACGAACAGTTTAATCTTGCCATAACATCCGCAATAAAGGATTCTTTACTAATTATTGTTTGTGACTCCCATATATAGCCAAATCCAAGTCGAAACAATAAGTACTTCAATTTGGAAACCCAATTATTTTTACCATTATTAGCTGCTTGTAAAAGCATGTTATAACACGTATTTCGATATCTTACATTAGGCATATATAACAATCTAATCAAAACTTTTATGGAATGTTTAAATGCAAAAATATACAAAGGGTATCTGCCACATTCACCCAGTACTGTGTAAGTTGGTGTCGATGTAATCACTCCAAGTAAGCGTTTACACGCAAACATATGAATGGTTTCTATATTTGTTACACTATCTAACCCCTAAACCTCAGACCCATAGAGTAAAATAGGCATAATTTTGGTGTCAAATATCCTGGAAAATAATTCAAACGGAATTGGTTTAAATCTATGTAATGTCTTTAATATGCCTAACAGAACTTTTCTAGCCTGGGCAGCTGCACTTTTAGTATGTTTATCCCAGGGTGGAAACTTGAAACAATGTGGCGGAACCAGTGAAACAATAGAGCAGAAAGTGGAAACAACAGGGTGGAAACAATAGCATGGAAACAATAGAGCAGAAAGTGGAAACAACAAGGTGGAAACAATAGCATGGAAACAATAGAGTGGAAACAATAGAGCAGAAAGTGGAAACAACAGGGTGGAAACAATAGCATGGAAACGGAGAGGAAACAATAGAGCAGAAAGTGGAAACAACAGAGTGGAAACAATAGCATGGAAACGGAGAGGAAACAATAGAGCAGAAAGAATAGAGTGGAAACTGTAGTGGTCCGAGCGAGTTAGACATACTACTGTAATATCATGGCAAGGATATCAGCAACAGGTTCAACATACTTGGGGCAAAACTGAACGTCTGCATTTGGCATGATGAGCAGATGCTTTAACTACCAGAATACCCAGTCACTATGAGTATGTGTGGAGCTGCAGGTTAATACAAGAGTTGCCCCAGCTTTGTTATAGTGGACTCACCTGCATACACAGCACAGCTTTGTTATAGTGGACTCACCTGCAGACACAGCACAGCTTTGTTATAGTGGACTCACCTGCAGACACAGCACAGCTTTGTTATAGTGGACTCACCTGCAGACACAGCACAGCTTTGTTATAGTGGACTCACCTGCAGACACAGCACAGCCTTGTTATAGTGGACTCACCTGCAGACACAGCACAGCCTTGTTATAGTGGACTCACCTGCAGACACAGCACAGCCTTGTTATAGTGGACTCACCTGCAGACACAGCACAGCCTTGTTATAGTGGACTCACCTGCAGACACAGCACAGCCTTGTTATAGTGGACTCACCTGCAGACACAGCACAGCCTTGTTATAGTGGACTCACCTGCAGACACCTGCAGCACAGCACCTTGTTATAGTGGACTCACCTGCAGACACAGCACAGCCTTGTTATAGTGGACTCACCTGCAGACACAGCACAGCCTTGTTATAGTGGACTCACCTGCAGACACAGCACAGCCTTGTTATAGTGGACACAGCACACCTGCAGTGGACACCTGCAGACACAGCACAGCCTTGTTATAGTGGACTCACCTGCAGACACAGCACAGCCTTGTTATAGTGGACTCACCAGCACAGCAGACACAGCACAGCCTTGTTATAGTGGACTCACCTGCAGACACAGCACAGCCTTGTTATAGTGGACTCACCTGCAGACACAGCACAGCCTTGTTATAGTGGACTCACCTGCAGACACAGCACAGCCTTGTTATAGTGGACTCACCTGCAGACACAGCACAGCCTTGTTATAGTGGACTCACCTGCAGACACAGCACAGCCTTGTTATAGTGGACTCACCTGCAGACACAGCACAGCCTTGTTATAGTGGACTCACCTGCAGACACAGCACAGCCTTGTTATAGTGGACTCACCTGCAGTGGACTCACCAGCACAGCACCTTGTTATAGTGGACTCACCTGCAGACACAGCACAGCCTTGTTATAGTGGACTCACCTGCAGACACAGCACAGCCTTGTTATAGTGGACTCACCTGCAGACACAGCACAGCCTTGTTATAGTGGACTCACCTGCAGACACAGCACAGCCTTGTTATAGTGGACTCACCTGCAGACACAGCACAGCCTTGTTATAGTGGACTCACCTGCAGACACAGCACAGCCTTGTTATAGTGGACTCACCTGCAGACACAGCACAGCCTTGTTATAGTGGACTCACCTGCAGACACAGCACAGCCTTGTTATAGTGGACTCACCTGCAGACACAGCACAGCCTTGTTATAGTGGACTCACCTGCAGACACAGCACAGCCTTGTTATAGTGGACTCACCTGCAGACACAGCACAGCCTTGTTGGACTCACCTGCAGGAGCCTTGTTATAGTGGACTCACCTGCAGACACAGCACAGCCTTGTTATAGTGGACTCACCTGCAGACACAGCACAGCCTTGTTATAGTGGACTCACCTGCAGACACAGCACAGCCTTGTTATAGTGGACTCACCTGCAGACACAGCACAGCCTTGTTATAGTGGTGGACTCACCTGCAGACACAGCACAGCCTTGTTATAGTGGACTCACCTGCAGACACAGCACAGCCTTGGACTCACCTGCAGACACAGCACAGCCTTGTTATAGTGGACTCACCTGCAGACACAGCACAGCCTTGTTATAGTGGACTCACCTGCAGACACAGCACAGCCTTGTTATAGTGGACTCACCTGCAGACACAGCACAGCCTTGTTATAGTGGACTCACCTGCAGACACAGCACAGCCTTGTTATAGTGGACTCACCTGCAGACACAGCACAGCCTTGTTATAGTGGACTCACCTGCAGACACAGCACAGCCTTGTTATAGTGGACTCACCTGCAGACACAGCACAGCCTTGTTATAGTGGACTCACCTGCAGACACAGCACAGCCTTGTTATGTTATAGTGGACTCACCTGCAGACACAGCACAGCCTTGTTATAGTGGACTCACCTGCAGACACAGCACAGCCTTGTTATAGTGGACTCACCTGCAGACACAGCACAGCCTTGTTATAGTGGACTCACCTGCAGACACAGCACAGCCTTGTTATAGTGGACTCACCTGCAGACACAGCACAGCCTTGTTATAGTGGACTCACCTGCAGACACAGCACAGCCTTGTTATAGTGGACTCACCTGCAGACACAGCACAGCCTTGTTATAGTGGACTCACCTGCAGACACAGCACAGCCTTGTTATAGTGGACTCACCTGCAGACACAGCACAGCCTTGTTATAGTGGACTCACCTGCAGACACAGCACAGCCTTGTTATAGTGGACTCACCTGCAGACACAGCACAGCCTTGTTATAGTGGACTCACCTGCAGACACAGCACAGCCTTGTTATAGTGGACTCAGCCTTGTTATAGTGGACTCACCTGCAGACACAGCACAGCCTTGTTATAGTGGACTCACCTGCAGACACAGCACAGCCTTGTTATAGTGGACTCACCTGCAGACACAGCACAGCCTTGTTATAGTGGACTCACCTGCAGACACAGCACAGCCTTGTTATAGTGGACTCACCTGCAGCACACAGCACAGCCTTGTTATAGTGGACTCACCTGCAGACACAGCACAGCACTTGTTATAGTGGACTCACCTTGCACAGCCTTGTTATAGTGGACTCACCTGCAGACACAGCACAGCCTTGTTATAGTGGACTCACCTGCAGACACAGCACAGCCTTGTTATAGTGGACTCACCTGCAGACACAGCACAGCCTTGTTATAGTGGACTCACCAGCAGACACAGCAGCACAGCCTTGTTATAGTGGACTCACCTGCAGACACAGCACAGCCTTGTTATAGTGGACTCACCTGCAGACACAGCACAGCCTTGTTATAGTGGACTCACCTGCAGACACAGCACAGCCTTGTTATAGTGGACTCACCTGCAGACACAGCACAGCCTTGTTATAGTGGACTCACCTGCAGACACAGCACAGCCTTGTTATAGTGGACTCACCTGCAGACACAGCACAGCCTTGTTATAGTGGACTCACCTGCAGACACAGCACAGCCTTGTTATAGTGGACTCACCTGCAGACACAGCACAGCCTTGTTATAGTGGACTCACCTGCAGACACAGCACAGCCTTGTTATAGTGGACTCACCACAGCACCTTGTTATAGTGGACTCACCTGCAGACACAGCAGACACAGCACAGCCTTGTTATAGTGGACTCACCTGCAGACACAGCACAGCCTTGTTATAGTGGACTCACCTGCAGACACAGCACAGCCTTGTTATAGTGGACTCACCTGCAGACACAGCACAGCCTTGTTATAGTGGACTCACCTGCAGACACAGCACAGCCTTGTTATAGTGGACTCACCTGCAGACACAGCACAGCCTTGTTATAGTGGACTCACCTGCAGACACAGCACAGCCTTGTTATAGTGGACTCACCTGCAGACACAGCACAGCCTTGTTATAGTGGACTCACCTGCAGACACAGCACAGCCTTGTTATAGTGGACTCACCTGCAGACACAGCACAGCCTTGTTATAGTGGACTCACCTGCAGACACAGCACAGCCTTGTTATAGTGGACTCACCTGCAGACACAGCACAGCCTTGTTATAGTGGACTCACCTGCAGACACAGCACAGCCTTGTTATAGTGGACTCACCTGCAGACACAGCACAGCCTTGTTATAGTGGACTCACCTGCACTCACCACAGCTTGTTATAGTGGACTCACCTGCAGACACAGCACAGCCTTGTTATAGTGGACTCACCTGCAGACACAGCACAGCCTTGTTATAGTGGACTCACCTGCAGACACAGCACAGCCTTGTTATAGTGGACTCACCTGCAGACACAGCACAGCCTTGTTATAGTGGACTCACCTGCAGACACAGCACAGCCTTGTTATAGTGGACTCACCTGCAGACACAGCACAGCCTTGTTATAGTGGACTCACCTGCAGACACAGCACAGCCTTGTTATAGTGGACTCACCTGCAGACACAGCACAGCCTTGTTATAGTGGACTCACCTGCAGACACAGCACAGCCTTGTTATAGTGGACTCACCTGCAGACACTCACAGCCTTGTTATAGTGGACTCACCTGCAGACACAGCACAGCCTTGTTATAGTGGACTCACCTGCAGACACAGCACAGCCTTGTTATAGTGGACTCACCTGCAGACACAGCACAGCCTTGTTATAGTGGACTCACCTGCAGACACAGCACAGCCTTGTTATAGTGGACTCACCTGCAGACACAGCACAGCCTTGTTATAGTGGACTCACCTGCAGACACAGCACAGCCTTGTTATAGTGGACTCACCTGCAGACACAGCACAGCCTTGTTATAGTGGACTCACCTGCAGACACAGCACAGCCTTGTTATAGTGGACTCACCTGCAGACACAGCACAGCCTTGTTATAGTGGACTCACCTGCAGACACAGCACAGCCTTGTTATAGTGGACTCACCTGCAGACACAGCACAGCCTTGTTATAGTGGACTCACCTGCAGACACAGCACAGCCTTGTTAGTAGTGGACTCACCTGCAGACACAGCACAGCCTTGTTATAGTGGACTCACCTGCAGACACAGCACAGCCTTGTTATAGTGGACTCACCTGCAGACACAGCACAGCCCCACAAGCACAGGAAGAAACACAGACCACCAAGACTGGCAGACACCGCAATGATAATAATCTTCCTCCCTGAAACAGCAACATGGAAGCTGTGAATATCCGGATCCATTTATGTTCTTTTGTTGAAATGACAAAGTTATCATCAATGCTTCTATGTTGAATACAAAATGTTCCTTCATCCAAAATGAACACATGTGTCTGAAGTGTGAGGTGACCCACACTGACCTATTTTCAATCAAGCAATGAGATGATACTGTGTTTAACTAAATGGAAAGCAAAAACATACTTTACATTCATGTTATTGTCCATTGTTTTACTGGCTTCACAGGAGATGTGTGTGTAACTCCTGAGCCATTCATATAAGTCTCCTGGTCTAGCTATCACAGATGGTAGAGAGACCGCCTCCGTGGTGTAGTGGTTAGAGCGTCCGCCCGGAGAGCGGAAGGTCGCGGGTTTGATCCCCGGCCGCGTCATACCAAAAGACGTTCAAATATGGTACTTGTTGGTCCCTGCCTGGCGCTCGGCATTAATGGGTACAATTACAAGGACTGGTCGGCTCGGAGTCAGTATAATGTGTCTGAGTGGGGTATTCATGCTTCACTGCGGCATGGTATCTCAGTGGGCTAGCACTATAAAACCAGCTTAAGTCTGGGCTAGTACAAGAAGCCGGACACACACATACACACGCATGCACGTCATCATATGAGCGAAATATTCTCAAGCACGACGTTAAACCCAATTACACCTCACCTCACAGATGGTAGAGTGAGTTGATGAGTTGGTTCTAAACCTGCTTTGAAAAGTTACATCACAGCGTGTCAGTTTACAGTGTGAGAAAACCCCGAGATCAAGCAGGACCCATGTTTACCATGTTGGTTGCCAAACTGAGAAACATTATCAAGACAAACCATGGTTCGAACCCACGATTACATGTTTGTGTCTTGCCCGAGGGAAACAACTTCAACGATTGGACTACCAATACTCTCCATGGACAGTATTGAAATAATATTGGCAAAAACATAATTGGTAGTGTGGATAGCAAAGACACATTTTTCCACAATATAATGATATTGATGTAAAGGTGGTCCTTACTCTCAGCTTCAGGGTCCTTGTCTTCACACGTTGACCCTACCCACCCGGACGGACATCTGAAACATCACAGGATACAGTTGTTCATTCACAGCTTTACACGAGGTAACAATGTGTAATCACACCCCCGGAGAAAGTGTACGATTCATCCTCCTACATCCATGTCCCTCTGGACTCTGGGGAGTCTGGACTTTCAAAAAGCATGTCCATATAAGATCTAATCACGAACTGAATTGTTAAACTGTTTGATTGGCATTTTGGAAGTTGGTAAGTAACAAAAAGGGTGTGATACTCTGTGGATGACAATTTCTGTATCATATAATTTTTGTTTTTGTTTTTTTATATTTCCACTTTTTGGTTACATTTGTATCATATAATGACGTGATGTTTCACTACAGATGGTTATACTGTTGTCAAAAAACATGTAAGGTGTTACAAAAAGAGGTGTGCACCCCTGTAAACTTTCCACCCCCTAATCTGGATCCTGCAGTGTGTACACGGGAGTTAATCATTCAGGTTTTGAGGGGTCAGGAAGAACTCACTAAACAAGGATATATTGAATTTCAGGAGCCTGAGTGGAGTGCTAGGATATCGTATCTAGTAGGCCCAAGTAACTCTGTACACTTGGTATAACTGCATCGGAACATTAATGATACCTTAAGAAACAATTGTTTCTTGGATTCTTGGAGAGTGAGTGAGTTAGTTAAGTTTTAGTACCTGCAGGCAAATCCAGGATCCTCTCCAGGCATGTTGATGCAGGAGCCGCCGTTCTTACAGGGAACTTCATTGCATTTACCTGTGATTGAGGAAATACAAAATACATTTTGTCTTTTATAAAATAACATGGCTGTTGATATTACCTTGATCATGCTTTCATAAAGTTGCAAAATATTAGCCTCTTCCTGTTTTGTATTAGTGTTTACTCTGTATGAAAACATGCAGCGTCAGATGTTTGTGGTGCGGATCACGGCTCATATGAACAATCATAGCCATGAAAGAGCTGACACTTAGTAGTAGCAGGGACTTACTCTGACACTTGTCCGTGGGGTTGGTCCAGTAGTGGCTGGTACTTACTCTGACACTTGTCTGTGGAGTTGGTCCAGTAGTAGCAGGTACTTACTCTGACACTTGTCTGTGGGGTTGGTCCAGTAGTAGCAGGTACTTACTCTGACACTTGTCTGTGGGGTTGTCCAGTAGTAGCAGGTACTTACTCTGACACTTATCCGTGGAGTTGGTCCAGTAGTGGCTGGTACTTACTCTGACACTTGTCCATGAGGTTGGTCCAGTAGTAGCAGGTACTTACTCTGACACTTGTCCATGAGGTTGGTCCAGTAGTAGCAGGTACTTACTCTGACACTTGTCTGTGGGGTTGGTCCAGTAGTAGCTGGTACTTACTCTGACACTTGTCTGTGGGGTTGGTCCAGTAGTAGCTGGTACTTACTCTGACACTTGTCTGTGGGGTTGGTCCAGTAGTGGCAGATACTTACTCTGACACTTGTCTGTGGGGTTGGTCCAGTAGTGGCAGATACTTACTCTGACACTTGTCCGTGGGGTTGGTCCAGTAGTAGCAGGTACTTACTCTGACACTTGTCTGTGGGGTTCGTCCAGTAGTAGCTGGTACTTACTCTGACACTTATCTGTGGGGTTGGTCCAGTAGTAGCAGGTACTTACTCTGACACTTGTCTGTGGGGTTGGTCCAGTAGTGGCAGATACTTACTCTGACACTTGTCTGTGGGGTTGGTCCAGTAGTAGCAGGTACTTACTCTGACACTTGTCTGTGGGGTTGGTCCAGTAGTGGCAGGGACTTACTCTGACACTTGTCCGTGGGGTTGGTCCAGTAGTAGCAGGTACTTACTCTGACACTTGTCTGTGGGGTTGGTCCAGTAGTAGCAGGTACTTACTCTGACACTTATCTGTGGGGTTGGTCCAGTAGTAGCAGGTACTTACTCTGACACTTGTCTGTGGGGTTGGTCCAGTAGTAGCTGGTACTTACTCTGACACTTATCTGTGGGGTTGGTCCAGTAGTAGCTGGTACTTACTCTGACACTTGTCTGTGGGGTTGGTCCAGTAGTGGCAGATACTTACTCTGACACTTGTCTGTGGGGTTGGTCCAGTAGTAGCAGGTACTTACTCTGACACTTGTCTGTGGGGTTGGTCCAGTAGTACTTACTCTGACAGTGGGGTTGGTCCAGTAGTAGCAGGTACTTACTCTGACACTTGTCCGTGGGGTTGGTCCAGTAGTAGCAGGTACTTACTCTGACACTTGTCTGTGGGTTGGTCCAGTAGTGGCAGGTACTTACTCTGACACTTGTCTGTGGGGTTGGTCCAGTAGTAGCTGGTACTTACTCTGACACTTGTCTGTGGGGTTGGTCCAGTAGTAGCAGGTACTTACTCTGACACTTGTCTGTGGGGTTGGTCCAGTAGTAGCAGGTACTTACTCTGACACTTGTCTGTGGGGTTGGTCCAGTAGGTGACAGTCTGTGGGGTTGGTCCAGTAGTAGCTGGTACTCTGACACTTGTCTGTGGGGTTGGTCCAGTAGTAGCAGGTACTTACTTGTCTGACACTTGTCAGTGTGGGTACTTACTCTGTCTGTGGGGTTGGTCCAGTAGTAGCAGGTACTTACTCTGACACTTGTCTGTGGGGTTGGTCCAGTAGTAGCTGGTACTTACTCTGACACTTGTCTGTGGGGTTGGTCCAGTAGTAGTAGCAGGTACTTTACTGTGGGGTTGGTCCAGTAGTAGCAGGTACCTCTCTGACACTTGTCTGTGGGGTTGGTCCAGTAGTAGCAGGTACTTACTCTGACACTGTCCTGTGGGGTTGGTCCAGTAGTAGCAGGTACTTACTCTGACACTTGTCTGTGGGGTTGGTCCAGTAGTAGCTGGTACTTACTCTGACACTTGTCCGTGGGGTTGGTCCAGTAGTGGCCTTTCTGACAGCTGCAGGAGTAGGTGCCCAGTAGGTTGGTGCAGTTGGTTCCCTTCCCTCCACACGCTGCCGTCATGTTGTCACACTCGTTGATGTCTGCAAGCAGGTCAGGAAGCAGTTGAGAATACTTAACAAACTTTTTGGATAACAACTTCTTTATTTCTTGAGTGCAACATTTTGATACAGATTCTTGTACCGTTGTCATGTATCGAAATGTCGCATAAAGAAGTTGCTATCCATAAAGTTTGTTCACTATTGATTGTCCCAACTTCTAACATGCCACTCAAACAAGATATCAGCAGTTGGGAATACTGCACATTTCTGTTATAACATAGCTGCTGATGTGTGTTAGTGACCGCAAGTACTTTAAGCATTTACGCTTCGAATATTTACAAGCCTCAATGCTGATTTGATGATTAGTGAGTTCCCATGGAGTATTAGTCAGATCTTCACTAAGTGGTACAATAAAGTGTTAGTACAATAAAGTGTTAGTACATTAAAGTGTTAGTACAATAAAGTGTTAGTGCAATAAAGTGTTCTTAAAATGGCGTCAGTCTTACCTTCACAGGCATTTTCATGTAGTGGCCACACTTTGAAGCCCGGACGACACGTACATGTGAAAGTGCCGTTACTGCTGGTGCAGACAGTGGAGGCAGCGTGACAGTTATTGTTGGTGTCACTACCACACAGGTCATAGTCATCTTCAAGAAACAATAGAAGTATGACATAAGTAAAGACTTCATGAAAATAGACACAAGATTGTGCCTTGACATTAAACTCTTGATGCTAATATCCTTTCAACACTGGTTATATTTCATTTGAGTGAACATTGCTCATTGTCCTATTCCAGCCATATCACAGATTGGCATAACAGAAATGGGATTATATATTAAACCATCATATATTCATGCTTTTCTCACTTCTAAATGTCTATCAGAAACTTCTTTAGTGTCAGTTAAGTATTTACGATAATATCATACACCATATAATGACTATTACTATCAAGGTACTTACATTGATAAAGTAAAGCATTATCTGTAAGTGGCAATTTAGAACCTACATCACTGAGCTGTGATTGATTTTAATTTCTATACTCTTTCCAGATGATGCAGACTTGTAAGTTTTTCAAACAAGTCAACCTTTACTTGTGTTAAAACACTGCATAGGGGGAAGAGGAAATACTCACTACAATCACTACTATTAAACCTTATCCTTTCAATCTTATTTACCCTCTTCTAGAAACTTTAACAATATTTTATATATTTATTTCTGTTGTAACCTACGAAACCTCAATGATGTCATGTATATTGCCTTTTATATCATATGTACTTTATTTGTGAATTGGAGTGGAATAAAATCAGCCTTCTTGCTTGCTTAAAGCCCACTGGAGAGTCAATAAACAATGACAGCTATATGTCAGCTATATAGGGGCGGTGGGGTAGCCTAGTGGTTAAAGCGTTCGCTCGTCACGCCGAAGGCCCGGGTTCGATTCCCCACATGGGTACAATTTGTGAAGCCCATTTCTGGTGTCCCCCGCCGTGATATTGCTGGAATGTTGCTAAAAACGGCATAAAACCATACTCAGTCAGTCAGTCAGTCAGCTATATAGCTTATCTTGCCTTTTCTCACCATCTAAATATAACATGGATATATTGCATTGTAGAAGATCACAATCACCTGACAAATTTGTCATCCCTTTATTAACTCCGATCAGACTATCAGCTCCGCTCCCCAGGGTACAGGAACTTCCAGAAGGACAGGAGGAGAAACTGTCTGCCAGAGAAGCTTGTAGAGGTGCTGCGGAGGTAGGTGTGTTTGTGCCAACCTCGAACTTCGCTTCAATCTCACCATTTTCTGTTTGTCTTTTTTGCCGGGTTCTATCACAGAAATATTACATGTAATCACTGGCTGCACACTTAACTCCTCAACAACTGTGTTAACGATTGGATTAGATGGTAAAGATAGACCCGCACTTACAAAGATTACTTCTAGATGTGACAAGAAATTCCTCCACTTGTCAGAGCTGTGATTCTAAATAAAGCAAATACATTGTTGTCCTAGATAAACAATGAGACAAGACTTTATCAGTAATTGTAGAAAACTTACCCTGTTGTTCCTTCCACCAGCTTAAACTCTGTGACCGTCACGGTATCATTCTGGATTTTCATGGCCTCCTTCAGCTGGAACAAGGACATGTTACCATGACTACAACTGTAACCAGAAATCCTTTCTGATTTGTGCTCCATCAGTTGATCAGTGAAATCTCCCTAACCTGGTCAGGAGGGAGGCTTAAAGTTTAATCCAGTTTAAAAGTGGGTTGGATTGGATTGGACTGGATTGGACTGGATTGGATGAACTGGGATTGGACGGTACAGGATGGGACGGTACAGGATTGAACGGGACAGGATGGGTAGGACTGGATTGGATTTGGTTGGGTTGGGTTAATAAAAATGTTATTTGTGTTCATATCACTGCATAATAAGAACACAAAGGATTGATGTTTCCTACATATTCTTCATATAAATGGGTAACATAGAGAATATTCTACTCCAAACTAAAGATTCTTATCCAGTCAAGGGTCAAGACTTACAGAAACAGTCCCTAATTCCTCATTACATAAGGGATAAGGATTCTAGGTACCATTCCACAAAGCGATCTTAGTATTATGTTAAAATGAGGGAGTTATGATCACTTTGTTGAAGGGACCTTGGGTTATATAGCAGGCCTCCAGTGGCTCATGCTTCAGTGAGAGAAAACTGTGGATTGGGTGGACAAAACTGTAACTGGCTGACAGTATTTTACTCCATCAGAATGACATGGATCATTACACATGCTTTCTGGACCACACATGGTTATTTACAGGCCGAGGTGATATAACATGTGCTGCATTTGAGATTTCCCTTTCTCAGGGAAGTACAGATACTAGTACGTTTGGAGGATTGAGTCCCATCTTGGATTCAAACACAGACTCTAAGAGTCAGGCACCTAATCACCAGTATGCCGTTCCTGAAATACTGTTCAAAGCAGTGTTAAACCCAACTCACTCACTCACTCACTCCTATGGACTACTTACAACTTTCTCCACTTTCTCAGCCAGCTTTTTAAAGGCCTCTGACTTCTTGTCGTTGAGGTCTGACGTCCAGACTTGGTCCCTCCCCGGAACCTGAGCAAAGACGATCTGCCCACCAAATGTGTAAGTGGCTGTGAGAAGAAATGAGAAAATTTGTTCAGTTGCAAACTCTCTTATCAGCTCTGTTTTAGATTCATTGTTAGTCGTGGTTCCTAATGAATACCTTAGCAGTGGATGTTTGTAAAGTTAGAATTAGGTGTTCTAAAGCTAAACACTGGACTACAAATCAGTCATAATGAATGAGAAGTGATTAAGATCCTGGGGGTAGAGGGGTGTGCACCCCTACTTTTCTCAGATAATGTGTTTGACCGTGTCACTTTCTGAATTATGAGGATGCCTCATTTACCCAAATATTGGATCCACCTCTGTCGATCAAACAACATGGGCGGATCCAGGAATTTTGAAAGGAGGAGGGGGTTGGGGTTGGAAACCCCTGAACCCCCATTGGTTCCGCCAATGCAAAAAAATCTTCAATGTGATCTTAAGTCATTTTCAAAGGGGGTGGGGTGGGGCTGGGGTGTTTCCACCGGACCCTCTGGATCCGCCAATGAAACAAGCATCTCTGAGGAGCATTGGGGTATTCAAACATATCATGGCGTTGTGATGAATTACAAGTGATGTCAGAGTTCAATATAATAGAGAACACCTTCAAATTCTCTGGTGTATGATTAGTGTTGATTGTCATTGTATATGCTGCCCCCGAAGTATTGCTGCACATAATTCTAGGATCTCCTGCATGTGTTGATATCATTGCAATGTATACCTTTGGGTCATAGCTGAAGGAGACCTTATACATTGATATCACCTACACTGATGTACCAAGGGACATATTATTTTGATTTGCAACCTTTTATTGACATGGTGGTAGAGCGAACTGTATTTCTTTTCTAAGATGCCAAATTTAATACTTTCTAAGGATAATTACGATTAATTTAAGGCAGAAAACAAAAGACGGTGTCGGTGACCTAAATTAAGAATCCTCGCACAGGGCTAACTGGCGCTTTTGATGTTTCTGCCCCCCTACGTTAAGACGAACGTTACCAGAAAAAAAACAAATGATAACAGTTTGATGACGGTTTACGTTTGGATTAAATATCTTCTCTGAATTATTTTAATTACATCTGTCTTTAACGTAAACCATATGGGGCAATATGAACGTCGCATTTCTACTACCAACATAAGTTTAGATCAGTACATCCAGATGAAGCTGAGTAGTCAAGCGACATTCCATGATTGCATTGTGGGAATGTAAACATTGTGACCGTGTAGCTGAAAACTTGTGAGTTGAATTGAACCATTTTAACCGTCGTAAAACCTAAACGTAATGTTTCCACCAGTGATGTTAGCCGCGTGAAGCAACTGCAAATCAAGAAACTGGATGCAACGGTGTAGTTTACTGTAGGAGGCCGTACGAGGCAATGACAACTGACATGCATCGTGACGTTGCTTACATTGTGACGTAATGTAAAATGGTTCGATTACGAGGGGGCACACTAGAATGGCGCCAGTGACGGGATAACGTCATTCAATTGTTACGTCATAAAAAAACTATACCTTTATTGTCTGATGATTTATTTTTTTTCAATTGTTGTAACCGCTAGGCATCTTAGAATTAAAAATAACAATTGAAGTCCCTATAAATAAAGAAATGACAAAAGCAATAAGAAAGATTCATGTTATTCAACTGAAAGAAAACTTGTATTTCTTTAGGACAGAAAATGTGCATGTTAAAGTTGCATCATCCAGCTGTTCTAGATTCAAAATGGTAATGGGCGGTGGGGTAGCCTAATGGTTTTGAATCACGAAGACCCGGTTCGAATCCCCACATGGGTACAATGTGTGAAGCCCATTTCTGGTGTCCCCCGCCGTGATGTTGCTGGAATATTGCTAAAAGCAGTTTAAAACCAAACTCAGTCAGTCAGTCAGTCAAAATGGTAATTTGAATTTGTATTCCTGAAATTATACAACAATAGAGACAAAGGACTTGGCAAGTTGAATTTGTTTTTTGATTTAATAATTATAATGATGAACCTTGTGGCATTGGATGCATCTTACAAACACAAGAATATAGTTATACCTCTGTTGGTGCAGTATCTTCCCTTGAAGGTGGGGCGACATGACCACTTGCATCCTCCATCAGTGTTCTCGCAGAACTGCCGGAGACTGTCATTGTACCCGGGGCAGCTGTTGGTCTTACATTCATCTATGTCTGCACAACAATAACAGTAGCATCTGTACATGACTGAATGGTGCTGCTCCTAAATAAGCCAGTGATTTTCATGGAGTGATACAAACATCCATGTTTTTGAAATATTCACTTCCCTCTTCCAGATCAGGTTTCTTTGAAGTTGGCACAATTATAATCAAATGGCACATGCAGGCCGTACAATACTTGTCCCGAAATGCATACAAAATACAAATCTCTCAAAAGCAAATCACTCATAAATTAGTGTGGTCTGCAGAGCCAGTGATTTTGGTTTTAAACATATTTCAGTTACATCACTGTATGTGAGTTTCACAAGTCAGACTGGTTGCAATCATTTACTACTCCAGTGACACGCCTAGCCACACATGATCCACACAAATAGAATTGTAATGGGTTAAACTTCTGACTTGAACCGAAAACCAGATCCTGGCATAGCAAAGGGATGCAACTCTGTTCAGAATGCATCACTGGGTTATAAGATTAATGCAAAGCTTGAAGTCATATTCAAACAAGTGAAACAAGATTCAAATTTTTCGAAAGATAACCAATGTGTGTGTTAGTTTTTGCCAATTCAGTAATATCACAGTTATGTCAAACAAAGGGGTATTTATTGCAAGAATAGGCTTCAAACATTGTTCAAATATACAGAATTAACTGCCGAACTTGGGCATGATTTGAAACCACTTTGCCCACACAAGGCTACTCCACCAGGAGAACTTTTATTTGACTCCTGGACAAATTAGTGTTACTGGTAACAAATGATAAGTGCATTATTTCTTACCGATACACTTGTTGTCCTGAAGTTGGTAGCCCTTGATGCAGGAACAGTTGTAGCTGCCTCGGAGGTTGGTACACACGGAGTGGTCGCCACACACATTGTCAGAACACTCGTTCTTATCTGCCAACAACAAACTTCACCTATGTACTCTAACACACAATGAATGAGTAGCAGATCTGGGTGCTGTTATACAAAGCGATCTTAGTGCTAAGGTGACTGTAACTCCCATACCTTAACACAGACTTAAGGTAGTCTTAGCACTAAGGTGACCATAGCTCCCATACCTTAACACAGACTTAAGGTAGTCTTAGCGCTGAGGTGACCATAGCTTCCATACCTTAACACAGACTTAAGGTAGTCTTAGCACTAAGGTGACCATAGCTCCCATACCTTAACACAGACTTAAGGTAGTCTTAGCGCTAAGGTGACCATAGCTCCCATACCTTAACACAGACTTAAGGTAGTCTTAGCGCTGAGGTGACCATAGCTTCCATACCTTAACACAGACTTAAGGTAGTCTTAGCTAAGGTGACCATAGCTCCCATACCATAACACAGACTTAAGGTAGTCTTAGAGCTAAGGTGACCATAACTCCCATACCTTAACACAGACTTAAGGTAGTCTTAGCGCTAAGATGACCATAGCTCCCATTCCTTAACACAGACTTAAGGTAGTCTAAGCACTAAGGTGACCATAGCTCCAATACCTTAACACAGACTTAAGGTAGTCTTAGCGCTGAGGTGACCATAGCTCCCATACCTTAACACAGACTTAAGGTAGTCTTAGCGCTAAGGTGACCATAACTCCCATACTTTAACACAGACTTAAGGTAGTCTTAGTGCTAATGATGTTTTGTACATCAGCACCATGGTACTCAGGACACTTTTGACACTATTCATGGACACCAGAATTTGGCTTCACACACTGATACCATGTGGGGATTCAAACATGGGCTGTAGGATTGACTGCATGCCTGTGTTTTTGCGATCATAGACAAGCAAAGAGTTGGTGTAGTTCGCTATCTTTCATTATTCGCAGACCCATCAAAATCCTACCCTCAAAGTCACCCACACAACTACTGTAAACAAACCTTGGAGTCTGATTCGAACATATGACAGGGCAAGACAAACAAGCACTGTAACCATAGGGCTAAGACCTCACTCCTTAATAAACAATGTAAGTTAATTGTCCTCACTGTGCAAGGACTGCAGCTCAATCTACTTTGTCAATTTCGGGATGAAAGATGAATTTGCGAGAGCAATCATGTGTGAAGCAAGTGTTTCATTTCTATTTGGATTGGAACTTTACCTTGGACATAAAATCTGGTGACATTGAGCATAATTTATATTGAAATCGGCTGTACTAAAATGCTGTCATAATATCTGCTCTTATAAGTCAAAAGTAACATTCATTAATGTAGGAACAAGCTTTACTTACCATAACATCTTATACCATCGCCTTCCAAACCATTTGGACATGTGCAGGGGTTATCTGCCCTTGATTCATTACACATTGCGCCAAGGAAACACTGACCATGACACACAGGTTTGACTTCCTGACAGTAGTCTCCCTTTGTGTTTTCGGGACATCGGCAAAGTGCTCGGGAAAATAATCCTGAATTTTAAATCAGACAATACCAATTTGATTAAGAAAAACACACAACTTAATATATCATCTGATTTTGCTAACAGTTACTTGCCAAAGTGTTTTATATTTTTATCAGTGTGTGTTGATCATTTTCATGTCAATACACATGAACATTTAATTTTGTCATCCATTGTCCCAACTTTCCAGTTTGTAAACAGAAGTAACCACTGTTTTAAGTGTGAAATGAAAGGCTAATCATTTTCCGTAGCGGACAGATTAAGGATGTTTAGTGATGCCACAATGGTCTGCAAAGCATGTGATACAATTTCATTATCTCCTGGGAATATGACACTTAATCACACCAAAGCAATATCTCCAGCAGAAGCTAGTTTTGCATCATTAACAAAGTGATTTATACAAGCGGATGTGTAGATGATGCCTTGGTGAACATGATGTGGGTTATCTCGGGACGTGGAGTATGTGAGCTATTCAGCATAAAGTGAGAGCAGCTGTACCTGATGTTCTCTTCTCGTTGTAGTTGATGATGTTGTAGTCACACTGTGATGTCTCTGCACACAGACACACCGCCACTGCTGGGGTATACGTGGCATTAAGTCCACCAGTCGCCAGAAACTGGAAGGTTTTCTGTGTCTTTGACAAGTCCATTGTTACATTCCATGTAAACTCACCACTTGTCTCATCTAGAATAGTATTAAATAAGCAATCTTAGATACAGGAGAAAACCCAAAAATGACATGATATATAGACACAATTGTTTTATGATTGGACAAATATTTTGATCACTATCTTTTCGCTTGATGTTAAATTGAAATAGAAGTTTATATCTGTGAATTATTTTACTGGATTTTGATTACATGAACAATGTAGTGATGTTACATTTTCAAATTTGATATAGAATGGCTGTGTTTTTCTGCTGGAGATTGAGTGAGTGAGTGAGTGAGTGAGTTGGGTATGATGGCATGCAATCCACCAAGTCCAACTAGAACATGATGACCACCTGATACAGCTGTGCCACCATCCATGAATAGCATTGGCTGCCTGGTACCTATTGTAATCAAAGTCCCCATTGATGGATGAATATTTCAGGTAATATCCTTGTCGAATGAATTCATGATCAACTCTTACTGTCAACCCGATAGTTTGTCTAGCTCAGATTGCAATAAATATGCTTGTAATACTGCTCACTCACACACTCACTCACGCTAAGGAATAATAAGTTTTATTACTGTAGGAGTATACAGCCCCGTCTTCAGATGTAATGACACTGTAGGTAGCGTCTAAGTCATTTGTTGCCTTGACAACCAGTGAATATTCTCCCTTTGTCACATTCCAAATTCGGGGTAACGCAGAAAACATGGGTGGTTTCATGTCTGAAACAAATCAAGAATCAGGACTATTTTTTCAGAGAAATGTTTTATGTTTGCTTCATGAAACAAGTTGAATTTAGATGTAAAATGCTTGACTTTGCCTGCTGCATCTTAGCACTTTGACAAAAAAATAACAAAAACAAGAACATTAATTCTCAGACCTCATATAAGAGAATGATAGAGAACACAAATTACTCTTACTGAGAGTGGTCTCGTGCTGTTTGATGTCCTCCATTTTACCCCTGAGTCCAGAAGCAGCACTGGCATCAGACAGGGCCTTGTAGGAGACAAGACAAGCAACATCGTCGCCGCAGGTGGTGTTGGCTGTGTCAATTGTAGTGGCATTGGAGCTGTAGAGGGCATCTCTGTACACGGTGAAGTTGGAGTAGGAGAGAGGGGTGATGGACTGTGCTGATATGGTGGAGAAGTTGCCAGTGGCTAGGCTGTAGTTGAATTTGGAGTCACCTTCAGTCATTACCTTGGCTGGAAGATAATGTGGGCATAACGTCTTAGTAAGGGATTTGACACCATAAATCAGCTTCACACATTGTACCAATGTGAGGAATCAAAGGAGGATATCACAAGCACCCTTCAACTAATAATAATAATAATAATCTACTTCTATAGCGCCGAGTTCCAGCTAGGCTGCTCACAGGCGCTTGTGCAGATAGTCTATTTCATTTCAAATAGATGTGTCTTTAAATGTTTTCGAAAAGTTGGTAGACTTGGGGCGGATTTTAGCGACATAGGGAGGTTGTTCCATAGCATGGGAGCTGCACATTCAAAGCAGCGGTCCCCGTATTTGGTCCTGGATGGTCTGGTGATAAGCAGATCTTTATCTTGTGATCTAAGAGTTCTTGTTGGTCTATGGTTGTTTAGAAGAGATGACAAGTAAGATGGAGCAGTGTTGGTCTTCAGGCACTTGTAGATAATGGTAAGCACCTTGAATTTTATGCGTCTGGCAACGGGTAGCCAATGCAGTTTCTCTTAACCTGGGGGTGATGTGGTCTCTTCGAGGACAACGAGTTATTATCCTGGCGGCTGTGTTTTGTATAACCTGGAGTCGATGAACCAGGGAAGCTGTTATCCCAAACAAAAGTGAATTGGCATAGTCAAGGCGAGATATGACTGTTGCTTGAGTGAGAGTTTTGGCGGTTTCATCTGAAAGATATCGTCTTAGTTTACCAATCTGATGAAGATGATAGTGAGAAGACTGGCACATTTGGGTGACCTGCTTGTTCATGGTCATGTGGGAGTCAAAACAACTCCTAGATTCTTCACTTGGGAAGAGGCAGGCACATTCACAGGTCCAATATTGACTGAGAATTCTGTCATACGTTCCTGTAAGTGCTTTGGCCCAGCAATGAATACTTCCGTTTTGTTGTCATTTAGTTTGAGAAAGTTAATTCTCATCCAAGTTCTGATGTCACTGATGCAGCTTTCCAGCTTCGTTATCTTGTCTTGAAGTGATACAATCCTGGAGGCGATACAGCTCTGGGTGTCATCTGCAAAGCACTGAAAGTCAATGCAGTGGTTCGGAAAACATCACCTAGTGGCAACATATAGATGGTAAACAAGAGTGGTCCAAGGACTGAACCCTGTGGAACGCCATATGATAACCACCTTTCTTCTGACACGGCCTCACCCACTTTCACTGACTGAGTTCTGTTTTTAGATATGACGCAAGCCACATCAATGCTGGTCGGTGATACCAACAGTCTTCTCAAGTCGAGACAGAAGGATACTGTGGTCTATTGTATCGAAGGCTGCTGACAGGTCTAGTAGAACAAGAAGTACTACTCTCTGATTGTCGAGATGAGAAAGGATGTCATTTTGCACACGAAGGAGTGCTGTTTCTGTACTGTGGTGTTCTCTATAGGCAGACTGGAACTCTTCCATCAGGTTGTTTTTCCAGATGTTCTTTGATTTGGATTGCTACAATCTTCTCAAGTACCTTTGATAGAAATGGTAGGTTAGACACCGGCCTATAATTTCTAATGTCATTTGGATCAAGTGAAGTTTTCTTGATAAGTGGACGAATAAGAGCCATTTTGAATGTGCTTGGTACTTCAGATGCAGCCAGCGATGTATTGAACATGGCCACTAACGTAGGTGAGATAGAGTCAATGCAGATTGTAAGATCCATGTTGGGATCGGATCTAATTCACATGACTTTGATGGACTCTTCTTTATTATGCGTGCTATCTCACTTTCTGATGTTGGTCTGATGGTACTAAGGCACTGTCCATTGAACTTTTATCTGGAGTTGTTATGTTCGGTTGGTTCTGTTGTAGGTCGACACGGATGTTCTCAATCTTGGTAGTGAAGAAATCAGCAAAACGATTCGCAAGATCCAGTTCACTGGTATGATTAGGCAGAATGTCTGTCTTTTATGTAACAGATTATTCAACTCTTTGAACAGAGCCTTCGGATTGGAAGAAGATTGAGCTATGCGGGAGTTAATATGTTGCGTACGAGTTTGAACTAGGAGGGCATTGTGTTTATCTCTGGCTGCCTTGTACATCTGACGATGTATTTCCAAGTGCGTTTTTCTCCAGAGTTTCTCAGCGTGTCTTTTCTCTCGCTTGGTAGCTCGAACTTCATCTGTATACCAGCTTGTATCAGGTCGAATGGTAACAACCCTTTTCTGTACAGGTGCATGTGCTTCAATCGTTTCTGAGAGAATTTGGTTGAACTCATTTGTTTGATCATAAATGGTCCCCGTTTGAACAACATCGTTTTCAGTAAAACGTTTTCGTAGGTCACAATTTAGACGATGTAGGTCAATATTTTTCGTTTTTCTGTATTTAATCATTTTTCTCATAGGGGCAGCTCTTGGGAGGTTAAGTTCACAAAATACTGAATAATGGTCAGAGATCATATGGTTTTTTCACAGTGACTGTTTTGACTGTCTGCTCAGCCTGTCTTGAGATGACTAAATCAAGAGCGTGGCCACTTCTATGGGTTGGTTCACTTATGTGCTGTTGAAGGTTTAGACTGTCCAATACTTCCTTGAAATTGCAAGCATCGGTACAATTCGGATCTTCCATGTGAATGTTGAAGTCTCCGACAATCATAAAATCATGACATAGAGACAATTTTGTCTCGGCGACAGACACGAATTCTTGCTGAAAATCCTTGTAAGTGGTCTGATTTTTACTTGACTTTGGGGGGCGGTAGATAACGGTAAGAGTTAGTGATTTCAATCCACCGGAGAATGTGGCTTCAACTACCTCCATCGTCGTGTATTTCTCCATATGATTTACCTTCACTGTATATGATTTTTTTGTGGATAATTGCGACGCCTCCTCCAGAACGCCGTGGTCGGTTAACGTTAATGATGTCATAATTAGATGGAAGTGTGTCCGTAATCACAGAGGTGTCCTTACATTTAAGCCATGTTTCGGCAATAGCGAGTATGTCGAGATTGTGGTCTAATATGTAATCATGAATAATAGTTGATTTGTTTCTCACAGACTGGGCATTGATCAAACAGAATGCAAAAGTTGGTTTCTTGCAATCTGGAGTATTCTTCTTTATTTTCCTCTTCTGTCCACCACGTGATCCCCTTTTGGTTACACATTTGGAATTTATCTTTAGTGAAGTAAGTTTTCTCCACACAGTTTCACTTTGTTTTGTCTCGCCTTGGATTGCTAATTCAATCAGTTGGCCCCTGGTGTAGTGAAGCCTGTCACTGCCCATTGTGTTGAAACAATACCTGGCTGTATTGTTGTCTTGATTGGTAAGCTCACTGACTAGCTTTCTTGATGACTGAATACCAATGAATGCATTTAAGCACACAAATATTATGCTCAAAATCCACATTCCTAGTCAATATTTCTTCTTGAAAATCTCCACAAACATTCCAACCCACCTTATGTCAATATGAGTCAAATTTTAGCTTTCCAGATAGTTGAATACTTGACTACAGGTAAAACCGGAACAGGCCCCGAAACGTATCAAAGAATAACAGAAGAAGAAATCCAGAAAATTCTTTATGTTCATCAAATAGCATCTTCTAAAATGCCAATCAAGCAACTTTGTCTACATGCTAATAAAACTGTTCATCATTTACTGGGGATTACCCACATACTATTCCTGGAACACAGCCCATTGAAACACATGTCCACGTTACTGTACACACACAATGTAATTAATGGTAGCTGCAGAAGACAGGGGATGGACGTCAATGTACACAACTATTGACTTGATGATGAAGTTGGGAACTTACCCGCATCAACTTTTTCCTGTGGGACAGCATCACTGGCCATGACAGACACAAGTCCAGAATTAAAGATGGCATTGTCAGTCTGGGGCGTGAACACTGACACGAGTAACTGACCACTGGCTGTCACCTGGAGAATACAGCGTGATTTACAGTCAAGGTCATACCGTTAACACTTATACATACACAGATCCCCAGGACCTCCATAAAGTTCTTTAAGTATACCAGGCATTAGGGCTGTGTATTGCCCCAAATTTCGTATTGCGATATATTGCGATACACTCTTCTGTATTGCAATACGTATTGCGATATATTGCGATACACTCTTCTGTATTGCAATACGTATTGCGATATATTGCGATATATTGCGATACACTCTTCTGTATTGCAATACGTATTGCGATATATTGCGATACACTCTTCTGTATTGCAATACGTATTGCGATATATTGCGATACACTCTTCTGTATTGCAATACGTATTGCGATATATTGCGATACACTCTTCTGTACATGCGATATATTGCGATACACTCTTCTGTATTGCGATACGTATTGCGATATATTGCGATACACTCTTCTGTATTGCGATACGTATTGAGATATATTGTGGAAGAACAGTTATTGAGATCTGTCCACTTGGTAATATTCTTTTACCTTCAGACTGAATCACAGTATATGCGAGTAACCACTGTGCATTGTATAGCTTCTTTCAAAGCAAAAAACCAGAACATTCTTCTGTTTATATTTTTATTTTAAAACAGCAGGGACCGACATTCACTAAACACTTTAACTAGTGCTCCGGGCTAGTGGATTTTGTGTGTCACTAGTCCTTTTCAAATATTACTAGCCCTACACTTTACTATAAAAAAATTCTTTTAATCATAACTGCTGTCCAAAGGAAAGTTAACGCAGATAGATGTATGATTTCTCATTTCACATATATGACAAATTAACTGAAACTAGCTTACACCATGTCCTCCATCAACCCACCCATACTATTTATATACTTTAACTTCTATAAACAGCAAAGGATGTTGAATTTCAAGTAATTTAAAGAGTTTGAGATATTGTGCACATCTGTATTACTCAAGAAAAATTTAATTGAAGTCACAATCATGTGACATGATCTTGAAGTGCACAATTTGATCAAAACAATAATTTATGCACCTATGTCTCTGAATAAAAGTATTATTAACATTACCTATTTCATGAATGACGTTTGGTACACTTTCTCATAAAGAAATTATTTATAAAGACTAAAGATGGGCAAAAGTGTCTCTGTATTAGGTAAAGTAAACTTTCTTTAGACTGAATAGAATAATGAAAAAATGAAACATAGCCTTATAATAAGATAGAAGCCTACATTTGTCAAGGAAAATATCAGCTCGTGAAACATTATTGCTACTACAATAATTTAGGTCTAATCCAACTGTTGATAAATACCAAAGGTATTTTCAACATATTATTCAAATAATACAACTTCAACTTAAAAAGTTTATTTCTAATAAAAATAAAAGTTTACACACATATAATGTCCAGATAAACCACAAAGGAGATGAAAACTCCTGCTATTTTAATCCATTTGTAAGATGTCATAATATCCTCTTACCTATTTCTTTTATATTTTCATTTTTACTTAATCAGAAAATTATTATAAAAAGATTAATTAAATAATATGTATCGTTGCCTATTTCCCGATACGTGAATAAATCGAGTCTGGACCAGACAATCCAGTGATCAACAGCATGAGCATCGATCTGCGCAATTTGGAACCGATGGCATGTGTCAACCAAGTCAGTGAGCCTGACCACCCAATCCCGTTAGTCACCTCTTACGACAAGCATACGTTACTGAAGATCAATTCTAACCTGGATCTTCATGGGTCGTATATTGAAAGGACGTATATTTATCTTTGGTTATGTAAGACTCTTGGAGAGAAAACACTCATAAGAGAAGATAAGTGAAGAAATATTTTCTTGACAAATACTAGTATCAAAATGAATTTAAGTAAACTTGATTTGAAATGAGAATCCCAGACCACCACAATGTCAGTCACTTACCTGGACATACTGGCCATATCGGAAAATGATAGTGTTTCCGTCCAGCATAAAGTCCTCCATCTTATCGCCATTCTGAAGCATGACACCCTGATGGTAGAACTCCACTGAGTTCTTATCAGCTCCGAGCATGGCCTCCACAGTAACATGATTCACCTGAAATAATGGATGCATTATCAGCATATTGTTACATAAAGTCAAGTAAAGTAAATATCTGTTTACAGAGTGAGATGGGTTTAATGCAGCTCTAAGCAACACTCCAGTTCTATCATCGCCAAATGGTACAGGTTTCACACATATACCACTTGGTGGAACCAGCGAGCTAGGGCATCGTGCTGACAGACCAAGGATCATCATGAGCAGGAATGTGGAGGCTCACTCGGATCTGTGTGTTCCTGTACAGGTGACAGTTGCAGTGTGTTCTTGTACAGGTGTTCTTGTACAGGTGACATGTACAATATGTTCTTGTACAGGTGACAGTTGCAGTGTGTTCTTGTACAGGTGGCATGTACAATATGTTCTTGTACAGGTGGCATGTACAATGTGTTCTTGTACAGGTGGCATGTACAATATGTTCTTGTACAGGTGGCATGTACAATATGTTCTTGTACAGGTGGCATGTACAATATGTTCTTGTACAGGTGACAGATGCAGTGTGTTCTTGTACAGGTGGCATGTACAATATGTTCTTGTACAGGTGGCATGTACAATATGTTCTTGTACAGGTGGCATGTACAATATGTTCTTGTACAGGTGACAGTTGCAGTGTGTTCTTGTACAGGTGGCATGTACAATATGTTCTTGTACAGGTGGCATGTACAATATGTTCTTGTACAGGTGGCATGTACAATATGTTCTTGTACAGGTGGCATGTACAATATGTTCTTGTACAGGTGGCATGTACAATGTGTTCTTGTACAGGTGGCATGTACAATATGTTCTTGTACAGGTGACAGTTGCAGTGTGTTCTTGTACAGGTGGCATGTACAATATGTTCTTGTACAGGTGGCATGTGCAATATGTTCTTGTACAGGTGGCATGTACAATATGTTCTTGTACAGGTGACAGTTGCAGTGTGTTCTTGTACAGGGTGTACAATATGTTCTTGTACAGGTGGCATGTATGTTCTTGTACAGGTGGCATGTACAATGTACAGGTGGCATGTACAATATGTTCTTTACAGGTGACAGTGGCATGTACAGGTGACATGTATGACAGTGTGTTCTTGTACAGGTGACAGTTGTACAGTGTGTTCTTGTACAGGTGGCATGTACAATATGTTCTTATTACAGGTGGCATGTACAATATGTTCTTTACAGGTGACAGGTGTTTACTTTACAGGTGTTGCAATGTGTGTTACAGGTGTGTTGTGTTCTTGTACAGGTGACAGGTGCAATGTATTCTTTTACAGGTGACATGTACAATGTATTACTCTACAGGTGGCAGGTGCAATGTGTTACTTTGCAGGTGACATGTGCAATGTGTTAATTTTCAGGTGACATGTGCAATGTGTTACTTTACAGGTGACATGTGCAATGTGTTACTTTACCTGGTGACAGGTGCAATGTGTTACTTTACAGGTGACATGTGTAATGTATTACTTTACAGGTGACATGTGCAGTGTGTTACTTTACAGGTGACATTTGCAATGTGTTACTTTGCAGGTGACATGCTATTATATGATATTTATATAGCGCACATATCCAGGCAACTAGTGCTTGCTCAAGGTGCTGGTTACATGATAATTCAAGTATTATAATTCTTATTTGGAGGGGTGTTAAACAGTGCTTCAGCCAGAATTTTGTTGAGTGTTGCCAATTGGCACTTTAACTACTAAAATGTGTGCCAATGTAGTTGAGACTTTTTGCCATTCATGGTAACCATGGTATAGAAGACCTGAGGATTATATTAAATGTTGAGCCAATGGGTATGCTCTAGCATTGTAAAAAAGTGCCACTGCATATTTTTTAGTGTCAATGGCGCAATGGCGCTTGCCTGGCTGAAGCACTGGTTAAAGCAATCTCACTTCCAACTAAATATCACAAAATACAATAGACTTGTATTACCTCAATAGCAACGGCAGTGAGGACCGTGACGTTGATGTTGTCAGCTACTCTCTGCAGCCTCCCCTGTATCACAGGTCCGCTGCAACCAAGAACATAACAAGTTGTCATCATGCTGTATGTCATTCACTACTGATGAGCACAATTGCAGCAGTCATTATAACCAAATGTTTTCTTCATCAGTCAATGTATTTCGGCTATGTGTAAAAATATTAATAAATATATCTTTTACTGTCCACATAAACAAATCCAGAAAGAGTTTACCTGTAGGTTCTGAAAAGAGAGCGGTGAACAAGTAAATTTGCACTGTATGCAATAAACACATTTTAGACTTTTCCCATGTTTGTTTGTTTCTGTTGGGTTTTTTGCTATGGTCAATGGAATCCATAAATCAGTTGTTTAAAGAAGATCTTGTATAATATTCAGGTACATGCTTACCTGCTGCTGCCAAACAGGACATACTCCCCTATGCCATTGAAAATGTATGGAGTTCCAGCGGACACCTTGGACACAGGACTTCCCCAATAGTAACCTGAAGAAGAAACACCACTAATGTTCATGTGTAAAATACACACCTTATTCTCCAACAGACACAGCTGTATACGGGGCTTTGCATACCATCTTGGATATTTCCAAAGCTGGACATTGCTGTGAACACAACACCGGGAATTGTATGCCAATAAGAGCACATAATACCAGGAATTGTATGCCAATATGAGCACATAACACCAGACATTGTATGCCAATAAGAGCACATAATACCAGGCATTGTATGCCAATAAGAGCACATAACACCAGACATTGTATGCCAATAAGTATAACACCAAACATAACATAACACCAGACATTGTATGCCCAATAAGAGCACATAACACCAGACATTGTATGCCATATGAGCACATAACACCAGACATTGTATGCCAATAAGAGCACATAACACCAGACATTGTATGCCAATAAGAGCACATAACACCAGACATTGTATGCCAATAAGAGCACATAACACCAGACATTGTATGCCAATAAGAGCACATAACACCAGACATTGTATGCCAATAAGAGCACATAACACCAGACATTGTATGCCAATAAGAGCACATAACACCAGACATTGTATGCCAATAAGAGCACATAACAACAGACATTGTATGCCAAGACAGCACATAACACCAGACATAACACCAGCCATAACACCAGACATTGTATGCCAATAAAAGCACATAACACCAGACATTGTATGCCAATAAAAGCCCATAACACCAGACATTGTATGCCCAAGGAAAGATTGGCCACCAGACATTGTAGTAATGGTCAGCAGTCTGATCAGTCACGCCACACAGTATACAAGTTCCTATTTCCAGCAGTACTTGTCCACAGTAGTTTCTATGAAGAACACTCACCTGAAGTCACAATGGTGTTGTTTGCACAGGTGTCAGAGGGGTACTGTGCATAGAAGACTTTACACAAAGCGCTGTTGCTGCTACAGCAGACGCTGTTGACAGCATCAACTTGGCTGGCTACTGATGTGTTGCTGCCCCTTAGATAACCTGCTCCTTTCTCATTGGACAGAAGAGTTCCGTAAACTCTGAAAAGATGTTAAACAGGTGAGTCAGGACCAGGCAGTGGCTGGAAGCAATATTCCCATGCATCCATCGCGTAAATATATTGCTGTGTTTTTTACCTACTGCGGCTTCAAGCAATAATCCAGCAATGTCTATATAGTATCAGTCGGTGTATGCAACTGGGATATGGTGACATGCATCTTCCATGTCTGAGAACCTGACCATCCATTCCTGTTTGTTGTCTTTAACAACTAGAAGAAGTTGCTGAATACCATTTTCTTATCTTCAGAAGGTCTGCATGCAATCACATACTTAGGCCTGCTCATACATTGTAATTGCCTGAGCCGAAGTCTGAACCTCGACCTGAGCCTGATCTTTAACGTAACCTGAACCTAAGTTTGAGCCTAAGCTTAGGCCTGAGTCTGTGCCTGAACCTGACCTGAGCCTGTGCTTTAACCTGACTTAAACATGAGTCTGAGCCTGTTTAAGCCTGAGCCTGTGCTTGAACCTGACTTAAACATGAGTCTGAGCCTGTTTAAGCCTGAGTCTGTGCTTGAACCTGACTTAAACATGAGTCTGAGCCTGTTTAAGCCTGAGCCTGTGCTTGAACCTGACTTAAACATGAGTCTGAGCCTAAGCTAATCATTCACTAAAACACATAATTACTTACGGGTCATATTTGCATGTTCCTCTTTCAGGGTCGAACCTCAGAATGGCACAGTCCTCCGTGGTATTATACATGAACCATTTGTCAAGCAGTGCCTGTTTCCTTGTACAGGGGCACCTGTTTCTGTAATATGCACTGGCAGAATCTGGTTGAGGTATTTCTGCTAACCGGTCCAGACATTTGTAGTTTTCATTAGCAGGTAAAGTACTGCTATTACTGAACATCTTGTAGGCCTCAAGACTACGACTTCCTGAAATAGAAATATAGTCCATTGTATGAAACCAATATTTTCAAGCCATTTAATCCTGTGGGAATTATGACATTTCTGCTACAGACACCATGCCTTCCTGATCAGACAAAATCCTAATCAATGAGTTTGTGAAAAGTTATTATTTTCTATGGTTAAAGGTGTTAGACAAAAAACATGAACTGTTTAGGATTCTGTCATCATACGCTCATGCTTTCCACCACTGGTTTAGTAATGTCGGGACTAGCATCCCGCTGAGAGGACCATAAAACAACACTCACCAACTCCCCAAACAAACTACTCATACTGGGCTAAACAGGAAATATTCACTTACACACAGCAACTATGAATGAAACACTCACACACATTGACCATGCATGAATCACTTACACACAGTGAATATACTTGAATCATTCATACACACATCGACCATGCATGAATCACTTACACACAGTGACTATACTTGAATCATTTATACACACATTGACCATGCATGAATCACTTACACACAGTGACTATACTTGAATCATTCATACACACATCGACCATGCATGAATCACTTACACACAGTGACTATACTTGGATCATTTATACACACATTGACCATGCATGAATCACTTACACACAGTGACTATACTTGAATCATTTATACACACACTGACCATGCATGAATCGCTAACACACAGTGACTATCCTTGGATCATTTATACACACATTGACCATGCATGAATCACACACACACCACGGACTATACATGAATCACTCACACACTCCAACTATACATGAATCACTCACACATACAGACTATACATGAATCACTCACACATACAGACTATACATGAATCACTCACACATGGACTATACATGAATCACTCACACACACGGACTATACATGAATCACTCACACACACGGACTATACATGAATCACACACACACGGACTATACATGAATCACTCACACATACAAACTATACATGAAACACTCACACATCCGGACTATACATGAATCACACACACACACACGGACTATACATGAATCACTCACACACCGGAGTATGCATGAATCACTCACACATACAGACTTTACATGAAACACTCACACATACAGACTATACATGAATCACTCACACATACAGACTATACATGAATCACTCATGCACACCAACTATACATGAATCACTCACACATACGGACTATACATGAACCACTCACACACACCAACTATACATGAATCACACAAACACACGGACTATACATGAATCACTCACACATACGGACTATACATGAATCACTCACACACACCAACTATACATGAATCACTCACACATACAGACTATACACGATCATCACTACACACATACAGACTATACACATGAACGAATCACTCACACATACGGACTATACATGAACCACTCACACACACCAACTATACATGAATCACACAAACACACAGACTATTAAAAATTACATTAATCACTCACACACTCCAACTATACATGAATCACTCACACATACAGACTATACATGAATCACTCACACATACGGACTATACATGAATCACTCACACACACGGACTATACATGAATCACTCACACACACGGACTATACATGAATCACACACACATACGGACTATACATGAATCACTCACACACACCAACTATACATGAATCACTCACACATACAGACTATACATGAATCACTCACACATACGGACTATACATGAATCACTCACACATACGGACTATACATGAATCACACACACACACGGACTATACATGAATAATTCACACACACGGACTATACATCAGGGGTGGAAAGAACGTAAAATTGCTAGTGTACTCCGGTACAGTGGCACATGTAAAATCACTTGCCCTGATAATTTTTCCACTATACCGACTGTTTTCTTGTTGATTTTTTAAATAAACAACATAATTAACATTGGAAAGTCAACTGGACACCGGTACAGTGTGATATACAAATTTGCTTGCCCGACAGAAAAAACAACTGGATGCCGAAGTGGGGCAATGGGTTATTTCCATCCCTGTTACATGAATCTCAAACACACACCGCCTATACATGAATCACTCACTCATAACTTGATATGTCTCTCTCACTGACACAGCCAGATCCTCTTTCCACTCAATAAAGCAGCTGAATATTACCTTTGGCAACAGCACCGAGGACTGAAGCTCCTGACTGTGTGCTGTAACCTCTAGATATCACCAGCGCGGAGTTGTCTGCCAAGTTGAGTTGATCGTACACAAACAATGCAAAGGTCTTCTGTCCATCAGTGGCCAGGACTACTTGGAAAGTCACATTCTGAAATGAAGGTCAATCTTGACTGGTTCCCGTGGAACTCAAAACGATGTTGGTTAGACAGACACCAGTGTGTAATTATACATTCTTGAGAAATTACTTTCAGACCGTGAATACACAATGCCATTTAGAAAGGGGTCAATTGCAAGAAATTGGACATACTCTAACCTTTGTTTAGCATTAGCATGAAGAAAGATCTGATTTTACAGATACTTATTCCAAGATAATTTAAATTTCTTTGAAATGGTTTGAACAAAACGTTGAATCGTATAAAAAACACTGGAACACAAACACGTTTTAATTGCAAAGAGAGGGATTGTGTATGCACTGGTGATGTGCTTCCTTCAGAACCACTTTAAAGATTGTTATGATGATGCTGTGAGAAATTGTTGCGGCTAGCTTAAGCAACACATGCAAAATAAAATGATAATAAAACTGTTGATGGCAAAAAGCATGGTGTGGAGGTGCAGATGGAAACAGATAGCATGGTTTTAGATGGAAAGGCATATGTGTAAGAGAGAAAAACTTTCTATAAATCAGCATTGCTATTTGAAGGCATATGCAGGTCTCCTTCTCCAGGGGGGACTTTATAGATGTTGACATATGGTAATCAATGACTGTTGTGACCTTACCTCAAATCCCTTGTATTGATCAGCCGGGTAGGGAATAACATCCATCCAAGTAGCCACCAAGGCATATTCTACTGAGATATTCTCAGTTAAGTTTTTATTCAACACTTGATGTATTCTGTTCAATGTGTTGTTGTCATCTTGCTGATTCTTCATATATTCAGTGACATACAGGGCAGCTCCTTCTGCAGGAATGTCCCAGTGTGACCAATATGGCGCCACCACACCTGAAGGCCAGTCGCTGGCGTTAAGAGCAGGGTTTTTTAAAGTCCTGTATTGATCAAGGAGGATATAGCCGTCTCGACTCACCTGAAATAAAGTGAACGAGTTCTTACATTTATTAACATATAATCTAAATCTTTAACAAGTTGATATATTCTACAAATCTGACATAAAGCCAATGAGTTTGAGCTCCTTATTTCTAATACATAATCTAAACCTCTAACAAGTTGATATATTCTTCCAACACTCCCAAAATATGCGTCAGAGGGATTGTATGTTAACAATATCCAAACCTGCACGACAATTTGGGATATAAAACTAGCTTCCAAGGGTGAAGTCACTGGGTAGGTGTGACCTGATCTCTCCTTGATAGCTAACTTGCTTTGCCATGAGGTAAAAATGTAATTTCAATAGTCCCTATTTCCATAGTTTGGTATTTTCATATACTCCTATATACTCATATATGTACAGAACCGTAACATAAATTCGTGGATAACCTTGATTCGTGGATTGCGGAAATTATTATGTTTGGTCATAAATTAAGTCTCGACTGACGTCACAAAGCGGTACTTTTGCTGTACATACAATGCCACGCCTCGCTGACAAAAAAGTTCTGAATCTCTGCATTACACGCAAGTACACTAAATGTAATTGTCCAGCAATGAGATAAATAGCCCCAGATCACTAATACCACCATTGCCAAATTTTATGTTTACAAAATGTCAAGTAAAAAAGATACCGTTAGCTCCAACCTTCTCACTTCTCGTTGTCTGCTTTCCTTGGTGTCAATACTTACTGCAGTGGGATGTCGTACACAGTGGTATAAAGTAACCGACTACGTAATCCACGAAACAAGGTGACGTCACATTTTGTGGGCACATGAATGGGTGATGATTGCAAATGGCTGCCGTAAACAAACGTTTCATTCACGAGTGGAATATTAGGCATTTTCAATTTGCTGAATCAATGAATATAATAATCAGTGCGTATACAAAATGAAATCATGCATTAAAAAAATGAATTCCGCCACACTTCCCTTATATCCACGAATCAAGGTTACGCGAGTGTATATAACGTACTCAGGTGGTAACAGAATATCTCCATCTATAGACAAGTATGATGAAGAGTTGAAACTATTTGAAAGTGTCCTCCATCCTGTTCATAACAATTAATCAAATATGAAATTAATGATCACTGAGAAACAATAATGATGAACGTGATTATATTCTTGCTTTGACATGTCTGTTAGCAGACCTCAGATTATTTGACATGTCATATTCACACAAATCAGTATTTTGAAAACAGATATATTTTCAAGCAATGTCTTACATAGATAGCAAAATAGGTCTTCCCAAAGTATGGCAGTCCTCCTGGAGCAAAGTAGGGTCCATAGATCTCGCGATCACCACTCACACCGTTACTGTTATCAAACAACAAGGTTTCTGCAACAAAGGATGAGTGAGTGAGTTTAATTTTACTCTGCTTTTAGCAGAATTCCAGCAATCCCACAGCGGGGGACACAAGAAATAGGCTTCACACATTATACCCATGGGGGAATCGAACCCAGGCCTTCGGCCTGACAAGTGAAGTGAACGCTTTAAACACTAGGCTACCCCGCCACCCTGCAACAGAGGATGAATCTACTTTGTGAAAACAAGGTCTGATTGTCATAGTTACCACACTCTGTCCGGTGGTGTAGAATTCCACAGATTCCAGCCGATGTGACTGATCATCTGACCATCATGCTAGGTGGCGAGTATGTTGTTTAAAAACATTACTTGTTTTTGTTGTTTTTTTGAGACAAGGTCAGGACTATGAAAAAAGTGAAGAAAATTGGCCACTTCTACTAGGTAGAACTTTAAGGTTCCAAAAATATAGAATTAAATCAGTTTATCATAATCCTAAAGGTTAAAAATAATTATAACAGTTGAGTTAAATACTTACATCACAAACAAAGAGGTACATTCGCAACAATGTGCTAGGTCAGCCCATCATAGCGTCCTATCACCGTCTCCCGGGGCAACTGACTAACTCAATGTCGGTTTGTTTTTGTTAAATACCATACTCAGCAATATTCACAGTTTATAAATAATTAAGTCTGGACAACCAGTGACTGAAACTGTGAGCATCATTCAGTGCAACTGGGGACTGCCTCCGTGGTGTAGTGGTTAGAGCGTCCGCCCGGAGAGCAGAAGGTCGCAGGTTCGATCCCGACGGCGTCATACCAAAAGACGTTAAAATATGGTACTTGTTGGTCCCTACCTGGCGCTCGGCATTAATGGGTACAACAAGGACTGGTCGGCCTGGAGTCAGTATAATGTGTCTGAATAGGGTATTCATGCTTCACTGCGGCATGGTATCTCAGTGAGCTAGCACTATAAAACCAGCTTCAGTCTGGGCTAGTACAAGCAGCCACACATACACATACACACGCATGCACGTCGTCATATGAGCGAAATATTCTCAAGCACGACTTTAAACCCAATTTCACCTCACCTCACCTCACCTCACCTCACCTCACCTCACCTCAGTGCAACTGGGATACAATGGCATGCAGCAACCAAGTCACTGGGCCCGTGTTGTCAGTCACACTAGTCATGATAGCATCATGTGGGTAACGAGTCATTCCATAGTTCATTGAAAGTAATGCCAAAGTACTTACTTTTCTACCTGATATGAGAGATTATGAACAGTCAAAATCCTCTACGCACAAATGATACTTTCATAGAATGTTCTCAAAAGTTCCAAGTCATTTCAATATTAAAATATTAAAACCCTTCCCTTGTTGAATGGAGTACTCAACATATCCAGTTAAACATGTGACATTCAAATAATAATAATAATAATGGCTATAAATAAAGTTACTGGGTTGTCCAAGTTGAATTATTTCAATATTAAAATATTAAACCCCTTCCCTTGTAAGAACAGAGTACCTAACATATCAAGTTAAACTTGTGACATTCAAATAATAATAATAATAATGGCTATAAATAAAGTTACTGGGTTGTCCAAGTTGAATTATTTCAATATTAAAATATTAAACCCCTTCCCTTGTAAGAACAGAGTACCTAACATATCAAGTTAAACTTGTAACATTCAAATAATAATAATAATAATGGCTATAAATAAAGTTACTGGGTTGTCCAAGTTGAATTATTTCAACATTAAAATATTAAACCCCTTCCCTTGTAAGAACAGAGTACCTAACATATCAAGTTAAACATGTGACATTCAAATAATAATAAAAATGGCTATTGATAAAGTGCCTGTATCCACGCCTTTGTGCATGCTCAAGACATTAACACATTATTACCCTTGACAACCCAAGCTGCCTGCGAGGCACTACAAGGTTAACAGTCACTTGACATCCCAACGGGTACCCATTCACTGATGGGTGAGCAGAGGCAATTTTTGAACAAACTCATTTGTCTAAGGTGAGATCATGTCTATCACGTGTGCTTTATTGTGGGGCATGACTAAAGTCCTAGAAACTCTAAGGAGTCAAGCTGCCAAACACTGTCACCCCTCCAAGGACTTTCCGTGACCAACGCTACTTAACTTCAACTGATTTGTGACCTGGTCTCTATGCACAGGACCACACAGCAACTTTCTCACTGCAAGGAGACAAGTCTTACCAATACAGCCTTTCCCTCTCAGCTCGTATCCGGGTTTGCATGAACATGCGTATGAGCCGTTGTTGTTCTTGCAGATCTCGCTGGTGCTATTACACTTTTTCTCCTTATCCGTACATTCGTCGATGTCTGTTAGTGGGGCACCCCAGGTGGAAAGAGAAATAACAACATTTACAGTAGTATCTAGACTCATGAACAGCACTATATAGTGAGGTAAAATTTATACAAACCTGTAGAGGTTATGAATTCTTTGAAGAAAGTCCTCCTTGGGGTACTTATAAGCATTAAAATGTCCATTTTGAAACCTACGACAGTTGTAACTATATTTCAATAAAAAATATTTACAAAACGAAAAAACACGTTCTGCGTTATGAGACCACCCCTACAGGGCCCCAGCCGTCTCCCTACCGGCAAGAGCAGGTAACTTTAGCCGACAACCTCGCACCTCACTTTTCATGCTGAGCGGATCAGACAGAATGAGGGGAGGCGGGTGCCCGATACCCAAGGAGGACTTTCTTCAAAGAATTCATAACCTCTACAGGTTTGTATAATTCTTTTCAGAAGAAGTCCTCCTTGGGGTACTTATAAGCATAAAACAGACTCCCAAAGATCAGAAAACTGGGAGTGGCATTCTGTCTGACACACTGGTCGAGCGCAGTAGCGTTAGTACAGCCGTATGAAAATAGAAATCACACTTACCCAGTCATGTGTCCGCCAATGTCAATCAAAGTGACTAAAGGCGAGGACCCTGGGAGGTCAAAGCTTAGTGCCCATTGGTCAATCGGTACACACCCCAAGATAAAACTCCGCCTCCCATCCTGATTGGTGGAAGTGAGTAAAAACTAGGGACTTCGCCAAAACAAACTACTGTCCATAGCACACAGCCTAAAGCGGGGAAAATGGAAAATATAAGCCAAAGGCACCGATACCAAAGAGCGGAAATAAAAACTGCCACCACATACCTTCACCAGTGCAAAATAGGGAGAATAGACCCAACACCAGTATAAAACACTGAGTAAATCAGCGACAAGGCTCACTTTCGGCCTGGTGTTACTCTGTCCACTGTGGAGAATCGTTTGGCCAAACCGAACTTGCAGCTCGCGCGAATATTTGTCCAGCTGATAATGGCGAATGAGCGTACTTTCGGTCCTAATAGCGCAGAGCAGATCTCCTCAATGGGCAGAGCAGCAGCATGCGCTTTAGGCGTGGCAACTGCTCGAACCGAATGAGCCTTTAAACCCTCTGGGGAGTCATACCCTTGTGTATGTAACCCATACAAATGCGCCGACACGATCCACCTCGATATGGTCTGTGTGGTAACTGGGTGACCTACTTTACGCCCCGTAACAGCAGAATAACTGCTTCTCTTCACGGATTGACATTGTTCTCTTGACATACGTCTTAAGTGTCTTCACATTACATCCAACACATGTACTGGCGGCTACGCTACCAGACGAAGCAGGAAGCGTAAAGGCAGGCAAATCAATAGGGCGGTGACATGAAGCGCTTTATCGATTTTTAGGCGGTAGGAATCAGGTAAAGCGAATACTTACCCTATCCTTGTGAAAAACGGTAAGCTCCGGGTCTGAGGACATAGCATGAATGTCTCCCACCCGTCTACCTGAAGTAATGGCCACCAAAAATGCCGCTTTCCAACTTAACAGTTGAAGCGACAATCCCGACATATCGTAGAAGAAAGGACTAGATAGCCAATCTAAAGCGATGGACAGATCCATGGCGGACTTGTCCGTTGGACGACGGGCGCACTCTGTCCACACCTGCTAAGCGCTGAACCAGAGGGTGTTGTCCTAAAAGGGCACCCTCGGTAGGAATGTGGAAAGCTGAAATAGCTGTGGAGTAGCCTCGGATAGTAGGCGAGGCTAGGCGACTTCCAACCGAGACTGTAAAAACTCCAAAAGCCGACTACAGTCGAAGAAAAGGGATCAAGTATCCCTCTGTTTCCACACCAGCGGCGCATAACAGGCCCATCTATCCTCATACTGTAAGTTAGTGAATCCCTCAGCGAAGCCAGAATTGTGTCTGCAACTGGTGCAGGAATTCCACTCGCCGCGAGGCGACTCCTGACAGTGGCCAAAGCCACCCACTGGATCCATGGATCCGGGTGTGGCTGGCCTTCCTTGAATAGGAGGTCCGGTCGCATCGGTAATAGCACAGGAGGCTGTACTAGCGATCTGAGTATTACCGGGAACCAGCATTGAGGCGACCACAGAGGTGCAAGAAGCACAAGTAGTCGCTGGTTGGGTGGCTAGCTGCGATAGGACTCTGGGAATCAGGGGTATCGGTGGGAAAGCCCACAGCACCCTGTCCGTCCAATCTAGCTGGAAGGCGTCGGGCGATGGCTCCCGGATCCGGGATCCTGGAGCAAAACACCGAGTCTGGTTCGTCACCCCAGAGGCAAACAGATCCACCTGGAGCGACCCGAACAACTGGGAGATAGCCCCGAATATCTCCCGGTCGGTAACCACTTCGTGAGGGGCCAGGATACGGCGTGAGAGTGCATCTGCACGCACGCGTTGTCCCTCCCGGGAGATACACAGGTAATACCCGTGTGTTGAACCCGGTCGCACCACAGCAGAAACTGCCACGCCTCCTGGAGGGTGGCGGAGACACCGATACCGCCCTGCTTCAGGATATAGGACATCGCCGTTTGATTGTCCATTTCTAGGCGAACCACACGGTTCGAACCTGCTCCATGAAGCGTTGAACACCAGTCGGACCGCTCTCAATTCTAACACGTTGATGTGTAAAGGTCGCCTCGTTCACGGACCAAAGTCCGGAAGCTGTGAGTCCCCTAGGACACCCCCACCCTGTGAAGGGAGGTGTCCGTCTGAATTGTGGCGTAGGCACGGGGTCTCCAGTGGGATACCCTGACTAGATTCGGTGTCGGTCCACCACCTCAGGTGGGAGAAGCCACTCTGGAGTTAGGAGAATTGTCACCGTAACTCCCCGAGTGTGACCACAGCTGTGCTAACGCTTGCTGAACTGGCGCATCCTCAGGCAGCGACGCCAAACTTCGTCCACCGTCGCCGCCATGTTGCCTAGCAACTGAAGCCATGTGAGTGCCCTGGGGGACTGAAGGAATTGTAAAACAACCCTTTGGACTTTGGAAATGCGGTCTTGAGACAGAGAAACTAAGCCCTGCTGTGTCTCGAATCTCGGCCCCAAGAAAACCAGATCCTGGGATGGAACCAGCTCGGATTTCTTAAGGTTGATGACCCAACCCAACCTGGTGAGAATATCCATCACCGTCTGTGTGGATTCCCGACTCAAGTGAGTGGAAAGCGCCCTGAGCAGCCAGTCGTCCAGGTACAGGTAACAAAAGTTGCCCTGTGCCCTGGCGACTTGAGCTGGCACTAGCATGAGTTTTGTGAACACCCTTGGCCGTGGAGATGATGCGAAGGAGCACCACGAAACTGATATCACCTCCCGTCGAAGGAAAACCGGAGGTATTTCCTGAACTCGGGGTGCATTGGTACATGAAGGTACGCGTCCTTGAGGTCGATTGACGTAAGCCAAACCCCTGCCTCCACAGATGAGATCACCAACCGCAGTGTCTCCATCTTGAAGGACGGTACCTCTAGCAAACTGTTCAGACCCTTTAAATTGAGAATGGGTCTGAACCCTCCGTCCTTCTTGGTAACCAGGAAATAGTAAACCCCTAGATTTTCCTGGCCCGTCGGAACCACCTCGATGGCTGCCTTGTCCAGCAACGCCTGGACCTCAGCACGGAGAACATCGGCCTTTTCCGGGGAGTTCGGCACTGGCGTGCAACGAATCCCGGAGAAAGGAGGAGGGCCTCGCTTCCACTGTGGCATATGACCATCCCTGAGTGTGGACAAGACCCAGGGATTTGATGTGACTTTCTCCCATTCCCGAAGGAAGAGAGGTAGCCGGCCGCCGACAGGGACTTCGGGTAAGAGGCAGTGAATCCCGGCAGTCGGCAGTGTAACAACCGCTTGTGCCGGGACCAACAAGGGCTCCGGAGGAATGCTTACTGGGAAGCCGGGGCCGACTTCCCCTTCCTCTGAAAATGCTGCTGAGAGGAGGCAGCCTTGCCCCTACCTCTACCCCTACCCTTGCCTCTACGTGCCTGAAGTGGAGCCGTCCACTTGGGCGCTTCCTTTCCTGAAGAGGAAGGGTAAGCTGAGGCAAGGACGGAAGGCCGGGCGCGAGCAGTGAGGGGTTGCTCGAGTAAGGGCTTTGAGTCCTTAAACTGGCTAACCGCCTCCGCGGCCTCCCTGACCACTGTCAATGCCCCCGGGAACAGGGTTGAGCCCATCCTGAACGGCAGAGACAACAGCGCCTGCTGTGTAGCCGGTGAATATCTGGCCACAGACAGCCACAACCGACGGAGGCCCATAACCGCAGACATCATCTGGCTAGCGCACGACCGAATGGCGTCGGCGTGCGTGCCAGATGTGAAATGCACCACCTGAGCTGCCTCGCTTAACGTGGACAACGGCTGGCGTCGTCGCCCTCGCCTCCTGGTCCACCAGCTTCCTCTGCAGGGCCGCAGAGGTATGCTGAGTGGACGGAAACCTAAGTTGTTGAACGGCGTTACGGTATTGTTCTTCAAAGGAGCGATATACCGATTTCAACACCTGGTTGTTGGAAGTAAACGGAGGCGAACGCCAACCCTGACGAGCCGACGCGTGGCTATGGCCAGATGACCCCCCCAGGGCGACTGAGGCATAAATGCACTCATCTACCACCGGGGGGTCATAAAGAGCCCCCTCTCCCAACAGTTAGCGCCGGTTCAGCTCCGGGAGATCGAGGCGTGACCTGCCACCTGAGAGGAGAGGGTTAATAACCTCACTGATCAGTGAAGGTAAAATACGCAAGTGGGCCTCGGCGACCCGACACGGAGCAAACGCCTCCCCCGGGAGACGAAACTCCGCGGGTTCGGGGTCGTCTGACGGCACGACCACCTGCGGCAAAATGGAAGCAATGCGTTCCCTTACTTGCCGCAGGGACGGACCAAGCGCGAAGGAACCTTCCCCCGGCGTCTCATGCCCCCCGTCCTCATCCATGGCTTCCTCCTCCCGCTCCCCCGGCAGCGAACTCTCGGTATCCAGAGTCGCCTCCGAGAGCACGGAAGTCGGTTCCACAGACAAAGATAGGGGAGCCATAAGAGCTAAGGCGCCTGGCCTGACCGACCCTAGGCTCGAGGATGAGCCAGGTTGCCGAGGACCCAGGGAAGAGCCTGCCGAAACAGGATTCCCCGAAGTAACGTAAGGCCCCGAGTCGACCGGTAGCACCGGCGCTCGGGAAATCCCCGCTTGTGAGCTGGTGGCCAACGGTACGTGACCCGTATCCACAGCGCTGCTTACGCGCTGCGCTGAACCGAGCCGGCTCAGGCCAGCCACAGGCGCGCCAGCAGAGGGTCACCAGAGCCAAGGCTCAAGGCAACGACCCCTCGGGGGTAGAACCCGATCCCGGACCGTAGCCCAGGCAGGAACCCCAGACAGGCGACCTCGGGCGCCGCTAACTCCCCGAGCGGAAGCCGATCTCCTCCACGGAGACCGGACATCGCCAGCGTCGTGATCAGCGAAGCGAACCGAAGTCATCTGTTGCTGCAATATGGAATTTAAATTATTAATACAGAGGGTGCAGAATCTGAATGAGTGGAAGTGGAGGGATAGGGGAAGAAGGTTTATCCGCCGTCTTGGCCCGCTTACCCCCATCCCGCTAGTAGAAGAAGAACTCTTCTTACTTTTAGCCACTTTAGATGGTGGGTCCTGAGCCCATAAGTCCCCCCCCCCGCCTGCAGCAGATTTGTATAAAACAAAAAATCGGCGGATCGGCGCTTAGTCGTCTTGGGTGAGAAAATCTGGCAACTCTCACACGATTGATCATCATGATGCTCAACAGCCAAACAACGTAGGCACACATCGTGCGTATCCTGTGGTGGCAACATGGCCGCACATGCAACGCACGGGTGAAACTGTAACAAACAGAACCATTTTTAATGGAACTGATGTACAGTCTAAAATACACACATATATGCAACACAAGTAAAATATAATACGCACGGGCGATACACCCTATGTGAAAAGCTAAGGCAGTTTTACCCTTAACATGTATCATGAACAAGGGGCGAAAATGCAAGCTACCTGCGTAACATATACAGCGTAAAAAATATGAAAAAACTTACCCAACTCACCTTACATTGCTGGAAGTGAAAACGTTAGGCAAGCCTACAATAGTAATACAAGAAATTACCCTACCACCCTAGCGATGTAACTTAAAAAAGTTACCACCGTAGGACAGAAGGAAGCCAAACCGACCGCCATCTTGCCTGCCACATGGCTGGAAAATGGAGCCTGTCCGACTAAGTTACAACAATCATGAATGAAAAAATCAACCTACAATTCCATCTAGAGCCCGTGCGAGAGGAAAGAGGAACCATACATACATTAGTTGATTCTTTAACACTCATTTTCATCAATGAACGACACGCATGTCTCTCATCTAAGACGACAGCATGAAAAGTGAGGTGCGAGGTTGTCGGCTAGAGTTACCTGCTCTTGCCGGTAGGGGGCCCTGCGGGGGCCCTGTAGGGGTGGTCTCATAACGCAGAACGTGTTTTTTCGTTTTGTAAATATTTTTTATTGAAATATAGTTACAACTGTCGTAGGTTTCAAAATGGACATTTTAATGCTTATAAGTACCCCAAGGAGGACTTCTTCTGAAAAAGAATTTACACCACATCAGCAATACAGTGATAGGCAGTACTATATAGACTAATGAACAGTACTATAAAGACAACAGATGTATTTGTCATAAAATACTTTCAAACTGCATTCAAATGTATGCATGATATTCATTATCCCCAAAGAACTACAACCCAGATAGCATTCGGACGTTGGCCCAACATTGGCAATGTTGGCAAAACCATTGCCAACGTTGGGCCAACGTCTGAATGCTATCTGGGAAGTGCATGTGCCATGCACTGATTCTCTAAAACAGCATCTAAGTATGAGCAATGTTTATCATGATTTGTTGTCATAGTGAACAAAAGCAAGGTGATCGTCTAACTAGGGGCAGTTAGAAAGAAAATGTTTCTTAAAGACAGTAACAGAATACAACCATAATAAAGCTGAACAGCATACACCTCACAGCTTTTTTGCAATGTCCTTGTGTGTACATATGTAGTTGACGATGATGTTCTGGTAGTACTTACCTTCAGAGCAGTTCTGTCCCTCCAGCCCTTACTGCAGTAACATGTGAAGTTTCCTTTGGTATTCTGGCAGTAGCCATTCATGCAGGGAAATGCTTTGCACTCATCTACATCTGTGGGCACATCAGTGCATCAGTATGAAAATATCTTTTGGGAAATGTCATTGCTTCTAATTCATGGCAGAAACAGACCACTATGACTAAGATCATGTGCAGAATTGAAAGTTGGGCTCGTTTCATATTTCTTAGATTTCTCAGGAAAACAATCTAAATGGAGAAATCCCATCAAATATTAAACCTAAGACATAATTATATCCACAATTTCAATTTCTGGGTAACCGGGGAAGGTGGATTAGCCCAGTGGTTAAAGCACTCGCTCGTCACCAAAGACCCAGGTTCGATTCCCCACATGGGTACAATGTGTGAATCCCATTTCTGGTGTCCCTGCCATGATATTGCTGGAATATTGTTGAAAGCGGCGTAAATCCATACTCAATCATTCACCATACCAACATCCATTGATAGCATCCTATGTGACAATATATAATGTCCATCTGTTGTCCCATATTTGACTGTACAAAATATCATCTACTGCACGATATGAGGCTGCTTCTACCATCCACCTATAGCTAAGTGCTATATATGTTAGTAGTTTGTAGCTTCCAGTTGGTACAAAGCCCTGATAATCAAGGACCTACCTTCTGTACAGTTTATCCCTGTCCACTGATCAGTGCAGTCGCAGGTGTAGTTGCCGATGCCATCAACACAGGTGCCGTCATGGTGGCAGGGATGAGTCAAACAATCATCAATAACTGAAACATCATCAACAACAATTACTATAACAACAGGAGAGAACAGTTAGAAAAAGACAATGACAGAGTGAGTATGTTTTTACGCTGCTTTTAGCAATATTCCAGCAATATCACGGCAGGGGACAAAAAAAAGAAGACAGTGACTGATCACAGTATTCGGACATACTGCTGCTTTAAACAACATGTCGTATGATTGTAATCTTATTATTTGGGCGTTTATCCTGAAGTGGTGCAATTTAGACCCACAACCAGCAGTACCTGGTCTCATCACAGTGAGGAGTGGTGGGGTAGCCTAGTGGTTAAAGCGTTCACTCATCACCCCGAAGACCTTGGTTTGATTCCCCACATGGGTACAATGTGTGAAGCCCATTTCTGATGTCCCCTGCCGTGATATTGCTGGATATGGGTAAAAGTGGCGCAGAACTACATTCTTTCACTCAATTGTGGCATTTGCGATCACTTGCCTATCCTATTATTTGATGTTAGTTACAGCTGAAATGTTCTAATCAAAACCTGAAGACACATCTCAACATCTAACACTGCAACAGTTGGCACACGCAACAAACTACAAGTGGAGGTCTATAGAACTTACTTTCATCACACAACGTCCCCTGATAGTCCACGTTACAAACACAGGTGAAGTTTCCTAGCCCCTCCTGGCAGGTTCCATTGACACAGGGATCTTTATCACACTCCTTCACATCTACAAAAATCAGTGCACTCATGACCATTAACAAATACACGATGAAAGACATTACTACATTAAGTCACAGTGAAACCCTACATCTGTAAACATGAAACCCTATATCTGGACATACTGAAAACCTACGCCAGAAGACTACATCTGAAAACAGTAAAGCCCTATATCTGGAAATAATGAAAACCTATGTCAGAAGACTACATCTGAAAACAGTAAAGCCCTATATCTGGAAATAATGAAAACCTATGTCAGAAGCCTACATCTGAAAACAGTAAAGCCCTATATCTGGAAATAATGAAAACCTATGTCAAAAGACTACATCTGAAAACGGTCAAACCCTATATCTAGAAATACTGAAAACCTATGTTAGAAGCCTACATCTGAAAACAGTAAAACTCTATATCTGGAAATAGTGAAAACCTATGTCAAAAAACCTACATCTGAAAATAGTAAAGCCCTATATCTAGAAACAATGAAAACCTATGTCAGAAGACTACATCTGAAAACAGTAAAGCCCTATATCTGGAAATTATGAAAACCTATGTCAGAAGCCTACATCTGAAAACAAGTAAAGCTCTATATCTGGAAATAATGAAAACCTATGTCAGAAGCCTACATCTGAAAACAGTAAAACTCTATATCTAGAAATAATGAAAACCTATGTCAGAAGCCTACATCTGAAAACAGTAAAGCCCTATATCTAGAAATAATGAAAACCTATGTCAGAAGACTACATCTGAAAACGGTCAAACCCTATATCTAGAAATAATGAAAACCTATGTCAGAAGACTACATCTGAAAACAGTAAAGCCCTTTATCTGGAAATAATGAAAACCTATGTCAGAAGACTACATCTGAAAACAGTCAAACCCTATATCTAGAAATAATGAAACCTATGTCAGAAGCCTACATCTGAAAACAGTAAAACTCTATATCTAGAAATAATGAAAACCTATGTCAGAAGCCTACATCTGAAAACAGTAAAACTCTATATCTAGAAATAATGAAAACCTATGTCAGAAGCCTACATCTGAAAACAGTAAAACTCTATATCTAGAAATAATGAAAACATATGTCAGAAGCCTACATCTGAAAACAGTAAAACTCTATATCTAGAAATATCTGAAAAATAACTCTACATCTGAAACCCTATGTCAGAAGCCTACATCTGAAAACAGTAAAACTCTATATCTGGAAATAGTGAAACCCTACATCTGAAAACAGTAAAACTCTACATCTGAAAATAGTGAAACCCTACATCTGAAAACAGTAAAACTCTACATCTGAAAATAGTGAAACCCTACATCTGAAAAGAGTGATACCATAGATCTGTAAAATGTGAAACCATGCAATCTAAAAAAAGTGAAATCCAACATAAAGCACTCTAGTAATATATGCTAGATCATGAGATTTTAAGCACCTAACAGATTTCCTAGCATGACATATGATGTTTTAGGATTACTGTACCTGTCTGACAGGTTTCCCCTGTCCATCCAGCACTACACGAGCAGGTGAAGTTGTTCGTTCCAACATCAGTGCAGTTGCCATCATTCTTGCATGGTGTATTCTTACAGTCATCAACATCTGAAAACCAATGAAGAGTGAGGTTTAAACACAAAAATATTTTTGGTTAATGTTTGTTTGTTGGTTAACTCAGCATTATATTGCAGCTATATGGCGGCAGTCTGTAACTAATTCAGTAGATGATGGTTCTTGAAACACATTCATCACCACAAGGGGCAGTGGGGTAGCCTAATGGTTAAAGCGTCCCCTCGTCACGATATCCCAGGCCTGCTGCTGAAAGCGGTGTAAAACCATACTGACTGACTCTTCACTACTATCATCTATACAAACTTTCTAATCATCCATGGAGCTTTTGGTACTGGTATGTAAATTCTGTGTTAAGATTTCAGTTCACTGACATTTTGGCAGCATCGTGTGTAATCTCGATGCTTTAAGAGGTTTACTCCTTGAGGTGCCAGATATGGTTTTATGGCACCGAGAGGGTTAAGATGAGACATAAAATACATACCAACATCACAATGCCAACCAATCCATCCAGACTGACAGTTGCAGGTGTAGTTGTCTGCCCCTAGTTCACAGGTGGCGTTGTTTGTGCACATAGCTCCAAAGCAATAGTCAACTTAAAAGAAAACAAAGTATATTTCATATATTACCTTAGTTACCATTAAACATCTCAGACATTCACCACAAGTTGGGAAGTGGATGCACAACCCAAGTCAACAATAGAAATAGAAGAAAACAGTTTGAACCAATTTATAACGGTAACCAATCTGTGTAACATTTTTAATGATCCCACCTTCCCTATTGTAAATGACCAGTCCCTATGCTGTTCACATTAAAAGTTATTTATTTTAAAACATAAAACTTTTTTGGCTCCCTATAGTAGTGATTAATGTTGGTTACCCACCTCATTCGCTGAGTCAGTTTTTAACACACTCATTAAACTTCAACTACTCCATCCCTCACAAGACATACACACACAAGACCAGCTCTAGCAAAATAATACAGATATTGTTGCATTATGCATCTTTGTTAGAGGTGATACATTACATTTATGTAGTTTGAGTTAAAGTTTCAGAATGTGTGGAACACAAATCTATAATGGGTTCATCGAAATCAAAAGCACTTGCTAATATATTGAATTAAACATAGCACTGGTAAACGGATCTATACCAACCCTCTTCACAAGTAGATCCAAGCCATCCTTGTGAACAGGAACATGTGAAGTTGTTAGTTCCTCCGTCAGAACAGGTGCCGTTGTTTTTACATGGTTGGGGCTGGCAGTCGTCCTTATCTAAAACATGTGGCATGGTGATGTTACATTGAGGACTGGCAGGTGACAGTGGTAAATATTGCAGTCTACTGTTATAGGGACTAATTGGACAGCCATCGTCAAATATTTAAAAAGTCCAAAACTATGTAGTGAGACATGTGAGACCTTATTGTCATATATATATGTTACAATAAGGTCTCACCGTCTGAGTACAGTTTTAAATATTTGGACGAGTCCTACTATCTACTATAACACTACTATAGAAACTACATTCTACTTTAGATTCTAAGTACAGGGTTTTTCTTCATATAGTGAGAGGGGCAATGGGGTAGCCTAATGGTTAAGGTGTTGGCTAGTCATGCTGAAGACCCGGGTTTGATTCCCCACATGGGCACAATGTGTGAAGCTCATTTCTGGTGTCCCCAACCCTGAAATTGCTGGAATATTGATAAAAGCAGTGTAAAACTATACTCAGTCAGTCGGTCATATTATAAGTGAGAGGAGTCCTACAAGTCTGTGGTGAACTATGGAAGCTTTCAGTGATGTACTGCAGTTTGCACCAGATAAATAAAACATACCACAGTTGATTTATTTATTGATTAAAGGTTATAATCTGGTAAATCTTACAGGCATAATTTTTACATTGATGATATAAAGTCAGGTATTTGGAATGATAGCTATGAATTTAGGTTGTGCTGTAAAATTTGTCATATACATTACACATGTTTCATCATATGTACTGCAAAATTAGAACCGTGAACTGTCGATAACTAAAATATACATGAATATGAAAACTGCAAGCAACTCCATGTCATTTGATAGGCTAACTAGGCAATTCTTTTATTTATTCATCATTGGTTATTCAGCTACTCAGCAACAGACCCGTGAAGATCCGGGGTAGAATAGGACTTCAGCAACCCTTGCTTGCCTCAAAAGGCGACTATGCTTGTCGTAAGAGGCCACTAATGGGATCGGGTGGTCAGGCTCGCTGATTTGGTTGACATATGTCATCGGTTCCCAATTGCACAGATCGATGCTTATGCTGTTGATAACTGGATTGTCTGGCCCAGACTCGATTATTTACAGACTGCTGCCATATAGCTGGAATATTGCTGAGTGTGGCGTAAAACTAAACTCAGTCACTCACTCATCCTTTTGGAAAATATCAAAGAAAACTAATGAAAACTACATTGTACAGACTTCCTGATTAATAACCCAAATGTGGAATTTATTCTAAAGAGAACTATTTTCATTAAGTTTAAAGTAAAATTTGTGGAGTTCATTTGAGAGGAAGAATGTGATGTTACCTTCATTACAGAGCCAGCCAGTCCAGCCTGAGGTACAGTTGCAGGTGTAGTTGTCAGCTTTGTTGATGCAGACTCCACTGTTGTTGCAGGCCGCAGTGAGACAGTAGTCCTCTGGAAGGAGATAACAGGCATAAAGTAACATGAGAAAGAGATGGAAACGATAGATACAGTATCCTCAAATATCATGGATTAATTGTGGAACAATGTCGACATGTGCTGGGTGATGGGGCCTCTTCATGTTCACAGGTCACAAGAGGTGACTAACGGGATTGGGTGGTCAGCTTGCTGACTTGGTTTACACATGTCATCATATCCAAGTTGTATAGATCGATGCTCATGCTGTTGATCACTGGGTTGTCTGGTTCAGACTTGATTATTGACAGACCGCCGCTGAATATTGCTGAGCGCGGTGTTAAACAACAAACACGTTCACAGGTACTGATAAGTCACTGTTTTGACCTGTTTGAAGAGCCTAAACTAGGAGAATTATTTGTTGTCGGTTACAAGGCATGGCTGAGAAGTTCTGAGCCTAACTGTGATGACGGAGTTGTTGGCTAATTGATTTTTTACTTAAACAACTCCATTGTTCCACACTCTCCTGCCACATGCCCCAGTGCCTGGCTTCTTGCTGTAGGTGTAAAAGTTGGGGAAGAGGTTGAAATCTGATGGTGCCAAATGGGGTGAATACAGAGAATGGTCAATGTGTTCAAAGCCATGGTCATGCATTGCGGCCATGGCAACAGCAGACTTGTGACAGGAGCAATGCCAATCGCCTTTAGTGAGTGTTATGAGTAATTAATACATGGAATTATTAAGGGTGTATTATACATGGCTGATAATATATTTTAGCTATTCAGCTGTTCCTCTATACTGTTATACAGTCAATATCAACTGAACTATTGATTCATATCGAGATCATATTTGAACAATCTTTACATCATGCAAGGCAGGAATTATTTTGACACTGTTTCAATAAACCATGGTATAGAGAGATCAAAGCTCAGCATGTGTCCGATAAGCAAAAAACACATTAAGAATATAGATTTTTAGTTGCATGTGTCTCCAGCAGGTGTACTTGATGTTACAAGCTGAATCAGCTTGTTCAGCACAAAACATCACGACAAGGTCACAAGTTTTTCCGTGAAATGTTTCTGTAATTATAACATCCATCCAGCATTGGACCATCAGACTTTCAATATGGTAACTCAAAGCATCAGTCATGAAGTGACAAACAAGTGATGTCACGTAAAACATGATGCAACTGGAATGATCAGATAGCAAAACAGTGGTGGTGTGTGGTCCTGTGCATAGAGCTCAGGTTATTAATCAGGTGAAGTTTAGCATCCTTGGGTGTGGAGAGTCCTTGGATGGGTGACCGTATTTGGCAGCATGACTTCTGAGAGTTTCTAGGTCTTCAGTCCTGCCCCACAACGAAGCACATGTGATACATGTGGTCTCACCTTAGGCAAATTGCCTCTGTTCACCCAGCAGAAAATGGGTACCCGGTGGGATAAGTCATGTGACCATAACCTTCTAGCGCCTAGCAGGCAGCTTGGGTTATCCGGGGTTATAATGTGTTAGCGCTTTGAGCATGCACAAGTGAGTGGAAACAGGCACTTTATAATTGGCCATTATTATTATTCTATACAAAAAATCAAAATGTGTTATAAAAATCATTTCCGAATAGGGACACAGATGAGCACGATATTCTCATTGTATTATATTTCATAAGAGTACGTGTTTGATGTCTTCTGGCAACATATTACACAATGTTATGAAGCTTTTTACTAATTGCATTGCTATACTTTGCCTGTCATATGTATACTAGGCAGCAAAAGAAACGTCAGTTTGGAATTTTCCTTCACAGAAACGGATAACTGTAAACTCATTTAATGTTTTGATTGTATATTTTTGCATTATGCATCTTTGTTAGAGGTGATACATTACATTTATGTAGTTTGAGTTAAAGTTTCAGAATGTGTGGAACACAAATCCATAACGGGTTCATCGAAATCAAAAGCACTTGCTAATATATTGAATTAAACATAGCACTGGTAAACGGATCTATACCAACCCTCTTCACAAGTAGATCCAAGCCATCCTTGTGAACAGGAACATGTGAAGTTGTTAGTCCCTCCGTCAGAACAGGTGCCGTTGTTTTTACATGGTTGGGGCTGGCAGTCGTCCTTATCTAAAACATGTGGCATGGTGATGTTACATTGAGGACTGGCATGAGACAGTGGTAAATATTGCAGTCTACTATAGATACTGCATTCTACTTTAGATTCTAAGTACAGGGTTTTTCTTCATATAGTGAGGGAGGCGATGGGGTAGCCTAATGGTTAAGGCGTTGGCTCGTCATGCTGAAGACCCGGGTTTGATTCCCCACATGGGCACAATGTGTGAAGCTCATTTCTGGTGTCCCCCACCGTGATATTGCTGGCAGTCTGCACCAGATAAATAAAACATACCACGGTTGATTGATTTATTGATTAAAGGTTATAATCTGGTAAATCTTACAGACATAATTTTTACATTGATGATATAAAGTAAAGTATTTGGAATGATAGCTATGAATTAAGGTTGTGCTGTAAAATTTGTCATATACATAACACATTTTCATCATATGTACTGCAGAATTAGAACCATGAACTGTAGATAACTAAAATATACATGAATAAGAAAACTGCTAGCAACTCCATGTCATTTGATAGGCTAACTAGGCAATTCTTTTATTTATTCATCATTGGTTATTCAGCTACTCAGCTTCTGACCCATGAAGATCCGGGGTAGAATAGGTCTTCAGCAACCCATGCTTGCCTCAAAAGGTGACTAGGTATGCTTGTCGTAAGAGGCGACTAATGGGATCGGGTGGTCAGGCTCGCTGACTTGGTTGACATATGTCATCGGTTCCCAATTGCGCAGATCGATGCTTATGCTGTTGATAACTGGATTGTCTGGTCCAGACTCGATTATTTACAGACTGCCGCCATATAGCTGGAATATTGCTGAGTGCGGCGTAAAACTAAACTCACTCACTCACTCACTCATCCTTTGGGAAAATATCAAAGAAAACTAATGAAAACTACATTGTACAGAATTCCTGATTAATAACCCAAATGTGGAATTTATTCTAAAGAGAACCAATTTCATTAAGTTTAAAGTAAAATTTGTTGGAGTTCATTTGAGAGGAAGAAAGTGATGTTACCTTCATTACAGAGCCAGCCAGTCCAGCCTGAGGTACAGTTGCAGGTGTAGTTGTCAGCTTTGTTGATGCAGACTCCACTGTTGTTGCAGGCTGCAGTGAGACAGTAGTCCTCTGGAAGGAGATAACAGGCATAAAGTAACATGAGAAAGAGATGGAAATGATAGATACAGTATCCTCAAATATCATGGATTAATTGTGGAACAATGTCGACATGTGCTGGGTGATGGGGCCTCTTCATGTTCACAGGTCACATGAGGTGACTAACGGGATTGGGTGGTCAGCTTGCTGACTTGGTTTACACATGTCATCATATCCAAGTTGTATAGATCGATGCTCGTGCTGTTGATCACTGGGTTGTCTGTTTCAGACTTGATTATTGACAGACCGCCGCTGAATATTGCTGAGCGCGGTGTTAAACAACAAACACGTTCACAGGTACTGATAAGTCATGACCCGTTTGAAGACCTAAACTAGGAGAATTATTTGTTGTCTGTTACAAGGCATGGCTGAGAAGTTCTGAGCCTAACTGTGATGGTGGAGTGGTTTGCTAATTGATTTTTTACTTAAACAACTCCATTGTTCCACACTCTCCTGCCACATGCCCCAGTGCCTGGCTTCTTGCTGTAGGTGTAAAAGTTGGGGAAGAGGTTGAAATCTGATGGTGTTAAATGGGGTGAATACAGAGAATGGTCAATGTGTTCAAAGTCATGGTCATGCATTGCGGCCATGGCAACAGCAGACTTGTGACAGGAGCAATGCCAATCGCCTTTAGTGAGTGTTATGAGTAATTAATACATGGAATTATTAAGGGTGTATTATACATGGTTGATAATATATTTTAGCTATTCAGGTGTTCCTCTATACTGTTATACAGTCAATATCAACTGAACTATTGATTCATATTGAGATCATATTTGAACAATCTTTACATCATGCAAGGCAGGAATTATTTTGACACTGTTTCAATAAACCATGGTATAGAGAGATCAAAGCTCAGCATGTTTCCGATAAGCAAAAAAACACATTAAGAATATAGATTTTTAGTTGCATGTGTCTCCAGCAGGTGTACTTGATGTTACAAGCTGAATCAGCTTGTTCAGCACAAAACATCACGACAAGGTCACAAGTTTTTCCATGAAATATGTTTCTGTAATTATAACATCCATACAGCATTGGACCATCAGGCTGTCAATCTGGTAACTCAAAGCATCAGTCATGAAGTGACAAACAAGAATTGTCACGTAAAACATGATGCAACTGGAATGATCAGATAGCAAAACAGCAAAACAGTGGTGGTGTGTGGTCCTGTGCATAGAGCTCAGGTTATTAATCAGGTGAAGTTTAGCATCCTTGGGTGTGGAGAGTCCTTGGATGGGTGACCGTATTTGGCAGCATGACTTCTGAGAGTTTCTAGGTCTTCAGTCCTGCCCCACAACAAAGCACATGTGATACATGTGGTCTCACCTTAGGCAAATTGCCTTTGTTCACCCAGCAGAAAATGGGTACCCGGTGGGATAAGTCATGTGACCATAACCTTCTAGGCCTGAGCAGGCAGCTTGGGTTATCCGGGGTTATAATGTGTTAACGCTTTGAGCATGCACAAGTGAGTGGAAACAGGCACTTTATAATTGGCCATTATTATTATTCTATACAAAAAATCAAAATGTGTTATAAAAATCATTTCCGAATAGGGACACAGATGAGCACGATATTCTCATTGTATTATATTTCATAAGAGTACGTGTTTGATGTCTTCTGGCAACATATTCACAATGTTATGAAGCTTTTTACTAATTGCATTGCCATACTTTGCCTGTCATATGTATACTAAGCAGCAAAAGAAACGTCAGTTTGGAATTTTCCTTCACAGAAACGGATAACTGTAAACTCATTTAATGTTTTGATTGTATATTTTTGACAACATCTCCAACTTTACCTGAGCAAAGACATTCCTTCCCAAACTCAGAATGGAACCCAGGAAATGGTCTCAAAACACAACCTGATCTCGGAGATGGTACGGTGTTCTCCAGGTTTTTCATGCAACTCATGCTGCACGTGCTGTTCACAAGGACCAGCCCTATTAAATGCACCCCCAAACCTGGTTGAAACATTCACATTACAACGTCAGCAGGATGCCGCAACTCACGACAGCTGAGAGGACCCAGGCGCTAGGAAGAAGCTGGCCACACTGCACAAGCCGTTGCCAATAACTTCCAGGTCAACGTTCGGACCATCTACAGGCTGCAGCAACGTTTCCTGGCCACCAACACCACAAATGATCGCCCCCCATACTTGCAGACCAAGGGTGACCACAAGACGACAAGACCGCCATGTTGTGCGACAGCATGTACAGAATCCCATCATGCAGGCATCCGAAACAGCATGCCAGACAGTGGGAACACACGGAAGACCAATCAGTACTGATACAGTATGCCGACGTCTTAACAGCAGGAACCTCCATTGCCGTAGACCTTACCGTGGACCTATCCTCACCCCTCGTCATCGGCGTGAACGTCTACAGTTTGCCCTATAACACCAAAACTGGCAATACAGGCAATGGAGAACTGTTCTGTTCACAGATGAGAGTCGGTACTGCGTATCAACTGCAGATGGCAGAACAAGAATATGGCAACGACGTGGCCAGCGTTACTCAGACCAATGTGTTATGGAAAGTGACTCATGGGGAGGTGCAAGCATCATGGTATGGGGTGGAATAGGCCTGAACCAGAGAGTGGGTCTTGTGGTGTTCCAGAACCTTGGTCCAGGGAGAGGAGGCGGCATCACAGCAGACCGCTACATCGACCAAGTTCTCAGACCCCACGTCCTACCACATTTCACACGTCACCGGAACAACATTTTCCAGCTTGATAACGCCCGGGCCCTTACTGCCAGAGCTACACAGGACTTCCTACAGCAGAACGGTGTCAACAGTATGCAGTGGCTAGCCCTTAGTCCTGATTTAAACCAATTGAACATCTTTGGGATGAAATTCAGAGGAGACTGAATAATGTCATACCAAGGCCGAACACAGCCGATTTATTGCGCCAGGCCTTTCTCAGAGTGTGGTTCAAGGTGCCAATGGCCTTTATCAATCTATTGGTGCACTCCATGCATAGACGCTGTGCTGCGGTTATTGCCGCTCGTGGTGGTCACACTAGCTACTGAAGTCAAGAGTCTGAATGGACTGCAAATGTTCACGTAATGTCTTGGAATTGTGCTGAGTTATTCATTGATGTATCAGGATATTGTACACAAAAATGTTTTTGATCCACTTATTATGTCCATTTCTGTAATAATTGGATTACAGTGCCTATCTAATTTTGAATTCGTACTGATGTTTTTTTTGCTGCTGAGTATATATGGGTCAGAGGCTTTATGTACAATTAACTATCTTGAACTTGATCATAAAAGTAATCAAAGTGTAAGGCATATTTTGCAGTAGCTGTCACGTTTGTAACCCTTGACCTTAGTGACAAGAACAACTGTTGCCCTGTATGATTTCAATGTTGAGAGCTATTCTGATGGTTCACCAGATTGTGTATAGTCGGTGGGCGGTGAGGTAGCCTAGTGGTTAAGGCTTTTGCTCGTCACGCTGAAGACTCAGGTTGGATTACCTACATCGGTACAGTGTCTGAAGTCCATTTCTGGAATCCCCCACTGTGATATTGCAGGAATATTGCTAAAAGCAGCATGAAACCCAACTCACTCACTCAATCTTGTCATGGTTCAATATTATTTAAATATATTCCTGATTTTGATTGATCAAATCATTCTGCTCTGTATTAATACTCTATTCATTGAATGAAGCACTTGTGGTGAAACGCAAAATATAACCCTGTCCTTTAATTTAACACTAGACATGTATTACAATCTCAAAATTACTTCAGTTCAGTGAGAGAAATATTGTCTTCAACCACTTCATGTGACAATATAGATATGTTTTTACATATCATAAAAAGTTTCAGTTGGAACAAAACACATGTTTGCATTAAACACTTTTTTCCAGTCTATTATATTTATTATACCAAGAGGAGATATGGGATAGTGGTTAAAGCTCTCACTTGTCACTCCGTAGAGCTGGGTTCAATTCCCCACATTGGTGTGAGGTGTGAAGCCTATTTCTGGTGTCCATTATTGTGATATTGGTGACAATCTCACCCTGCTCATTTAGTCTACCACATTTACAATATCATCTGGCAGCTTGTTGGCCAAGCAGCTGCTGGACCCATTCATTAGCTTGATTAAGACTAGTGAGGCCCTGGGCCACAGCAAATCCACTATGACGTGAATATGATACATATCACGAATATAGGGTAACAAATACAAATATAGAATGAGCAGTTGATGTATTATTTATTAATTCACTGAAATATGAACCAAATATATTCTTTGGTATATATTTGACGATGTTTTGGCAGTGTTAATTCTATCACGATAATGACCACATGAATGTCAAATTAAATATATGTGTTGACTACCATCCTGCCTGGCTTTTATATATTTCATTCTGCATATCTCAATTTGACCCAAAAACCCCAGAAAATTCAAGAAAAAACACTCCTTAAAAAATTAATGAATATTCAATTCAAGGGCCATTGCCAGATAACCACAATTGCTAAATGACTCTTCCCAAAGTGGCAAGTGGTATTGGGAGAAAACAATTAGAGACAAGTGTTTGCCACTAATATTGCAATGTCCCCCGTTGCTAAAGAGTGGAATATTCATAACATATTTACTACTTTTATTTTTTGCTCACATACATAATGCCTGAAATCACTGGTATCTTCATAATCACCCAATGTAGTCTGTCGACATAATTGAAGACATTGGGTGCAATGTTTTATGAGATATTGCGTTTACATAAGTTTGAAAAGTGGTCAAAGTGTTGTGGTGACCTTGAAGATAAGGTCAAGGTCACCCAAATCACTTGGCGTCTGTGTAATCCCCAAATGTAGGCTGTCACCAAATTTGAAGACATTGGGTACAACAGTTCATGAGATATCGCGTTAACAAGAATCGGGACGTACGTACGTACAGATGTACGTATGGACGGAAGCCGCTGAATACATAGACCCCCGTTCCGCGTTGCGGCGGGGGACAATAATCTCCAATAGAGTTGTAAGAATAATCAGGAAAAAACAAACCTACCCACTTGTTTAGAGACTGGAGTTGTCCGACATCAAGGTCAAATTGTGTTCTTGAAATTATAGGTAAATATTGTTACATCTTTCACATTTTCTTAAAATCCTTAAATAGGCTGGACATCATGGACAAACATTCTTACGTTTTACATCCAAGACGGTAACTGCCAGTTGTCTTGTGGTGTGAGTTGGCTACGATTAGGACCGGCTTTTGTGCGAAACATACCATTTTGACATTGATTTTAAAGGTCAAGTTAGGGGGTCAGCTCATCTATGAGATTGGCTTATCTACGGTAATATACGGCAATAAATTCTAATGCAAGAAATACAAAGCTCGTGATTGTTGTTTTCTATGTGTTAAAACTCTTAATACACTACTCAGGGTTGGCATATTCTACTTGCAATGTTTTGTTGTGTGGTAAACAACGACAAGTTTTGTTTCTTAAAGGATAACACCATTAAAAATACTAATGTTATTTTTATTGAAATATATCAAAAAATGATTTAAAATAGTTTACTTTTAGATGCCTACATAGATGTCAAATATGACAACCCCTTCTGGACCTCAGATGGTTGAAACAGCAATGACCTTGGCATTCAGCGTTACAACACAGCTAAATAAAGGTAATAGGGTACAGCAAAATGTGTTCTCACAAGTATGGATGGCTTTGTACTTCAGATAACACACATTGTTCATGATTATCTCTATGTTCACACGTGATACACTACAAATTGATTAGATCTATCGCAGATGTAAGCTGCGCAGTATCATTGATTTCATATCACTCATCTCCTGTTATGAAATATTTAGAAACTAAATTGTCAGCATTGTGCGTTCATGCATAATACATACTGGATCTGTGTGCTAATTACATCTGTGGGGATTCTGGTTAAGAAAAAGACATGTGTAGGAACATATGCTGGATGTAAGCTGGGATTTACCATGAGCCCTGTTTTTGAGGGTCCCTGGGACTAATACTCTTAATTTTCATGGGTCATGGACTACAAAATAGGGGTCCCAGACACTTAAATATTATTATTAATACTGTTATTGCATTGTGTATCATGATCATCACATTAGTTGTTATAGTAATTGAATTGCAAATGATACCATAACCCAGCAAGTAGCAAACTCTTTGATAACTTATTGTTACTTGATTGGACTTTTTACAAAAGTACTTTTTCTGAATCCAATGGATGCGCTAATAAATTTCGTTGCATCCATTGTCAATTTTTATGAGTATAGGACGCAGGAATTCTCGTCCTATAAATCCCTGTGTAAGATGCTACTGAATGTATCTGGTGGACTTGGTTCACAGTTGCATGCTAAACAAAGAAACAAACAAACTGGAATCTAATTAATTCTCTCACTCCACAACCTTGTTCCATCGAGATTATTATTACTGGAAAATATTTCCATTACAAACTAACTTTTGCAGCCAACAGGGTGCAGAAATGGCTGACTGTGTTTCCTGTGGAGAGTTACATCCCTTTGGCATGCAAGGATCCTCTTCCGTTTGTCAGCACCACATCAACACTCTTGAATTTCAACAAGATTTCACCAAGTGGTAAGCAGTCAGACAAACAAACTTAAACCACTAGGTTACCCCATCGCCTCAAACACATAAAATTAGGAAATAAGTACAGTATCAATATATGTATACATTTATACACACTCACTTGTTTGACAGAGGGGTCCAAGCCATCCATCCGTACAATTACAGGTTGCATTGGTGGGACCAGGTACACATGTGCCGTTGTTTTCACAGGTCACGTTCACACAAGTGTCGACTGGAAACAACAATAGGAATCATTGAAAACACAATGCCATTTACAAAGTTGTCAAATGTAACAAATGTATAGGGGACACAAAATATTGCTAAAGGGACGCGTAAAACCAAACTCACTCACTCACTCACTCCTTGGGAATTAATATTGAATGTTCCTCGCCAAAGCCTTAAACATATAAAATGAAGTCACTCTGGACAGACAATACATAAATTATTATGCAAACATATTCCACCAAACATTTGTCTAAATAACAACATGTATTATAAAAGATAAAAGAGCAACATACTTAAGTAATTGGAATTTAAGGTATTCAAATGAGCAATGAATCTATCAATGACCCTTCACCTGCTACAGACATGGTGTCAGTGTTGAAGAGGATCGGGTCCTGAGTGAGTGAGTGAGTGAGTGAGTATGGTTTTACGCTGCTTTTAGCAATATTCCAGCAATATCACAGCAGGGGACACCAGAAATGGGCTTCACACATTGTATCCATGTTGGGAATCGAACCCGGGTCTTTGGCGTGAGGAGCCAACGCTTTAACCACTAGGCTACCCCACCGCCCTCGGGTCCTGAAGTGAAATTGTTCCTCAGTACTATACTCCCTTGAGGAATTATTCCCATGGAACAGTTTTTACAAGAAACATTTCTCTGTTATACAATGGTTCTGGATGGAACTACTTCCATGTGGATCTCGTCATCGTTGACACTCGTCCGTGAAAGTGTCAAGACAGTAAGAGATACAACCTCATAGGTTAACTTTCAAGGTATTTCAGCAGTATTTCAACAATATCATAGTGTGGGACACTGAAAATGGCATCACACATTGTATCCATGAAGGTAATCGAACCTTGATCTTCGGCATGACGGGTGAGCTCTTCAACGAATATGCTACCCCACTCCCCCTTAACACGAAATATATTCCATTTATATCATGGCACGTCAGCTAGATGTGGGAGGAAAGCCCAGAATGATTCAGTTCTTAGACATTTAGCACTTTCGTGATATCCACGAGCAGTAGTATCAAACCAAGACGGTGAACGCTTTAACCACTAGGCTACCCTAACATTTAAGTACAAGTGAAAGTATTCCATTTATATCATGGCAGGTCAGTTAGATGCGAGAGGAAGGCCCAGAATGATTCAGTTCTTAGACATTTAACACTTTCGTGATATCCACGAGCAGTAGTATCAAACCAAGACGGTGAACGCTTTAACCACTAGGCTACCCTACTCCCCGTAAGGAATTCCATTTATATCATGATTTCAGCTTATTACCAATCAGTTAGATGTGGGAGGAAAGCCCAGAATGATTCAGTTCTTAGACATTTAGCACTTTCGTGATATCCACGAGCAGTAGTATCAAACCAAGACGGTGAACGCTTTAACCACTAGGCTACCCTACTCCCCCCAAAGTATTCCATTTATATCATGGCGCGTCAGTTAGATGTGGGAGGAAAGCCCAGAATGATTCAGTTCTTAGACATTTAGCACTTTGTGATACCCAGCAACAGTAGTATCATGTGGACAAACCAAGAAACTTTATCAAGGCAAATTGGGATGTGTGAAACACAACCTCATTTAGGTTGTGTTAGTTGAACTGTTAATTAGTCGCCTAAATTCAAGGATAATAAATTCACAGAGTTAATGAGTGAAGCTTTCCAAGAAACATGGTATTTTCACTCTAAAGTGAGTATGATTTAAGGAAATTGTGTTCTGTCTGGGGTTTCACTCAGGTTGGAAAGAAATGCAGCTGAATTATCTCAGAAAAATGACACTGCATACTTGGATGTTCTTAGTTTGTTTAGGTTTCAACTGACCCATTGTTTTTAAGTTGTAGTGACCTGATTTATATCTGTGGAGTGTTGCATCCCTTGCCCTTTAGGGAGGGTGCATAAATTTGGTAACTCGACATGGACAGGTTTGGGACTCAATTAGACTCTATTGGCTTCTATCACTTACCCACTTAATCTACTGTAACAACACCATACCTGCTTTTGTATATATATTCTCTTTCATCTCACAATGCCCTGTTTATTAAATGCTTAAATTCACTCTGGCTTCATGTACATTACTAGTATATATATCCTGTATATCTGTTAGTTAGCATTCACCTGACGATAGGGCAAAGAAAAGCCCAGAAATATTGTGTATACAATAAAGAAGAAGTTGACATCCATTATATTTTGTCTTATTAATCGACAGGTTACTAATGATTCATTCTGACGCCAGTTGAGCTGACAAAGTTTAGAGTGTACAAACTGTAAACAGTTCAAAATTATGTTAAATGATTTCAAAAGTGGATATAGTAATAAATTATGATATATGAGTGAGTTGCTTCTAATGCCACGTTGGACAGCATTCCAGTTATATCACGCTTGTAAGTTTGACGCTTCAGGAAATTCCACAGTGATACAGGTCTGAGATGTTTATCACTTTAGAAAACCCACAAGCACAGGTATGTGCTGACAAACCTAAAATCATAAATGCAATGAACCTGGATTCGAACAAATCATTACTGGTTCCTGGTACACCCAAGGGAGAAAACTCTGCACAGAAAACTGTGGCACCTACTTGATTGAGCCACCTGTGCCCCCAGCTTAAGATAATGTATGGCTGTAGATTCACATACAATGACTAAATGTATTGAGGACATATGATATAGATTTTAATAAAATACACAAACCAAATACATGTCATGATACACTTAATGCCAAATATATTTACACCATTTTCATTCCTTCCTCATGTGATATAGAGTAGTTGTCGTCATATGAATATTTTACACAACTACCAGCCTGGTGCATATGTGGCAGACTGGTACTCTATAGCTGATATCAAACTGTTGGCGTTTTCCAAGTAGATACTGGAGAACCCAGTACAGGATGAAGGATGTGTCATCCCTTGATAAAAGAAGATATCACATATTAAAAATACTGCAGGGTGTTTTATATATAACGTTATATACAACAGCCACATAGCCAATCAGCAATCAGGTGTTATGTCTCCTGGCTGCGCCCGACACAATTGTTCCACCACCAGCTGGTGTGCTGCTGCACTTATCATCACAATTAGGTTGATTTGAAACATCCAGGTGGGTACGACATGCGGCTGAGTCACACATTCCAACAATCTATCTAATCAAGGCACAACCAGTTACCATTACAGCAAACAATCCGGCTACGCCCTTTTCTGTCAAACTAGCTATCAGATAAGTGTGCAGACAATGTGATGGGTTTAAAGTGAACAGTGAGTGAGTGAGTGAGTTTAACGTGAACAGTAAGTGAGTGAGTTTAACGTGAACAGTGAGTGAGTGTGTGTGTAGTGAGCGAGTGAATGAGTTTAACGTGAACAGTAATTGAGTGAGTGAGTGAGTGAGTTTAATATGAACAGTAAGTGAGTGAGCGAGTTTAACGTGAACAGTAAGTGAGTGAGTGAGTTTTAACGTGAACAGTGAGTTTAATGTGAACAGTGAGTGTGTGAGTGAGTGAGCAAGTGAGTGAGTTTAATGTGAACAGTGAGTGGGTGTGAGTGAGTGAGCGAGTGAGTGAGTTTAACGTGAACCGTGAGTGAGTGATTGAGTGAGTGAGTTTAACGTGAACCGTGAGTGAGTGATTGAGTGATTGAGTGAGTGAGAGTATGATTTTACACCATTTTCAGCAATATCATGGTGTGAGACACTGAAAACGGCTTCACAGAGGAATCGAAACCACTAGGCTACCCCACTCCCCCCAACACAAAAAGTATTCCATTTATATTATGGCATGTCAGCTAGATGTGGGATTGCTTATAACTGATTTTTAAAATCTTTTTCAACATCAAACATGTTTTCAATTTAAAAGACAACAGGAGTGAAAGGTCGTCCAAGAAAAGTATGCATTTTCAAAGAGAACATAAATGAAATTAGGAATAAAACTGTGTCAATATGAATGTGACCTTATGACTTTACATAATCTCCACACCTCCTACATGGCTTTATTGCAAAATGTGTTTCATATTGCTTAATACTTGTACATTTGTGCAAACACATGACATGATGTTGTCACTCACATATCAACTCTGATAAAAGTCACTCCATACCAGTTGTCAAGAATGTGGGTTGTTCTTCCTAGAATAATCTTTCAGAGACATAAAACTGTATGTGTTGAAGTGCTGCTCGAAAATAATGTTCCGTCTCAAAGAATACCCGTCCTGACCTGATGGTCTCTTAGGTTAGGTGCTTTGGAGGTCGCCTTCGTCTGTTGGCATTTTGGCAGCGATGGTCTCTGTCCTGACCAAAACATTTCTAGATCATTCCCTAGCACACCAGTTAGTCCCCTTTGATGTACAACAGCTGACAAGAGGTCAGTGTGTTATAGTGCTAATAAATGATTTTTTATTTATTTTTAGAGCTGTTATGACTCACTGTATTCGGTGAATCGATTTATTTAATTCACTATTTGTGACCACAAGAAGTGAATATTCATTAATTTATTAAAAAGAAAAGTTTTCACTTGAATTGTGGTGGCGCGTGGTCCTGTGCTCAAAGCTCAGGTCACAAATCGGTGAAGTTAAGCAGCGTCGAGCTCGGAGAGTCCTTGGATGGGTGACCGTGTTTGGAAGCTTGACTCCTGAGAGTTTCTAGGACTTGAGTCCTGCCCCACAACGAAGCACATGTGACACATGTGGTCTCACCTTAGGCAAGTGAGTTTTTCAAAATTGTCTCTGTTCACCCAGGAGGAAAATGGGTACCCGGTGGAAAAAGTCATATGACTATAACCTTCTAGCGCCTAACAGGCAGCTTGGGTTATCTGGGGTAATAATGCACTGTGCCTTGATTGTTAGCGCTATGAGCATACCTAGTGTGGAGTTTGGTGCTATATAAATGGACACATTATATAAATGGACACATTAATTGTTTAATGTTTGTCATCAAGAGATGGAGTAAAATTACATTTGCACCGCTTTTTAGCATTATTCCAGCAATATCACTGTGGGGACACCAGAAATGGGCTTCACACATTGTACCCATATAGGGAATTGAACCCAGGTTTTCGACATGACGAACAAATACTATAACCACTAGGCAGTCCCACCGTCCCTGCAAAATGAAACACATCCAAGCCAGTCAGGATTTAAAGTATTTAACACACTTACATATTTAATTTGACAGTAATGTGGTCATTGTCATCATAAATTAACTCTGTCAACTTGGTTGAAACATGTCAACAGCTTTTGTTTCATTTTGTATTGTTTTACTGAATATATTTAAATATATACATATGCTGATATGTTATTGTATTCTTTAACCAATAAGTGTGATACGTGTCATATTCCCCTCACATTGGATATGTTGCAACCTAATTTCTTATTATCGGATATGACCCAGCTACTGGACAGTTAGTTTGAGAACTGTTGTAAGTCAGGTACTGTACCCTAATATACCAGGATGTTACGCAATATGAAGAAATAGTCCAAAAAATAATTCTGACTAATTTGGAGTAATGTTAAAGTCCAGGTCACGATCCACAAATAATCATAATGTAACGACTTACTGTAGGCCATAGTTTATCATAGGCTTATGAATGTCTCAACACTACAAACGATTTGCTACAGGTATGACAACACTTCAGGTATTAGCATCAGTATATGCACATTAAGTAGGCCAGTGGAAACCTTTCCATATTGTGTAACAAGCAATGTATATTTCATGATAAGGCCAGACCAATTCTATTTTTTTTACAGATTTTTGTCCTCAGAAAACCTAAACACAAGAGGGTAAAAAAAATCACCAGTGAAAGCATAACCCCACATGAGTTTCCATGGTAACTCTTTTGGTTTGTTTATATCAACTAAAATAAGTTGAGTGAGTTTAGGTTTCACACTGATTTCAAGAGTATTTCACTTGTATCACATTAATATTAGGATTTTATTTTTTGAGACATCATTTTTTGTTTCTTATTCTTCAAATAATACGACCGGTGGATCTGCGAAGCAAGAGATAAAATTGGTCTGGCCTAAGGGTGCAAAATGTCACAAATATTTGAAAATGATAGTCTCACTGAAGTAAAAAATACCCAGGACTTTATATAACAAGACTGCTTTTGTTCAAAATTCAATTGTAATTTAAGTCAAGTAAAATACTAAAACTGGGCAAAATTGGGAACTCTCTGAATAAAAGCCTTTGATAAGTTTTTCAATCTTCATTCAAATTCACCTACGTCTGTGGAAACTTTATGATCAATGAGGGAGAGAAATGTTCTTTGATCATATGTAGTTTGCACAATCCTCAAAGGATAATCCACACATACTGCTTAAATATTTTACTGAGGCATGGATTGTAATCGGTTGTCTGGATGACATAAAAAATGGTTGTGTTATGTGATAATGCAACAATGTAATGGTGAGAATAGACAATATACATCCATTCCATGCTAAAAATGTTTGTAAGATTACTGCACTCGTGACCGTTGACAGATACCCGGATGAGTAATCTTCAACAAAATGTACCAACACATATATTTGCTTCTTAGATATCTTTTTGAAAAACACTCTTGTAGTAATCTCTGCAGCTGAGACTAGATACGGAATATACAAATAACTGTATAATATCACAACTCGACTTAT